TACGAGACGTATATATATATATATATATATATATATATATATATAATTATATTATATATTATATATCTATATAACTTGGCGACATCGTCTCTCTCTTCTCGCAGGCGGTATATATTTAAAAATTAATATATATATATATAAGATTATCTATATATTTATATATTTTATTTAAAAGGCGACGTCGCATCACCTTTTTCTAATATATATATATATATATATATATATATTTTTTTTTTTTTCGTTCCGTCTGGTAGCGGGCGGTCCGCGTACCGGTATGTCGTCAGACCGGTATGTACCGCCCGTACTGGATGGTATCATTCGGTATTGCCTACCTTGGTGTACATTATGATTACTTTTGCAAGAACAGTTTGTTTCCTGCTTAAAATTTGTACTTTCCAGTCTGCCTTTGATTTTGGATTCATTTTTATGCTGTGAAACTGCTGGTAGTGGTCTTAAGTGTTCAAGCAGTCTGATATATATCATATTGGCTACATAATATGATTCAATAATTAGAGTGAGTAGATGAAGTGAGGGATTAGGAGGCGAGGAGAGAAGGAAGGTAGTTGAAAAGAGGAAGATGGGGGAGAGGAAAGTTGAGTGGATGTAGACTTACCAATGCCATTATGTGGATGCTGCTTCATCCAATCCGCTTTCTCTTGATCATCCTTCATCGGGGTTATAGGGTGTGTATATATAGAGGGAGGAAAAGGGGGGAAAGTAGTTAAGAGAGGGCATTGTTTCCACACCTCATCTTGATGATTCATATTTAGAACTGGGTTGTTTCCAGCAAGTTATTGTTCTATTTCTAAAAAATTGTATCAGATATTGTTAATTCTTATTTTTAAAGTTGGTTTAATACATGAGGCTCCTGCCAATGCAGGTATGTAAAAGGTTCATATATATATATATATATATATATATAGTCTTACCCTTGAAAGTAGAGCTTGTTTTTGCTGCTCAAATACCCGTCACTTAAGTTACAAATGGCATTGTTTTATGGAACCAAGTTGCCTCAGTATTTGAAATCTTTTATGGCTATTTATAAAAAAATGTTTTTAAATTTTTAATTATTTTTATTGTGTAACCTTTGGGTTGATCCTTTACTTGTGTTCTATCAGTATAGTTGGTTACTCATGTTCATGCATTTATAATCCTGGTATTCCGACAAGTTTCCAAATTAACTGTTATTGTTTGTTCTTAATGATTGTGATCCAGCTTTCTATCAAGATGCTCGAGGCATGCTTATTTTTTAATATTTAACTGAATTCTATATGGATCTTCTGTGTTCTTTGAATCTGTTTTATTGTATGTTTTTTAGTTGTTCCTATTTTCTCTTTCTTTCTAATTGTTGAGCTTGTGGTTTTCACTGTAGTATGTTATCAATCACCAAGCTCTTCCTTGTCTCCTGAACCTCCTGACTCACAACCATAAGAAAAGCATCAAGAAGGAAGCTTGCTGGACCATATCAAACATCACAGCTGGAAACAAGGAACAGATCCAGGTACATCCGACAAAAATGGATATAACTGATTAATAGCATGTGCATTGATCAGGATCGGTAAACAATGCTGACACAGCAATCCGAGCCTTTTGATCCTGTTGTTCCAATTTCCTTGAGTCTGTACCAACTGTATGAAAATATATCTCTTCAATAGACTAATTTTATTTGATATTGAATTGATTGCAGGCTGTGATAGCTGCTGGTATTATTGGTCCACTAGTGCATCTACTGCAGACTGCAGAGTTTGATATCAAGAAAGAAGCAGCATGGGCCATATCTAATGCAACTTCGGGTGGTAACCATGATCAGATAAAGTATGCGCATTATCCTTCTCTGTGTGCATGTTGTATTTGCTTCTTTTTAAAGGCTATACTAGTTTAATTTCATAGACTAATTGGTTCTTATTGTCGTCACCAGATATTTAGTTAGTCAGGGTTGTGTAAAGCCCTTGTGTGATCTCCTGGTCTGCCCAGACCCAAGGATTGTCACTGTTTGCTTGGAAGGGCTTGAGAATATTTTGAAAGTTGGTGAAGCGGAGAAGAACCTTGGTGCTAGTGGAGATGTGAACTTGTATGCACAGATGATTGAGGAAGCTGAGGGCTTGGAGAAGATTGAGAATCTTCAAAGCCATGATAATACTGAGATCTATGAGAAAGCTGTGAAGATTCTTGAGACGTATTGGTTGGAGGAGGATGATGCAATGCCTACAGGTGATGCTGCTCAAACTGGATTCCACTTTGGGAACAATGGCCAGAATACAGCTCCTCCCGGTGGATTCAACTTCGGCTGAGAATTGGTACGAAGATGTTGTACTCTCAGGTGACAATCATATTATTAAAGGGCTGATGATCATTACCGTATGGATCCTCTTGTGCCTAGATTGCAGGTTTCTTCTCTGGTGACTGCTAGTATCATTGTCCCAGCACCAGGAAATGGTTCCAGTCAGAAGTCAGTGGGGTGGGGGGTCGGGGGTCGGGGGTGGGGGTGGAGTTGTGTCATTGTGAGTTCGAGTCATGTTGTCCGAGGTGGGAGTGTGTGTGGTGTTGGTGTTTATGAGGAGGTGGTGACAATAAAAGGTCTTATGAAAATGTCATGTGTTAGCACATTTTGGTTCTCTCCCATTTGAATGATTGTATGCTCTACTAGTTTATGAGTTGCAGGTAAGAGGACATCTATGAGTCGCAGGTGATATAAATGCAAGTTAACAACATCATTTTGCCTTCTGTATATTATGAGCTTTCTATAAGGTTGCAATGAGATTGTTGTCGGTCAGAGTTTTTGAGCGTCGTTTGTCATGCAAGTCTTATCAATTATTTTTGTATCATTACATTTGCTGAATTGAAATCCATATTTTCGCATATTAGACTTTTTTTCTTTTGTCTATGTTGCTGTTATGCAGCACGTCGACTTTGGGCGGAAACTCTGTTTTTAGTAACCATAAGAATGTGATTTTAGCTTCTTTGGATCATGATTTGTGTTCAGTTACATAAGAGTTAGAATATGGGTTAAATATCAAATGTGAATATTGATTGATTAATTGATTTGATTTTATAGGAAAATAAGAGTATTCTTTTTGAGAGGGATAAACTTTCTCTTTTATAAAATCCCTTTTCGATATGATAGTGGAGGGATAGCATATCCTTTTTTCGGAGGGCATCGATTGGATTAAGCTACATATCATATCCTAAGAACGGTAACTAGGCATGTATTGTGATCATTGATGATGTACTAGGGGAGGATAATAGTTTAAGGGGTAGTTGGGGATGAGTACAAGATGCTTCCCTTTTGGAATATTCATGAGAGTCCGAGGGATAGCTTAGGGTGGTTATAAATCACCTCTTCCGTTGAGGTCAAGTATAAAAACACACCCTCAATTCTAGATAGGAATTATTGAAATCGAGAACACCTCTTCCGTTGAGTCCAAGGGGTAGCTTGAGCGTATGAGAGATCAGCTAGGGAACGACTTCTAAGTAACATCTCGGGAGGAGATGTTTTTCACCTCAAATGACTTTGCACATACTGAACACAATCACATCAGGGTCGAATTACACCCGAGGAGCATGAGTTGGGAAAACTCAACCCATTACAATGGAGACTCGAGCCTAATTACATCCGAGATTTGTGAGTCGGGAAAACTTGACTCGTGCTAGAAGACCTATTATGACGGAGGGTCATGGTGAATGGCACCCGAGTCGTGTAAGTCAAAAAAACTCTACCCATGCTGGAAGACTCGCTATGGCAAAGGCTCGGATCGAATTACGCTCGAGGCACATGAGTTAAGGAAACTCGACTTGCGCTAAAAGACCTACTACGGTGGAGGCTCGAGCTAAATTATGCGTAAGACGTATGAGTTGGGAAAACTCAACCCACCCTAGAAGACTTGCTATAGTGAAGGGTCAAGGCGAATGGCGCTTGAGTCACATAAGTCAGAAAAACTTGATTCGTGCTAGAAGACCCTCTATGACGAAGACTTGAGCCGAATTACGCTCGAGGCACGTGAGTCGAGAAAACTTGACCTGCACTAAAAGACCTATTACGGCGAAGGGTCAGGTCAAATGATGCTTGAGACATGTGAGTCATAAAAACTTGACTCGCTACAGTGGAGGCTTGAACCAAATTGTGTCAAAGGTGTGTGAGTCGAGAAAACTCGACCCACGTTAAAATACCTACTATAGCGGAGGGTCAAGATGAATAACACCCGAGTCATATGAGTCGAAAAAACTTGATTCGCATTAGAAGACCCACTAAGGCAGAGGCATAAGAGGAAATGTGCCCAAAGCACATGAGTCGAAAAAACTAGATCGCTGCATCCACTCGAAGCGTGAAAATCAAGTTCACCAAGGAACAATACATTCAATATGCCAAATGAACTAGACGTTACACTTTGAACTCCACTTACAAGGGCCCCGAAGTATGACGGGAAAGGGGGGGGGGGGAACAAATGATAGCGAATACACAATCAGTTAGTCATTGCCCGTCATGCCAACACCCATCATGGAAGGAAAAGTTTCAAACGGCCTGCCACCCACTTGCCCGTGCGGATAGGAGTCCAAGGGATAACTCGGGTGGGTTTCAAATCACCTCCTATGCAAAATCTTCATGAGAATATTCTACTATTCTAAGATTAAATATAAAACTATATCCTCAACTGGGGAGGGGGGGGGGGTTGAAATCGAGAATATAGACTATAGAAATTAATCTCGGGATTAACTTGAATGTAGGAGAGACCAACTTGGAAAGTTTTTTGACTTCGATCTTTATATAAGTATTATTCTGGAGAAAATATTTTTCACCTCAAATAATTCTGTGTAAATAATATCTGCGTATAGATCAGAACCACGTCGCGCTGACAGGGACGTCAGCCGCATTTTCCCTCGACAAAACCAGAATTCTAAACACCACTGCAGTATTCTCTCCATTTGAGTGAGTTTCACATCCGTCCACCAGTTACTCCACTTTGAGTTCATTCAATTACTTGAACCAAAACAGATGATGGAGCAGAACATCTTACAACATTGTATGAACGAAACGGAAAAAACTGCACGCGGCTAGAAGTTGGAATACAGAGTCTGTAGAAAAATGTCATGGAAGAAACTCTTAGAAAGAACAATCTGCAATCTACGAGAAAGAGAAAAGAATAAAGATACACATTGATCTTAATGCAATTCTAGCATAATCTTGACAGAACAACCATCTAATTAAAAGATGTACACGTACTAAACCAGTAAACATTTCATGAACCAGAACTTCATGAACAACTCTCTTCTGTTACATTGCAGACAAGCATCTGTTTGCAGGTAGAAGAATGTGCTGCTGCTGCTGCTGCTTCCACCAATCAAGGAAACTGGAAGCTCATGTAATCCCTTCTTGCCCCAGCTGGGGGGCTGATGTACACCCAGAGCAAAGACACCACAATGGAGATCAACCCAGACCACACAAACACGATGGTCGGCACCTTCCCCCTCCTCCCCATCAACCCTTTAGCAAACGGGTACAGATGGCACAGCACCCAGAAGCTGAAGAACACCCCTCCCGCAAGCTTACTCCACTGCGGGAATTGGCTGTACATCGTCCTCGCAATCCCCACGGCTATGGCTATCGTGTTCACCATCATGATCGTGATCGGGGGAACCATCAGATAGCTCCATTTCACCATGTACAGCTCCGCCAAGGCGTCCTCCCCGTCGTCGGTCGCCGGCTTCGACGTCAGGGTGAACGATATGTCCACCCCGGCAATCACCTTCAGCAGGCCTTGGAGCACCGCAGCGGGGTGCGCGCTGGTGCCTCCGATCAACCAGAACTGCTCGTTCCTCCACCACTCGTGCAGTGTGATCCCCGACCACTTGATCTCCAGCAGCGCCAGCAAGCAGAGAGTGAGGGTGATGGCCAGGAGGAAGATTAGGAATGTTATGCTCAGAGACTGCACGATGAACTGGCCTGTGAACAGGGAGATCGCCGGTAGCACGCAGTAGACGGTGAGGAAGATGGAGGTGAAGGGGTAGATGCCGACGCTGAAGTAGGCCACCCGCTGCAGGAACTTCATCCGCCTGCTGGCGAAGAGCGCGTTGTTCTGCGAGAAGAAGATCTCGACGGAGCCCGTGGCCCATCGGAGCACCTGATGCAGCCTGTCGGTGAGGTTTATGGGAGCTGTTCCTCTGAAAGCGTCGCGCTTGGTGACGCAGTAGATGGACCTCCACCCCCGGTTGTGCATCCTGTAACCCGTCACCACGTCCTCCGTGACCGAGCCGTAGATCCACCCAACTCGCCCGCCCCACTCCGTCTTGTCCTCGTAGAAGCAGGAGATGACGCTGATCGCTTCGGCGACCGTCGCGGCGTCGAGCGGCTCCCGCGGCACCGCCAGAGAGCCGGCCGGCCTGCCCTGTCCAGCTCCGGCCATGTCCTGCAGCAGTCTACCTTGGTATTCAGCTACCGGAATGGACGCCACCAGGGTGGCCGAGCTCCCAAACCTCTTCGGCAGAAGCGCCGACTCGACATCCCCTTCGTCGAGGTCGTCATCTCCGATGGGCGGCAGTACGATGTCGTTCTCCTCTCGGTCATGCTTCTTCCCCATCGTGGGCTTCCTCAGCAGGAAAAGCTTGGTCTTCTTCCTTCCGAACCATCCATGGTGCTCGGTGGCACGGGGCGGGCTGAACCCGTAGAGGGCCGTCCTTCGAAAGATGCAGCCAGTGCCGACGTACATCGGGCCTTGCAGTCCGTCCATGGCCCTCATGGTGACGTCGAAGAAGACCAAGTTGTGGTTGGCGTATCTGTCGCTGGGGTCGACGCCCTCGAACCTCTGAGGGAACTGGACGTAGCAGATCCTGTCGCCGCCCCGGTCGAGCATGAAGCACATGCCTTCTCTCAGAGCCAAGGAGTTGTAGATGTAGTGATCGCAGTCCAGGTTGAGGATGAAGGGGCCGTTCGACATAATGGCGCTCGTCCTGACGAGAGCGTTCATGGCGCCCGCCTTCTTGTTGTGATCGTATCCCGGTCTCTTCTCCCGCGAGACGTAGACGAGCATCGGGAGTCTGACGTCCACGTCGGTGGTGTCGACGAGGTTGTTCTCTTGGGTCGCGGCGGTGCCCATCACTGGTTCGGAGTTGGGAGGAGCAAGCATTACCTGCGCACGATGATGAGATGTTATCCATATCCTACCTACGACACTCTGAAATCGATGCAGAGAGAGGCACGATCGCCACTGTACCTGAATGATACCGGCATGATCGCCTCTGGAGTGATCTGCCGCAGCCGAAAACCATGTCCCAGGCCAGTGTGATCCGTCGGACATCCAGGTTGCCTTGACGAACTCGGTGGGCTCAGAGACGTCCTCCTTCACCTCCTCCCACTTCTTCTTAGCTCGTAGCTCTTCGTGGGCATTGTAAGCGTCGGACCGCCTCCTGATGGATTCCGGCAGAGAGTTTATACGCACTCTGAACTCATCGTACTCCCTCTTCACCTTCCTCCTCTCTCGGACGAAGTCCAGCCGGACTTTGTTCTTTAGGAAGTCGCGTTTCTGGCCAAAGTAGGCCTCGGGATTCCTCGGCTCTATGGCGTGCTTCCTGCAGAAGGGGACCCAAATCCTCGCGAAGCTTGCCGTCTCCGCAAGAGCTTCAAACGTGAGAAGAGAACCGCCGTCGTCTGACAGGTAGCAAGCAAGCTTCTCGACAGGGTAGTCGACGGCGAGGATGGAGAGGATGGTGTTTGCCGTGACGAGAGGGGGCTCCTTCTCTGGATCTGCAGTGGAGACGAAGACATCTACTCCAGGGAGATCGGACCGGCCTTTGGGATTGCGGATGCTTGGGGACTCGAAGCGCTCCTTGAGAACCGAGAGGTCGGTGGCGCGGTTCACTGGGCAGAGCTTGGGAAGCTGGTCTAACAGCCAAGAGAAGGCAAACCAGACCTCGCAGGCCACAGACATGGCCCATAGCCATATAGCGTCGTGATTTGGGTGCCGGATTCTCCAGGTCAGGAAGAGGCCGAGGGCGACGAGGCGAATGAAGATGAGCAACCTGAGACTCAAGAATTGGAAACAAGTCATTTCTGAACCTAAAAATCTCAAAAAAAAATTTCGCCAATCTTAACTGCATGAAGAAAAAGACAAACATAAATGCATGGTTTGTGATTTCTAATGAATCAATGCTTAATCATGTTCAAGATCTGTTCTTTGAATCCTCTGTTACCTGTATGGGCTGAGAATTGCTTGGGACACTCCCTTCTTCCTTGTAAGCGGCCTCCTGCATCTTCCCTCGAAGTCGGGCGGCTCCTCGAACCCCTTGAACCCCACGCCACCACCGCCGTTCCCATCTCTCGGCCACACCGCATTCCCGTAGCCGTAAGTGCCCTTGGTCTCGAAAAGCCAGCGGTTGTGGTCGAAATCCCCTCCCTGGTTCGGGGCGCCTTTCATCGATTTCACGATCGAGAGCCTCCTCCCGGCCTTGAACTCTGCCATGGAGGTCAGGGGAAGGGGTCGGTCCTCGGTCTCCGATGCCGAGTCCTCGTCGTCGGTCACCGTCCCGTAGGGCTCCTTGCACCCGGGACACTGACCCCCGCCGCTCCCGGCGCACTCCAGGTAGCAGTCCTTGCATATCATGAACCCGCACTCGCACGGAGGCTTGGATCCGCTGAGGAACGCCCCGCCGTCGCAGCCCTTCATCTTGCAGAACATCCCGGTGGACTTGGCCACCGAGGCGCCGTCCGCGGAGCACTCGATGACGTGGCCGCGGGTGACGCAGTTCAACCCACCGGTGAAGATGGTGCCGGAGATGTAACTCCGCTGGGGCCGCGACTCCGGCTCGAGGGCCTCCTCGGCCTCCACCTCCGCCGCCGCCTGGCGGTCGGGGGTCGGCGGGATGTGGACGGTGTAGCGGACAAACTCGGAGGTCAGTTCTTGACTCTCGTCGTTAGCAGCCATGGAGCAGTACCTTCCGCCGCCGCCGTCGCTGGAGACACGGTGGCTGCTCCGCCTGGCGGCGGCCGCTGGGGAGTCAGGGGTGTTGGAGAAGGAGTGGCGCGGGACCGGGCTCGTCAAGCCGATGCTCCGCCTGAGGGCCCCATCCCCACCTCCCTTCCCGCCGGACGAAGACACGGTGATCGTCACCGGAGAAGCAGGAGACGACGCCCGCCGAGCCATCATTCCCCCTCTTCCCGCTTCTTCGAGATCAAGAAAAGGCAAAACGAAGCAGTGATCGAAGCAAGGAGACAATGTAAGAGACGAAGAGGAGGAGGAGAGCGGAGCCTGAGAGCGCATAAACTAATTTTGACAAGGATTTAAAGAACGTTGAAGCCGAGACGGTAAGTAAAGCGGGTTTGAAGGCGGAAAGAAAAAGAAGAGCAGACAAAAACCGAAGCGCAACGGAAGAAAACAGAAAAGTCGCGCACAACGGTCGCATTCGAACACGCCCACCAACGTTCGAATGATCCGGACGGTCCGCTTCTGTGCACTTTCAACTGACACCGTCGGATGGCTCCCAATCATCGTATTTCAAACACCGACGGCCGGATGGCAACCGAGCCGTCAACGATCGGAGAGACGATCCTGACCCCACAATATCCTAACGTTAACCGGGTGCACAACCCGGAGCTGGAGTACATCAATTGGACGGTCAAGATAGCACGTCATTCCGACGATGCAAATGCACGAAATTTAAAGGGATCATCAAACAATATACTTCGCTAAGATAGTCCTCCTTTACAGTTCCATATTGAAGAGAAGCGGCAGTGCATGTACAGTAGTTACAATTATCATTTACAAGAGGAAAACCTCCTCCTGATGTATACAAAACAACCTGAACAAAATGGTCAGCTGAGGAGCATCAACAAATATGAATTCACAAAGAGAAAGAAAAAAAAGAAAAAAAAGAAAAGAAAATATCCTTTTTCCTATCTCACGTTATATAACAATCACAATGTACAGTTCCATCAATCGGGTGTTAATAAGATTGTAAGAAGGAGATTAAGTCAGCAAGTACCGGCACGTCCTGCCATCTATCACTTGAAAAAGGATTTCCAAGGATGAAGTCCTGGGGATGCTCTCTTCCATCAGGAAGGGTGGGCAGATGATCCAGTTCTTCGTCTAGTTGGGTTGCTGCAAAATTAGGTTGAAAATGAGCACTGACAGGTAGAAGTTCATCAAAACCAGGGATAACATTAAATATTTCTAAGACTTCTATTTTGTGTTTCTTTCAGTGTAGTCATAGGCAAAGCACAATAGCAACAGTAAGTACATTTGACCATCAAAAGCTTTGAGATTGTTAAAAAATAAATACCAGCTACAGTTCAGCAAGTAAAATTCAGCCATTAAAAGATAAGATATTACCAACTGCAATTTTGTAAAACAAAAAGGAAAATGATAGTTAGAAGATAAGTTGGTTTAGTAATTTTTTCAGCATTATTTGAAATTTGGAAATTGAAGGAGGATTATGCATACAAAGGTAAAATCCTACAACTGCAGAATGTGTTCTAAATATTATAAATTGGAATTGAGGACTGATAAAAGAGATTTCCTGTATTCATCACATGTCTCTGTCTTGTGGATGACACGATAAGAATATTCACAATTTGCTTTGACAACATGAAATATCTTAATCCTAATTGGAAATGTTCTATCTCCCAAGTTTAATCCTAATCCAGGCACCAACATTCGCAAAGGGATAGTGCAGGGCACACCTCTGTGGTTATGGTGCAGAAAAGCTCCCCCCATCTCTTTGAGAGTGTTGAGACATGGGGTTGAGACAAAACCTTCAGACATGAATATAACCTCCTAAATCTTGTTTCAGTGTCTCTGTTGCAATTATAATGAATAATGAACCAATTATGTGATTGTAAAAGTAAAAATTCTTCGGAAACTTACTTGGGTATATGATTGCTCATCGTATATTGCAACACCACAAGTCCCAGATGTGGAAGCCCAATTCTGGAAGCTAGCATCATATCCAGACCTGGGTGTCTCAAACTGATTCACCTGATAATCTATTGTACTTTCCTGTAAACTATTTTCGGCATCAGGCTTGAATGTTCTATCACTGAGCAAATTCTGACCATAGGACTGGTACGGGTATTGTCCTCCTAGCTGAAGCCTCAAACATGCATTTGGGCTAAACTCATGCAAGGAATCCTCCTGAACTGGCTCATTTGCATCTGTTTGTTTTCCTGTGCTGAAGTAAGCAGGATAATTTTGAAGAGATGTGTCTGTGGAGCAGCCAACATCTCTGAAAAACCAAAAAATAGCATATCAATCATTATACAAGGAGGTTGGACAACATTGAATTTTCTTTAATCAATTGAAACTGGAAGGTCATGGATGATGATCATGTCATGATGATACATGTGCTTTGGTGACCATCTTAAATGGCAGGCAGTTTAACATATCATGTCCTTGTCAATATTTTTCCCTTGAATCAAGCAAGAGTAACAATCAGAAACTACAATACAATTGCTTCCCAAAATTATATTAATTAAAAAGTCAAAAAATCACAAAAATTACAGTAAAATTAGTGGATACCTATTTAAAGCACCTTGGCTGACAATTAAAAAAGTCCAAGATCAAAATGAAAGAAAAATAAAAAGTTTAGATTGGCTTAAGAAATCATTCCAGCCCATCATTTTATATTAAAAAAGAGTCTAACCCGTATGCATCCCATACACATCAGGTAAAATACATTTCCAACGTTACGTTTAAGCTTAAGCAAAATGACCAATTTCCATTCTTTAATAAATGGGTCAGTTGAGATGCTAGAGGCCCTATGATGTTTAAGCTATGATGCTACTGGCCCTATGATGTTTGAATAAATGGGTCATTCTCCATCATTTTGTTTAAGCTAAAGCAAAAAAAAACCAATCAGTGTGATATAACTATATACCCCTAAACTACAACTGAGCAAATAAAGAATGTCATAGATAATAGGAGAGTACAAATAATTATATCTTAAAAATTATTACATCTACTCACTAAATGAAGAATGATGCAAGGCAATTGGATTGCCTTCTCACCTCTGAGGTATCAAATTAGCATCTTGTGGAAGCATCAATTGCTGACCATCATTGTTATGAAGCCATTGCAATGGTGAGGCTCCTTGCGCACAGCCTAATCCCGAGGACAAATGCATGTCATTTTGGAACTACAGAAGTGGCAAATTTTTATCATCTTGTTGTGATTGATCAATGAACATGCAACGTTTCCTTGCATAGGGAAGTGATTGGCTGAAAGAAAGCACAAGATCACTAAAAGCTTCTTTACCTGGCCACTGCATTCTAAAGAAATAAGTTGCTTTCCATAGTTTTCCTGTCAAGACAAAGAAAATGAAGCAGTTTCAAGTGGGAAAAACTAAAGTAGATAATGACAATAATTCACAAACTACATTGTAAACATCAGATAATGGTTCCATTGACGTAAAGTAGTTTACATTTTATGAGGTTCATATACGAAAACTGTGTTGAGAATCTTGAGATATTATCTCAAGTTCTCAACTGAATAATTGCTAAACATAGTGATGCTATCTGAACTGTTATTTTATTTTCTTCTTTCTTTTGGGGTTAAGAGGGGGAAGGATATAGTAATGGAATATTTTAAGACCAAAGAATTTATCATGAGATAGAAAATCTAAAATTTTCACAGATAACTACAAATATTTAATATTAGAACACCTCAATTTTCTCCTATCAGGAAAATAATAAGATGATCCTGTTGTATACGAGCTTCGTTTTTGGACCACAATGTGGGTCTCTTTTTTAAGTTGCTGAGCTAGTAGACTACTTAGGTTGCAATGAAGTCCATCTTTATGCTCCTGATTTCCCTGCCTGCTAGTCATAGCAGACTCAAAAAAGGATTCTGCATAGGGTGGTGTCATAACAAAGATGCAAAGGAGCTCATGATATCCCCCAAGTTAGGAGTGTTTTTGATGAGAAAGAGATATGAATGAGAGAGATTCTTATGTATAAGATAGCGTAATTGCTCCATATCAACATGGCTATGTTATTGCATTCAACAATAAAGATGAGCTGAAATGATGCAACGTTTTATCAGCAATATCCATATAAACTAATGCAAACTATTTACATGGAAAAGAATAAAATCTACAGTAGAATGGCCAATTTATTAGGCATGGTTCATGAATCTACTATTTTAAAATAGTATGTTACCTTATGCGCCTGAATACGGCTAAGAGATTCCTTGAGAGACTGTTCCATAGCCCTAATATGGTCTATGTTACTAATCTTATCTGGATCGGTCCAATAACTGAAAAGAAAATGCAAAAATGTTAAAAATTTAAGGAATAACACTCATGATTTGGATTTACTGGTAACTCCTACTTATTATAGTCTTCCAGCAGCATTCAGCATTATATTACTCGATGAATGATCAGAAAAATTAGGTGTGCATTAACTCCAGTATGTAGTTGGACAATATGTTACATATTTATTGGACTGTAGAATAGCAGCTAGCATAAGTGGCAACTGTCTCATTTGCATGAACAGACAAAAGTCCTATCAGTAAATAGATCTGGAGGAGACTATGTCCTGCAGGTGCTTTTCTAAGTTCATATGTCTCTGGTAGCATCTATTGACCAGCAATCATATAGTTTGATCTTAAAGAGACCTTCTATACTTGTCAAGGGCTAGAGCAATTATAAAATATATACCCATGTTCCTGCTATTGCATCTGCTTTATATTCTAATATCTAAGGTACCATGTTTCTGCTTTTGCATCTGTTTCTTATTCTAATACCCAATCTTTTATCTTACCCACCAGTGTGTACGAAAAACAACAGGATACCATTAAACCAACATTTGGGTTGAGTTATGGAATATTGTTCTCAAGTAAGCTCCATTAAGGTTTAAGGTTGATGTCCTAAACCAACTACCTACTGCATCACAACTTACATGCTCTTGGAGACAGGATAAATGTGGAATCACCAATGTGAACTGCAAGATTACCAAGAATGTATCACACTTTTGTTCATAAAAGACTAATATATTCTATGACATATATGGCAATGTCATTATAATGATCACAAAAGGCATTTATTAACTTTTCATATAGCCTTTTTGTAATGGCTTTCTTTTCCTTCTAATTAGTTCCAAGACAAATATAAGTATTCTCATAATCTCATCATGAGGCCTCAATCAACACTTAATAAGCCTATATTCTCAAATGCTTCTCCATATCTATATTCTCAATACTACTGCTAATATTCCTTTTATATTTTTAACTTTTTACAAACATATCTTCACTGGTTTTATGATGTATAGATCTCCATGCCTTCATATATTCCTCATTTATCTTCTTTCCTAGGACCCTCTCAAGTGCCACTAAGTAGATAAACAAGAATACACCAGTATTCAACATTTTGAAGGCATGGCATACTAACACATTTTTCTTTTCTGTCTCTCTCTACTTTGTTAGCTGGATGAAGTTAAGACTTACCCATCGGATCTTTGACAACTAATTGCCAGCAAAATTTTGTTGTTGTTCATCTGCTAAGTGTCCCATTATGACCTTAAATCTGGTTGTTGTATTAGTTTGTCATCCATAACTCAAAGCATTTACATAAAGTCATCAAAATACATCCTTCTTGATATTCACAATAAGTTCATCTAAAATATGTATGTGATAAATGGTCACCATCAGTAGGAACTAGGAAGTATGCTGTTGATCACCATGATTATTCTTTAAACTTTTTAACACCATATAAATGCATTTGTTGCGACATTGAAATACCTAATCACCAAGATTCTTGCATCTTGTAACAAAAATGATTCATACTAATAAAACATGACCAATGAAACAAGAGATTATTTGAGTGGTACATCTAGACCTCAATTGTGAGTCTGTCAGCACTCCTCAAGTCTAGATTTTCATCATGGCTACTTAATAGGCATCTATAATGGTTTATTCAACTGTTTTATGTTAAGATTCCAAGGCAGAGGACAATATGAGTCTCATAAGCTTTGTGTCCTTCCTCTTCTTTAAATGCTATGCTAAAACAGGGCAAATGAAGCCACAGCAGTTGCATAATCATAAACCGCAACATAAAGTCCCGAACTGCAACTGTTTCTTGTTTATTTGTAGACCTCTCAATTTGCCTTAGAACTTCATCAACAATCTTGTCTTTGTTGATATGGATGGCATATCTGATAGGGAAGATTAGCGGGTAGAGTTAACTAATAGGAAGATCAAGATGTACAACATAAATACCAAAAATACTTTACAGAAAAGGAACATGACAAGAACAAACGAGGCAGCCAAGAGAAGCCCAAATGTCTTTTAGGGCAGGCTATTTGTGGTTAATTTGATTTTTCCTTGTTATTGAAAGATAATATAAATCTGAAGCCAAGCATGCCGTTCTTTATTGGTGAATATTTCTTTCCTGATCAAGCTATCTTTCCAAGGGTTTTATCTATGTTCCATTGACAGGCAAAGTAACCTGCTAGAGTTCCTTTTGATGGCTACTTGCATAACTAAAAGAACTAGAAGTTACTGCTATGAGATTCACAGTATAGTGTTAAAAAAGGAGGGGAAAAATACTTCACATAAAATGATTCAAGTAATATGGAGTGAAAATAAGAAGATAATAGAAAGCCAAAGCAAGCAGAGAACCTTAGTCTTTTTTGCACATCTAATATTTGACCATGCAATGACCTCAAGTGATTAGTGAGCTCCTGCATAGGAGTTTTAATAAAGATCAGGAATGTCAAAGAAAGCTACAATTATCCTAATTGAAGATGATGATGCAGGGAGAAATATCATATGAAAAGTACCTCAACTGTTTGAGTACTGCAAGGAAAACAAACAAATACCATTAGGGATTTCAAGCATTTTTCATGAAAAATGATAATTACACAAATGATACTAGTACCTTGAACCCAGGAACTCTTGGATATTAACATCATGGTCCAGCTTCTTGAATGTCTTTCTAAGAGCCTAGAAAAAAAGGACATTAGTATTGCAAAGTACATCGTAATGACCCTCAGTTCCTTGAATGTGACATTCTTTAGCAAAGATGGAATAATCATACTGATATACTGATTAGTGAAGAATGGTGAACACACTTACTTCAAGGCTCTCCAATTTTCTGTTACAATTAGAAAAAAGAAAGGTGCTCACCAGAGAGGCCTGTGATTTGAATGTAAGGAAGAAACAGCTATTAAAGCCATGAGATTTTCAGCTTACCTTTTTGCCCTTTCCTGTGGAGATACTTGAGCAAACCTTGCAACAACCTCCTCAATGTTGCTATTAGACAAAAACAAACTATTGGAGTAAAAGTTCTTGTTCAAATATAATACTTCAACAAAAACTAAAACATTAGTGGCAGAGGGTACCATAACCAAGAAAAATCAAAGCCAGTTTCATTAACCACCATGATTATGGATTGAGCTAAGTGTCAATGGAACAAGAGTCCAAATATGAAATCTCCTTATTCTAGAGTTTCATAAGTCAAACAACTTATAATGCTTGTTGCTGATTAACCCCAGGTAAAATTAAGAACAAAGAAATAAAAGACCAGGAAACATCAGTAGGAACTCTCTTTTTGCTGATAATCCATCCAAATCACATACCTGAAGTCCAGATCCATAATGAAAGTGTAACAGTAATGATATTGCTTAGTATAATATTATCTGTAGCCCTTGAATGGACATTGATGGGTCTTAGCACCAAAAACTAAATGATGACCAAGGTTTCACCAGTGTGCACATTATTTTTCAATTCAATAACTGAATAAATATCTAGGACAAGGCTTGACCATTGTATACTGTTGATTTAGCTCCTAAATGTATTAAACACAAACTGCTTAATTGGCATCACCAAGAAAACTCAGCATGGACACTCTTAGAGAAAAAGGGACCAAACATTAGATATATATATATATATATATTATCTAAGCCACCTAAGAACAACTTGATTATCGATTCCGATCATGGACAAGCTCAAATTGGAGCATAACTTTCAGCACCTAACTAAAATGATTTGGGCAGGGCATTTTTTAAAACACCATAAATGATGAAAACACACTTTTTCTGCAAACAAAATATTTTCATTTAACATTTAGGAAACAAACTACAATAACTTGGATAAATGGTCAAGCAAAGACAATTGGTATAAGAATCTAAACTATCTCAACCTCTTTTGTCTCATTGATTTATTCATGTGAGATACATATGCTTGTTCATAGAAGTAAGACAATTTGAGTGGCATCATTGATGGAGGTAAAAGTTCTCTTGTTCAATCAGGTGAGAAAGATGGAAGAACTTTGAAAAAAAATAACAACACGACAGCTTGGAATAGAAATTTAATGGAAACTAGCAGATCCTGTGAGAGAAAACAAGTTTGGTTGCTGTTGAAACCCAAAACAATGTCTATTTTGTCTCATGGAATATTTGGTTTTCAACAATCAAGTAACAATGCGATCATCAACATGTACTCAGGACATAGAAGAGGAAGTGAGAATATGGGAGGTCTATTAAATATTTGCAACAAACGATCACCCTTAAATATTACACCAAGATAGATCTGCCCATCTATCTCCTTTATCATTGTATATCGTTCTTTTTCCATCTCATAAGAAGACTAGATATGATGTGCATCCTCTCTCCAAAGTAATAGCAATGCTTAGCAAAGTTTCTGTGGTAGATTATTTTTCCCTTTTTTTCCAAGAAAAAAGCTCATGTTGACCTCATTCCGATGTTTGTGATAGGTCATCTACAGAACTAAAAGACAATTCTCACAAAATGCACCCGTTTGTCACAGATCAAGCAATAATAACGAAGAAGGGAACATGATGATCAAATCTGAATCCGAAGAGCTTTGCCAAATGATTCAAAAGAAAAAACGCTCGAGGATGACCAAAAAGTTGTTGGTACCTGCGGTCCCCAACACATATTGTAGGCTTCCCATTAGGCGCGAACATGAGAAGGACAAGATCGATGTCACACAATATCGACAGCTCCTTCGCCTTCTTCAGTATTCCCGCTTTCCTCTTGGAATAAGTGACCTGCCGACTGCTGCTATTCTCCAATCTCTTTATCTTCAGTTTCACCCTCCCCATCGAATCCCTTGTCGGCTTCCCCTTCCCAACCCTCCCTCTCTCTCTGTCTCACCCTCACGAAACCTTGTAAAGATGCGACCTTGGGCTTCAAAAGCTTCGAATACACCAAAGAGGAGGCGAAAAACTTGAGTCTCTGCGCTGCAACCAGAGATCGCAGTCACAGAACAACCAGAATCAAAATCTTTAGGGCTATTCCGGCAGCGAATACCAAAAAAGACAACGTTTCGGCGAATTCGCACCCCCTATCCCCAAGAAGCGATCTTTGGGGCTATTAATGCAGGTCATCCGAGGATCCAATCCAAGGGGAAAGAGGAAGCGGAAAGCCAGGGGATATCAATTTGCAGGAGAGAGAGAGAGAGAGAGAGAGAGAGAGAGAGAGAGAGAGAGAGAGATGAAAGAGCGGGAGGGAAGGGTCAGCGAGTCCGTCCAACCAAAGCTGCTTCCCTAAGAAATCTCTGAGGTTGGTTAGTTAGCCGAACCGGAAAGAAACGGTCCGGTTTTCTGCGCTCCGGCTTTTCGCGGCTCCCGTCTGATGCAAATGTCAAACATCTCCACGATTTTTAAAGTATTCAGACATATATCACTTCTTTCTTTTTAACTTAAATTTACTTAATTTTCCTACTACTTGATGCATGTGTTTGAATGTTCGATGACATGTTATTATTTAGACTTTACAAGTATCATAAATCATATTAAATAGAGCCCATCTTCCACTTCAATCTCTACAGTGGATCTTAATTTTTAAAGCCTCCAAATATGATATTTTTATATAAAATTAATATTTTTAATATTTTTCTATATGGGAAGTTTTTAATATGTCTTATAAAATCTAAGATGCACAAAATAATGATAAGACAAGCATGAAAATATATCCCTCAATTATCAAATACTAATAATTGTAAAAGGATAATATATGTATGTATGTATAGAACTAGTGAATCAGCCTAATAGAAAACCATTGATAGTGACCACAGAAGCATGCTTGTGGGGTGAAAAGCGAGTGATCACTGACGGTGCTGGTTCTCATGTTCTTTAGGGGACAAATGTCTATGTATGTCCTCACCACCATGATTAAGACGCCATTTTTGTTACTGATGCTGTCGTTATATTGTAGGGAACTTTTGACAGGTAACAGGGCCATCAACATGCCAAATATCTTTATTGACAAGTTAAGCTTGTCAATAAGAATATAATCATCGTTTCAAGCATCTGACACATCAACAACATTATCAATCACATTAGTGATTGTATTAATGATAGTTATAATGAATCAAATTGTCGATCGTTGTATCCAATTGATCATGGTCGTAACATTTTTCTACTTGCATCGCATGTGTTATGGAAAGATGTCATTAACATCTTGATTAACCCCATATAGTCTAAATTCATGTACGTAAAATTATTCAAGATATAATCAAGATAAAAATATCTGAGTCTTGAGATGTCACTTTTATGAAGATTGAGATCGAAAGATGTTTTTTCGATCCGATCCTTTCGAGTCTCAAGTTAATAAACTGAAATATGTGTGTATGATTGCATGTGGTCAAACATAAATTTCTTTTTTTTACTATAAACTTTTATATATGATTGTAAAGGGAGAAAATATTCTATAAAATATGTTATAGAGAGATAATCTTCAATCGTCTCTAATAATCTCTCCTTGCCATTTTTCCCATGTGAGTGATAAGGGTGAAATAGCTTGCAACCTCCTACATTGGACCCTTATTAACATAGATAGTCAAATGAGGGATAACTTTACTCTCTTTCCTCGAGCATAGATGTCATGCAAATGACACATGTCAGATGGTGAATTGTTGACGATATCTCCTCCCCCCTCACTCCCCAAAATCATTTGTCCCTTCCGAAAGCATGCTTTAAGGGTTCTTACAAGATGGACCTGAAATGTGACATCTGGTTCATCCGACACATTCAGCTTACGGTTCTTTGATTGGTTCTCTGACTCATGGGGTGAATGCCAATGGGGGTTGGGTCCTTGCATCGAGCAAATACTAATAGGGGATAGAGATGTCTGACTTGACCTATGCCTTGAAGCACTAACCTCTGAGGGTTGGTGACACCTCAATGCATCGAGTGAGCACCAATGAGGGTGAGGACACCCGACCCCCATGAGTCAAGCAAATCACCGACGGGGGTCAAGGACGTTTGACATATGCCTTTAATCAACAACCTCCGAGAGTTGAGGATACCCGACCTCTATGCATTAAGCGACGAAGGTTAGGGGAAGCTTGGCTTGTACCTTTCAATCGACAATCTCTAAGGGTCGGGGGCACCCAACGTCCACTCATCGGGCAAATCATCGACGAGGGTCGATCTACGAGGGTCGAGGACACTCGACCTCTACTTATTGAGTGAGCTCCAATGAGGCTTAAGGATGCCCAACATTTGCACATTAGGTGAACGCTGACAAGGTCGATGGTGCTTAACTTCTATGCATTGGGCAAATCACCAATAAGGGGCAAGGATGCCCGATTTGAGCTGACAAGGTCGATGGTGCTTAACTTCCATGCGGTGAGCACTTCGCCTTGTGCTCCCATCATAGTGTGTTTATTCTCATGCAGACGATTTTTTTCGACTCACATGCCTCGAATACATTTTGTTTTGTGCCTCCCGTCATGACGGATTTTCCTCATGTGGGTCGAGTTTTCTTAACTCATGGGCCTCGAGAATATTTTATCTTATACCTCTTGTCATAGTAGGTTTTTTCTCACACGAGTCAGATTTTTTCGACTCATGTGCTTCGAGCACATTTTGCTTTGTGTCTCGTTATGGTATATTTTATCTCATGTGGTTGGATTTTTTCGACTCATATATCTCAAGTATATTTTGTCTTGTGCCTCCCATCACGATGGGTTTTTCTTATGCAGGTTAAGTTTTCCCGACTTGTGCCTCGGGTATATTTTATCTTGTATCTTTCGTCATGATAGCTTTTTCTTACGCTTTCCAAGGTGACCTTTGCACATTGATCACTTTTACATTTTTCAAGATGCCCATTCATTAATTAGTATTTCTTTGGATTCTACCCAAAGGGATATTTGTCTTAAATATAAGAGAAGAGATATTGCTCCTCTCCCTATGAATCTCTCTTACTACAAAGTCCTATATAGTCACATAAGCTAGGTTGTACCTGTATCATATAGGCCAAGTCAAACTTGATTGTAAGGGTTAGGTCGTACATAGTCACAAGAGCTAAGTGATACTTGACTATATGGGTTGAGTCACGCATAACCATAACGGTTGGGTTGCTCCGATCTGATTGATCAACCTGATTTAGGTTAGACCCCAGTTAGATTTTTTTTATTAAATTAGATTTTAATATTTTAAATTATTAGAGAATAACTCAAATCTATAAATTAAATAATTTAAATTTATATTTTTAAATTTAAAACTAATTAAATCATAAAAATTACACATAATTATTGAATATATAGTTAAATGAATTAGAATTATTATATTAATCTAAAAAATAAGAATTTTAATAAAATCATTATAAGTCAAATAATCATTCTAATATCATAAATCAATAATTATTATTTATTAATATAAAATTTTAAAATTAAAATATTTATGCATCATAAAATTATAACAATCCTAAATTCTAAACACTTTTTAAAAGATAAAAAATAATTTAAATTTAAATTTAAATTTAAATTTAAATTTATTTATTTTTACATATAAAAATATAATATTTATCTTGAATATTTGTCTACATGGGCAATCCAGTAAAAAATAATTTTTATTTTTTATTTTTAATCTAAAAAATAAGGCAAAGAACACGTATTAAACGATGAATGATTGATGATATCCTCGTTGTCAGCACTGAGGTATGATTCATCTCCACGTCCGTCTTCTTTCAGTCTCGACGCTCTGGTGGCACTCACACAGTAACCGACTTGGGAGACAACGCATCATTCGCTAACACAGCCAGGAAAGCGGGTAAATACGGATACGTAGATGTCAGTTTGCATGCTCGAACTCCTCCACCAGTGTAGATGCCAATCTATGAGTTCATACGGATACGTAGAATCTACGGGTACACACGTAAGTTTGATCGGTGGACAAATACACAACAGCTGCACCCGTATTCCACGTGCACTATGGTGAGCTTCCACGTGCGTTCATCCCGGGAAGCGGGCCACATGAGTCATCCATCGCACGTGGCTTCTTCTCAGCCGCAACACTCGCACGTGCTTCATTCCAGATCCCATCGCGTCCGTACAGCAAACGGCTCGACTCGAATAACTCCACGGATCCGCTCCGGTGATGCAAATCAGCGAATCACCTTTACATACCGTCTCAGTTTGACACGTGGTACCGAATCGACCTTCCATTGGTGGCATTGTGGACCCGAGCGGCCCATCACTCTCCCTTTGTCGTCTTCTCTGTTGCTGCTTCCGACCGAAGCAATTGCGGTGCTCTTTCGCCACCTCCTTTTCTACCCCTGGCGCACAACGCGGTTTCCTTTGCCTCTCTTCTCTCGCCAAGGCTCTTTAATTTTCCACCAGAGGCCGCTCGCCGCCAACTCCTCTTCTTCAGCTCCTCTTCTTTATTAGGGTTTCCCTTTACGGCCGGATTCGAAACGGGAGGAAGCCATGGAGATGGACTCATGGGATCGGTTGTCCTCCGCCTCGAAGCGCCACGAGTCGATTCTTCGATCCCGATACGGTTAGTACTGGAGGATGTTGCTGTTCCTTCATTGTTTTGGTTAGTGTTAGCGGGACCGGTTCTAATTGTTTCCTTATTACCCCTTTTTCCTGGATGTTAGATATGTACCTTGGATTGGAGGACACCGACGGAGGAGAAGATGACTCTCGAGCGGAGTTTCCGTGCCCGTTTTGCTTCGAGGACTTCGATCTGGTGGGATTGTGCTGTCATCTTGATGATGAGCACCCAGTGGAAGTGAAGACTGAGATAGTATGTCAATTCTGGTCCTTGGGATGCATTTGAAAGGGTTTTGGTCTGCTGTGTCACTCTGTTTGTTTTCTTTTGACTGTTGGATCAAAAATGGGATTTTGATGGGATTCTTCCAAGAAAAAAACGTCGTTTTTTTTGGCCTTTTGGTACCCTGTTGTACGTTGCTTGTGAGTTGCCTTCCTGTGTTACGAGTGCGACTCTGTATTTTCTTCTGAAGGTATCAGCCCCTTGTGATGCTTGTTTGTTACTTTATTTGACCTTACTGAAATAGGAAGCCTTTTTCCTAAACGTTTTCTTCGTTTTTGATATCAATTCTTGTGTTTGATTTTTGCAAAAGGTTTTGGGTTTTGGTGGCTTCCCCAAGTCCTATTCTATGATGCTACAACCATTCCTTTCATCCAGTTATTTTTTTTAGTATTTAAAATGATTTTTGTATAATTTTCATCTCTCATATAGTCGTGGTTTAAATTGATATTTTAGTCATTCAGAAGCGAGAGATTTATAGTTGTTTTGTTCCCATGGACTTTTATGTCTCTGCAGTCTGAATTGCATATCTATACCTCTTGAATTATACTTAATCAGAAATTCAGTATGTTTAGATTCTTCTTGTGGTTGTTCAGTTAGCATGAAAATGGTGGCTTCGAAAGAGTGATGGAACTAGGATTTCATCCCTGGATTGTACCAATGTATTATCCTTAGATATGTCCCTAACCACATCGTAGAGCTCAAGGAAAAAATCAAAAGAAATCTTTAGCTATTACATCCCAAGATTTGGGCATGTTGTTGTCATGGTCCAGCTTGATTCTCTCACCAAGTCCAATACGCTATGATATCATTTATCATAATTCTTATCGGATATTTGATCCATTAACTTTGAGCCACTTATAAAAAATGCTTAAGCCAAAGTTAATGATAATATACTTATCTGACCTTAAAATCCAATTTAACCCAATTAAAGTCTTTTTTTTCAGTGTGGACCTAAATTGTACAAGCTCCAATGAATGATAGATATTTGGAGAGAAAACCTGGTTATTTGAGGTTGTCAAATGCTAGTTATAATGGAATCCATCTTGAGAAAATAGTAGATTTGCAGCCCTATTGTTTTACACCCAACTGTTGCTTGTCTCAATAGGTCTGTTTCGAGGCCCTAGGCAGTTTTTTTTACTGATTTTGATCTTCAACTTGAATATGTTGCATATATTCTTTAATCATATTGTTATATTTATCACTTTAGTAGCCATATAAAACAGTAAGTAGTGTCTTGTGTTGTATAAATATTTGCTTGAGCAGGATCCACTTTTATGTGAACTAACCTTTTGAGTGACTTGTCTTGTTGTTGTGACCAAAATAACTTTCCTTTGCCCCAAAGTTTGCCTTTAGTGGATGTATTATTGACTTACCATTATTCATTTGAATTTAGCAAAAAATCTCACATTTATATTATCTGTGTGTTTAATTCGTTATATGTCGGTGATGTTTCTTGTCCTGACATTAGCTTCTTTTTTTTTTCAGGTATGCCCTATATGTGCGGCCAGAGTTGCAATGGACATAGTTGGCCACATAACAGTGCAGCATGGAAATTTCTTTAAGATATCCTTTTTTGAATCCCATTATCTGTTTCTATCGAGTCTGATGCTCCTATTGATTTTTTTCCTATAGTTATTGAATAATTAAATCTTTCTTTTCAAGCAGAAGATTTTCTCAACGAGTTATTACTCAGTTCCTATTGTGCAAATGCCATGTTCTATATTGAGTTGCTCAGACAAGTTTCTTAACCAAGAGCTCACATGCAGCATGAAAGGAGACTTTCCAAAGGTTCATCAAGATCTCATTCGACACTTTCGTTCCTGAGAAAGGAATTGCAGGATGCCAATCTTCGATTTTCCTGTGGAGGCTCATCAGACACGCTTGCTTCCTCCAATGCTGCACCTGATCCTTTACTGTCATCGTTCATTTTCAGTTTGCCTGAAGTGGAACCTTCAAAAGATGTACAAGCTGTAATCTCTGATGAAGAAAGCACAGTGGATGAAATTTCAGATGATAAGGTGGAAAATAGGTATGAAATACTGGCATTTTGTGTTGAATTATATTCTTCTTTTTTCCACTCCTATTGTTATAATGATTGCATCAACTTATTGCATGAGATCTGTACACATATTATCAAGAAGTGGGTTATATGGGCTTCCTACTGTTTGCATATTGATCACTTGTTAAAACAGAAGTAAATGTATGATAATTTAGATTGATATTTAATGTGGGTTTCACAAATCTATATATAGAAGGATAGTTTTACTGATAGACGAACTGACTTGTCTCTCTATAAGTTGCTTTGAATTATCCGAATGTGAGCCATACAAATTTGACAAACCTACTCAGAGTTTCCGTATATGATATTCCTATTTCACTATGGATATTGTCATTCACTTGACATCCAATTACATCACTGTTTGTACTTATATCATACTTTTGCATTGTACCTGTTAGCCACTTGTAGTGCGAACCCTGTTCTGAAGGGTAAGACATTACCCTATTTCGAAGTGAGCCATGAAGCTGATGATAACCAGTCACTGGTGAAATTAATTGAACCATCAACATGTAGGGATCTTGACAGTTATAAGCATCACTTCTGGACCAAAGGGTAATCAAATTTCATACTGAGAAACGGTTAACTAGCCCAAATTCAAATTATTTAGAGTAACTTATGATAAATGCAGTAAACACTGTGGTGAAAATGCACAAGAATTGAGATCGTTTTACTGCATTTTGTTTCTTAAATTTGGCAACACGAATAACAACAGAGAGGGCTGTCAGTAAAGCGGACACTAGAATTTGATGAAACAATGTTTAAAGCAAATGATAGCTTGGTGTGAAGGTGAGAAACAAGTACTGTCATCCTTGAGCAAGCCCATATTGAACCTCCAATTCCTTCAACCATGAACCTAAAAACACTCACAATGCTAGGCCTGACTTCTGGGCTTCGCTTCTTGGCCCAATATCAATTTGAAGTTCGGCTGTGTCTTTATCTAACCTGTAAACCTGGCAGCCATGGCATACTTAGCCACTTTACAAAATTAATCTGGAACCATGTAAAGTATCAAGTTCCTGGGATTTAACATTCATTGTTTTTACTTTGGGCAAGCATACTCGATCTTTTTGCTACCAGTTCTTTTAGGTTGTGCACAAAATTGCTAATCATTCACACGGTAGAGTTGCTATTTGCAATATTGATTAGAAATATGTTTCATTGTCTAATTTTTCATTTCAAGATCCACTGGAATGTTATATATTTTCTATCTCCTTAAAAAAAATCCAATAATTTAGTTGCTTTTTTCTCTTGCTAATTTGACTTTTGGTTGAATTTCATACTTCATCTGTTGTAATTATTGTTCATTCTTTACATGGTTACCAAATTAAAGTCTACATAGAAAAACTTGATTCTTTTTTCTGGTTATGTATGACATACGTCGTTGTTCATTAGATATAAATGGCCATCTATGTATCCATTGTGACCTTTTAGTAGGAACTAATAATCGTGACAGGAGAAAAAAAAATCATTCCAATGATCCTCGATATGAAACACTGCTAGGAAATTAATTCTGCTGTCTGTAAATCAGCGGACAGGACTACTGTCCCACTGTTATGGTGTGTTTAAGATTAATGCCTGTCATTTGAATAAAACACGCATGAATAATGGTTATTGAGCTTCAACATATTAGCATTTATGTCAATTGAAACCATTGCCTCTTGAGTTTTGATGGTGAATGGGAGGGCTGTAATGACTTCAAATTATGACTGCCAAAAGGATTTCGCCTTCCGTTCTCTATGCCAAAAGGGCTGTAATGACTTCAAATTTATTGTCTTTTACAAAGCATGGCATCAGTTGCATCGTCTCTGCTATCTTGTTATTCACATTCAGACCTTTTTGTCTCTTCTTTTAGATCTCATTTTGATTGCCTAATGTTCCTGAGCCTGCTTTCCAGTGCCGAACCAACTCTATCTTATCAAGATGAGGAGAGAGCTCGGAGGAGCGAGTTTGTGCGGGAGCTTGTGCTGTCCACGATAATTGACGACAACTTGTAGTGGAGTCAACCAAGTGGTGGCAGCAGCTGCGGCTATGGCAATGCCTGATCTCACTTGGCGAGTTGCCACCTTGGGCATCAGAATTGCCCACATCTCTGGCAGAGGGGGAGGTGATCTTATAGAGTTATAGTTGTATTGCAAGAAGACGAGTGCTTGGAATCTGTGATACAGCACTGTAGTGTATAGGTCATAGCTATGTATAATTCAAGTGCAAGCATCTCTTTCAAAAGGAAACAATAAAATGTTAGCTGAAAGAAGTCAGGACACGTCTTTTGGAATCTCAAGATTCTGCTCATTTTCTAGTCTCTTGCAGCTTTAGAAAATTAATCTATTGATGATGATTTTTGATCCATTTTATTAGTTTGAGGATTTAAAATTTTTGATTTTTTTTAGATCCAAAACATTAGTTTAGTGTTGAAATATCATATCCCGAACATAATTATCGAAGGATAGAAGCCTAACACAGAACGTAGGGCTCACCCTTGGAACATTGCGGGGTGACGTCAGTCGCCCTTTCTCCACTATCATAGCGTCTTCCGTAGGCGATTGGCCACAACGGCAAGACCAACAGACTCTGACGCCCCTCCGGGGGGAGTACTATTCTCGTATGCCGGCCAAAGCCAGCAGGCACAAAGGAAGCGTTGCTCATTCGTCACAAATTGTGGGCCCGATAAGCGATCGTGTCATACCCGGTGACCTGGCAACCGATGGGTCGATCTTATTCCTGTTTGGTCGCTCGATCAAGGTAAGATGTGATAGTTGTTAATTGGAGTCTCCTTGTAGGTGTTACATGAGATTATATATATATTATAAGACCAGAGCGAAGACTTAAATGGATGATGTGAAGTTTCCATGGTTGTTTCCCTCCGAGGTTCTATATAAAAGCCGAGCGATCCGCCGCTCGTCGACATTCCCTCTTGCGAGCTCTCATGGCGACCAAGAAGCGGCCTCTGCTTGCCCCGGGGGAGGAGGAGCGGGAGGGCGGGGAGGGATCTCGGACAATAAAGCGATGGCGGCCCCTAATCCTGTAAGCGGGCAACACAAGGTTTCGTTTTCGACCCGAGGCTTTTCTTCTTCTTCTTCTTATCTTTTGCGTCTTCTTTTTGGTGCCAGAGAGGTCATGGGCGAGCAGCACATGAAGCGTTTCTTGACGAGACTGGAGTCGGTTGTTCGCAGAGCGGTAAAGGGCTTGTCTTGATCTGAGTCTATGTAGGATTACTAGAAATGAGAAAAGTTCGCATTTGATCTCGTCGTGGAGGGTTTAACATCTGATCCTTTGTGTTTTTGTTGTTGTTTTAATCTTTCTTTTGGAGGTATAAGTTAAAATCGTTTTCATTATCGCCTTTGATTTTGATTTCTTTTTTCTCCTACTCTTACATAGTTGTCATGATTTATCGCACATAGTCGTCTTTCTTACACGCCCAATTCGCAAAGTCTTTTGGAAGGTTGAGGAGGTAATCTATTTTGTCTGTGACGAAATATTTAACCAATAGTTTGTTTCCTGGAGATTAACAAAACTAGTGGCGGATTTGCTTCTTCCATCGACAATTTCTTTTCTTGGGTGTAAAGTGTACAGTATGGATATTGGTATTTGGGCTTCCAATCTTTCTACCAAATGTAGGCAATCTTCTTTAAAACCCACCTGCAATCATACTCAGTGAGAAAGCCTTAGATGATGTATTTTTGTTGGCATTACTTGGACGGTTTGACCATCCCTGGGATAATTTTTAGTAAATTATATTATTATGTTAAGTTGTTGGTTACTTGTCCCATAATTAATGCTTTGTCTTAAATATGACCAAAGAGCATAATAGCTGGTAGTAAGAAAATTTTATCTTATTTCTCTGGAGATACACATCGGTTGCAATTAACTTGTACTTTTGTTACGCATGTTGTGTCTATCATCATAGTTACACTATAATTGGCTTCTCATAATTTGTCATTCTGCATGAATAGGTGCAAGATGAAATTAGGAAGTCGCTTGTTAATTGGTCACTTCCAGTTCCCAGGTAAATTTTTTTGTCTTAATTTTGTATTCAGTGTTCTGCATCCAAAGTACCTTGCAATAGTTCTTTTATGTGTTCCTCATGGGCTTGGATGTATAAAACAACTGGATTCTTGTCATTACTTGTGAAGCATGACCAGTTCAAAAATGCTTGTCATGTTTGTATTGTGGCTATGTTGCTCTTTGTGCCTGTTATATACTTTACAACAATTTCTGAATACACTTAAATATATTAGGACATCTGTATATTCCATTCTTATTTATATTAATTCGTGGTACATATAGAACAATAATATCATCTATATAAGTCCTCAACACACGTTGAACACAACATATGTATGTATTTTAGTCATTTGGCCTACAATATTTTCTAATTTTTTGGGTATGCATTTAAAGTACTTTAAGAAATTATTGTTGTTTATATGAATAATTGTTCTGCTTTGAGATACATATATGACACTCGTATGTTTTAACCATACAAAATTTATCCTAGACACAAAATTGTCTTTTTCCATGTTATGCCATGTCCTACTTTTTCCATATCTTGTCATGTTTCCCCGTCCATAATAACTTGTAGTGTTTGGTGCTTAAACATAGGCAAGTATACTGTTAGAACTTTATTAACTTGACATATATCATCTTACATGAGCATTTCAGTAATTTATCTGTTGCATTTAGTAGCATTTGAGTGTCTGATGTCTGCATGTTATAAATGGACCAGTAAAAGATATTGTCATTTGCTCAGTTCGGATGCTGAGTTATACCAGCTGCAATTCCAGAATGGCTTGCCTGAGAAGCTTTACACATTAAAGCCAATAATGACAAAGGACCAAAATCTTGTCCAGATATCAATAATCGATACTACCACAGGAAAAAGGGTCACTTCTGGTCGCTGGTCTTCAGTGATGGTTGAGGTTCTTGCTCTCCATGGTGATTTTTATTGTGATGGACAAAAAAGATGGACTAAAGATGAATTCAACAATCATATTGTTGTTGCAAGAGAGGGTAAAGGATCACTGCTTATGGGAAAACTGGTTATTCAGCTGACCAATGGTGTTGGTTATCTTGATAATGTCTCTTTTAGTGATAACTCCATTTGGACTAGAAGTCAGAAGTTTAGGCTAGCTGTGAGACTTTATAAAGCTGAAGGAGCTCAAGAAGGAATAAGTGAACCTCTCCGGGTAAAGGATCGTCGTGGACAGTGTAAGTCCACATTTTGTTAACCTTTTTCACTTCTTTAATTATCGCTTGACTATTATGGAGACAAGTGCATGTGATTTTGCAATTAAACTAGAAACTTGTAGATACCAAAATGCACCATAAAGAAGGAAGCATTATGTTAATTGAACTTGATTTAAGACACCAGAGATCAACATAAATCATTATGAGAATGCTATCTAAGGTAATTTTTGTTGCGTTCTTAGTAGCAAAATCTAGTTTCTCAAGTATTCATGGAAAATTGAATTAGACTGAGCAAACAGCCTTACTTCTTGCAAGACTGCAGTTTATCGAAACTAGCATGTATAATATATTACTTACATTGATTCTTGCTGAAATTGCTATGCTTTCTTAAGAATGTGGTTGTAGGTCTCTAATTATAACAAGCTTATCAAAAGATGTACTAGGAACATCCAAAACCCACAGAAGAAAGCCATTCAGAAAAGATCATCAAGCAACCCATGAGAGAAAAAAAGAAAAATTAAGGCTGATTGCTGCAAGAAGAAGAGGGTAGATGGAGTTTAACATGCCTTACTGCAAGAAGAAGGTGATAAAGTCAGGAGCATCAAGATTAAAACATCATCTATATGCTTGCATTAATGAACAGGAATTCATGGTTGAAAATATGTAAACTGATAGTCATATACAGAAGAACTCCCCAAGGAACTTAATGATGTTTTTAAAATGATATTCAACTTTGGTCTCCAGACCATGGGCATTCTGTTCAGTTTTACATTTTATTGTTAAGGTCTCATCAATATTTGTATTTTTTTATTCTTTACCTGGAATAAGTTATATAAATCTAAGCTAAGAAAAGAATGATTTATCAAGTAAATGCCTTTACTTCTGAAGTGTTTTCTTATAAACATTGTGTGAAAAATATTTTCTTGTTGCAAAATAGTGTGATCATAGAGCATATACACCTGTATACTTGAATAACTTAAGAAAAGGGGAGCTTTTTAGTGCATCGTGGTATGAGTTTAAACTTTTGACAATCATTGTTATAGGAGCTCATTCAGGTAGCTAGGAGGGCCTTCAAGTTTCTTGCAAAGATATATTGCATATTAGGGGTTTAAAAAAAATATCAGTTGATGTTTGCAGCGTATTGTAGAGTTGACGTTCTTTATAAGGATTTATAGTTTGTCAACCCTTGAAATTTGTAACTAGAATACAGATTTTGAGATTTGCATAATCATCATTCACACTAACATGATTGGAACCTGCAGCCTTCAAAGAATGTTATCCATAAATAGGCTGAATTTCTATTTTATTAATAATCTTAGGTGACAATTTTGAAGGGATAATGCAGCAAATTATGTGTCTCATCATGGTAACATACATTGATCAAAGTAAGCAAGGGTTTATATTACAGTGTTTTATTGTCTTCAATTTCAGTGAACGAGAAGCATCATCCTCCATCATTGACTGATGAAGTCTGGTACCTGGAGAAAATACGGAAAGATGGTCCTTTTCACAAAAGACTTGTGAATGCTGGAATACATTGTGTGAAACAATTTTTACAAACCCTTTCTATGGATCATGATAATCTGCGCAAAGTAAGCAATACCTGCCAGTTCTTTTTTACTTGAGAAGTTCAATTACAAGATCATTTATTAATATATTTTTTTCTCTTGTCAAACTTCAGTTACTTGGCAATGGAGAGTCAAGCAAGAAAGGAATTGCAAAAAGGACATGGGAAGCAATTGTTGCAAATGCTAGGGAATGTCCACCAGGCAAAGAGCTTTATTCTTATAATGTTGTTGGACAGAGTGTCACTCTCATTTTCAACTCGGTGTATGAGCTTCTTGGGGCAAAACTGGATGGCCATTATCACACTATCAGTAACTTCAGTGCACCTCAGAAGGTTCATATTAGAATTCAGGATATATCTCCAGATATTCATTGATGATTATTGTTGCTAATGCTAGTTTTTTCTTATTCTGCATTTGCATGTTCATAATTCAATATATCTTATAACTTGGTTTAAGAAGATTGTGGTGGACCTTTTTAAAGCACAGGTAATAAGGTAAGATGATGCTGTAGGTTAGACCTGTCAAATTGTCAGGGTGGTCCAGGGTTTGGGTCAAGCTTCAAACACAATGGCCAGATAGAATGATCTTGCTAGCACAATGTCTTTGATCAACTACTGAGGGCAGGTGGCTGCTCCATTCTTTCTTTTTATTGATAAAACACTTGTTGGGTGAAATTATGCATGCAGTTTCTTGGGAGAAAACTGAAGTAGCTGCTTTGTCATTCCCAAAGTTTAATTTCTTCGTCTCTCTTTTCCTTTATAATCGTATGGTTCCAAGTCCTTTCTGTTTGCTTCACAGAATGTGCTGTCACCTCTCCTCTACCTCTACCAAACCTTCTTTTGCCCTTTCTTCTGCATCTATCAGTAGAATTCCTCCAGCTTTTGATGGTATTGCTCTCGTCCTAGCTCCTGGGTTTTGGTGGGAATGTGGATTGATTTATCCGCAATAGGGGACCATAGAGAGTGAATTGGGTTAGTTAGCTTTACAATTAAAACAATTGATGGCAGTCAGATAAGAGGTAAATTTACAGCGACAATTGTTCTCGTGCATATCTAGCATTATTCTAGTTCTTTTGTGAAAGGGTTTCAGGAAGTTTTTATGTGCTCCAAGAACAACAATATTAAATTGCTATTTGGTAAAAGATTAAATGTCAAAACAGCTTGCTTATATTACTCTTTTTGAAAGAAAACAACAACCACAAGTTTGAGCACAAACAGGTCTCACAGAGTCCATTCCTAGAACGAGTTACTATAAACAATGTAAAGTGAATTTTGGTTGTTGCTTCAATAACCTTTAGTAATTGATACCTGTTCAAACGTCACACCTTCAAACATGTTCTTTGTTTTTGGTTGGATGGCTTCCAAAGGTTGAAATTTTGAGGGACTTTACCGAATCTGAATTAACCCGTGCTCTGAATAGTTTCCTTCTGGCTGATGGCATGTTGTGGCATCAGTTGACTTAGTATTCTTGCATTTAGGATGAATTTTCTCTTAAGCTGGTCCAGGTAGTTAATTTCCAAGTAGGAAAGCAGCAAGTTCAATGAGCATAAGCCAGAAAGGCAGAAACCATGCTGTAATTCTTTCCTTCAAGTTTTGTGGTTACACTTGTATTACATGAAAGCAAGTACTTCATATTGAGCATTACCAAAGAAAGTTCTTGCATAACTATTAGCTTATTCTAATTTGTTCAAAAAGATATAAAGTGAAATCTTATGCAATTCGTAACATAAGTTTTCTCTTAAGATAGTTATTTTGTCACAGGTATAAAGTTGATGACCGGGGTTTATCTATTTCATGGTACCATTGTGGTAAGATGTCATTAGCCAATGTCGTTTTGGTTTGCAGGCTTTAGTAGAGATCTGGAAAGGACTTGCTTTTGAAGATACGAAAAGCTTTAACTCGGATCACATGATGGTTGACAACATTCCTGTTCCCCTCTCTCAAGAATATGATCACTTAGTTACAGTATCAAGCTCACTTGGCTCACGTGTTCCACGTCTTTCAGGTACCTAACCATTGTCTCTCAAAAAAGTTTCATGCTTTGATCTTCTTTTGATATTTTTGTAATTTTGAACAGATGATGCATTTGGACAAGTGGGTTTACTTAATGAACCTTTTGCACCATATGGTGAGATTACAAATCATTTACCTCAACTGGAAGATACTTTTTCTAAATATGGTGTTCATCCTTTAAAGAAATCTACATGCTCTCAGGAAACAGAAAATTCCTGTGTAAGTGATACTTTCCTTTGTACTTCTATTTTTGTTTGTAGCACTTCATGGCTTGGACACATTTTGATCATGTAAAATATCATGGGAGTCATTTATTTCAGGCATTAAGTTAAAATTCTGAGAACTGAACTTGTACTTGTGGGGATCACAGAACATGATGGTGGAGGTGTTAAGGTGCTGCATCCAGCAACTAATGCCCACAAATTCTGGATTCCATATGTTGGTCTGTCATGATGCATCTCCTTGGGAAAACCAATTCATTAATTTGATGGGCCTATAACCATGTGATACAAAATGCTTAAGACCAAGTTAATGATAATAGACCCATCTATCCATATAAATCAATTCAATCCTTATTCTGCTACTCTCAAGCATTATGTTCCATTTATTGCAGAAGAAACTAGTCAAGGAAATTTACTTAGTGCGATATGATATGACATGAAGAAACATTTTCAGTCAAACCTGAGGCTTTAGTTGTTGGCCTATTATCTTAAATCTGTGGGGTGAAATGCATAAATTTCTCAGGAGAGGAAATCCTAAATTTTCCCACTCTAAAACATGTAACTGCATGACAATACAGGAGTAAGTTAGTTTATATATTAAAACAAATTAGCATCTATTTCCTTAATGCAGTAGGTCTGGTGTCTTGGTATGGGTTGTATCATTGGTCGTGTTTATGCCAGTAGAATTATTTTCCATCAGTGATTCAAGAAGTGCAGTATATTGAATGTCAAGCTTCTAGGTAGTAATGAACTGTTTTTTTTTTAATCTGTTATCTCTGAAGAGACAGTAACAAAGTGCTGAAAAGTGGCTGGTGCATAGTATGTTGCTGAGTGGGCTACTGAATGATTAGGATCCTCAGATGAGCTTATAAGTTGCATTGCTGTATATGACACAGGGTTACCAGCTAGTCTAAATTAGGCAATCAGTATTCTTAGTTCTATATTTTTCATCATCGAGTCTACATATGCTTCTTATCCCAGGAGGTCACGGTTTGCTTCCGTGTCCTTATCAAGTGTAGAGACAGGACCTCTTTACCTTGTAAATGCATACCTAGTTTTCAACAAACCAATATTGTGATAGAAAGATCCCTCCTTAGAATTGTGACTCAGCCATGTGTTCTAGTTATCTAGGTCTTGCATCTTGGTCATGCTTTGGTCTGGCTAGCACCTAGTCATAACCGAACAAAAGATTGCAGTTGAAAGATCTTACTCAACTTTGTGATTCTGCTTTGTATTATGCTCATGCTTCTTGTTTCTATTTTGGTATGGCGAAAATGAACCTTCTTGCAACTGAGGAAAACACCATACAGAAATATCCTCTTTTCTTTCCCCATACATCTATTATTTGCTTACAAAGAGTTGTACTTTGTGTTTTGAACTGCATTATTTTCTTCTGCAGCCTGTTTCAACTGAGATCATCAATTTGCTAGTTAACCACTCCACCATGTGCCCACCAACACCAAATGGTATACAGATTCCAGAGTCAAGCATACAGATGGAAAATGGTAACTGAATTTTGTAATGTGATGGAATAAAATTCATGTCCTTGATCTCCCATACTAATTCTAGTCTAGTGTTGAATTGCTTGACAGATGAACTAGTCACTCAAGTGGGCATCGAGCAGTTTTTTCATGATACTTCTGCTAAGCAGATCATGCAATCATTTCAAGCCCCTGGTTCCTTCCAAGCTACCATGTTCAACTCAAGTGATAATGTCGATGAGCATACATTTCAGAATGAACCATGTACCAGTAGATTGGTGGAAAGAAGCCTGAGAGAGGATGAGATCGACAAATTTATTATGGAAACTTGGCAGCCTGATATAACTATGACACTTGTTGCAACATCGATTCGCAAGTGGGTTAAGCTGATTGCCGTGGTTCAAGTGTGGAATCTCTATCAGCAGGTTTCTCGCTGCTGAAAGAGCTGGAATTGTGCATCTGAGAATACTGAATGGTCAATGTATCTGACTCGGAGTGGTGACAGCTGAGAACCCACTGAGGCAGCAAGGACGGGGCTAGTAGAGGATCCTTTGCCTGGCAAACCATTGTTTAAGGTCAAAATCAATCTGTAGAATCTGTAAACTAGAACAATTGTATGATAGATTGTGTGTGCCATTTGAATCATAGGGCTTGTATTGACCATCATTATATAGTGTTGGAAGACATTGTAAGTGGAACACAAATGTGATTATATATAATTGGTGTATAAGGTGATTGTTTTGGAAAACCTGAAATATTTGTAATTGTTTATTGTCCTTTTATGTATGACAGGTTTTCTTTGTCCCTGCCTGTGGCTTCTGTTCCTTGAGCAGTGGTTGACCTTGACATGTTTTGTGCCAAATCACCTGGATTTGAAGTCCAATAGTAATGGTCATTATGTAACAAGGATATGCATTATACCTCATTGTTCTCTGCAATTTGTGCTGTCCATTTTACTGGGAAGCCTTCTTAGCTAATCGATGTTCCGAGTTTATGATTGTAAGAAGTTTGATCACTTAATAGTTGAATGAGGCAGACACTATTGCATGTTCATTTCTTTCTTATTTGCAAGGCTAAAAAACCTATCACTAACCCAGTAGCATCTATACCGTGGCAATGTGGTTCTTGTTCCAACATAATCATCTGAGGAATTCAACATAATCCAAGGATTCTGGAAAAAGAACTTCTTGGATCTTCAGGTGATAGAGGGAAAACATATTAAAGATACATCAAATATTACTGAAACAGTTACAAATGATTCAGGTGCACAAACAATCCATGCACAAAACATTTTAACTGAGCTGAATTAGCATCTTACAATTTACAGGACTAATTTCATGATGGGTAATATACTATGATTCACAATAAACCTAGGAAGATCACCATCTACATGTGGTGTGGTGACCTTTACATTCTATCTAGGAAAGAACTAGAAATCTTCATTAGTTGTAAGATCCAAAGCAGAAACTTTCATAACCTCTAATTCTGACATTTGAGAACAGTTAGAAAGAGAAAACAACACAAAGCTGTTATAGTCACAAGAATTTTTTTGTTTTCCCCTTTGGATCAATCCTACTGGTAATGCCAGCTTGGCCTCCTCTCACTCCACCTGTACGAACAGAACTGGTTATTTGACTTTGTTCACCATTTTGATTGTTGCTGGAAGGAACATCCTCGATGATCCTCAAAAGCTCTTGTATTGGAATACTAGAGTGAGAAGCTTGTTTCAACAATGCATCATCGTCATCAAGACCCATGAAGCATAAATCCTCCCATTGTAAAGCAGATTCATCCACTAGAGGAAGTTCAGGGTTTACATCCCATTTCCTGTGAGGGCCATATTTATAACTTGAACTAAACCTAAATGAGCATATGCCAAGAGGTGAGTTGCAGAGAAAAAAAGGTATATCTAGATCATGATAATAAATCTGATAGCTGAGAAAAAAAAGCAGAGAGTCAACCTGGACAACAATCTCAAGTTAGAATGTACATATGCCAGATCGTCAGCACGATGTGAATTAAGTTCATGTCTTTTTGCACCACGGATGTAGCTATAAGTACTCCATGGTCTGTCAACAGACAAAGAGCTGATTGATTGTGAAAGAACTTTAAAGGCCACATCTCTTAGCTCTTTTGTATCACCTCCATGAAACTTCCACCACTGCAAAACATTGATTTTGGGATTTCTGGCATCTCTCTTGGCTACTGGAGAGGAGAACTTCCCCTTCTTTTCGACAAAGGACAGGAATTGCACACGAACAATGTCTTGATGATCAACATTTGGGTGCATTTTACATATTGCAGCAACAGCACTATCAAATATCTCGTCATCTTGATCTGTAAACAAACAGCGCTACATTATCCTTTTTTTAAAACATAAGCTGCACATAAATTGCAAGAATTCTACGAAAATGTTGTACTGGAAAATGAAAAAAAGCAGAATATATTATGTTGACTGCAAAAGAAAAAAAAAAGAAAGAGAAGAAAGAACCTTTGCAAAGCTTCTAACCAAGCATCCTAAAAGGAAACACAAAAGAAGCTTAATAAATTTATGTTTACTAGAAAACGAAAGAAAAGAAGTAGAAGAAAGAACCTACCTGGAGGGCATCTCTTCCTACCTCCTGGTGCAGGAATTTGAAGGTACTCTTCATCGTAATACTTTGGGGTGAGAGCATAGGCCAAGCATTGTAATGGAACATTTCTCTTGTTCCATCTAATGAAGACCTTCTCTTCCAAAATCATATACATATCCTCTCGTCCTCTCAGATTTTCTCTAATTTCTCCCAACATATTATCCATTCTATCACATACTTCACCAATAATGGGACCATCTTGATCAGTAAATTTGATCATTTTGTATATTGGTCTGATTATAGATAAGGCCAACTGTACTGCTACCCAAAAGTTCTCAGACATGACTGCTTCCTTCACATCATTCCCATGAAGTTTTATTTTCTCATCTATATTTGGAAAGGTAGCCCAGAATTCCCATCGATCTGACAAGACAGCAGCTGTCAGAGATTCTCTTATGTCAAGTAGAAGATAAAGAGTGATATAGTGTGAAGCATATGTTATGGCTGTAACTTTTAGCAACTCTAATTTTGAAAAGCTTTGGAAAATATCTACAGCTTGGGAATGATATAAGATATATTTGACTATACTTTTTGCAGTTTTATATGTCTGCTTAAGCCAAGGAAGAGCATTTATAATATCCTTCAGTATCAAATATAAAGTGTGAACCATGCAAGGATTCCAAAATATGTAAGGATACACTTTTGCCACTTCTTCGCTTGCAGCTCTGCAATCAATAGAATTGTCTGTGATCAACTGAACAACATTACATGGTCCCACCTTTTCAATTGTTTCTACCATATAATCAGAAATTCTTTTCTGAGACTTCTCAACTACTACAAAGTCAAGGGCATGTAAAAACATGGATCCAAACTGGTTTGAAGCCAATATGTTTATCAAAGGTTGATTTTTGATGTCACTCCAACCATTTGAAACAATTGAAATCCCATAAAGGGGCCACTTCTGCTTGAAGTCATCCAATTCTCTGTCAATCTTATTTCGTTCATTTTCTAAAAAGATAGTATTTGCTTTCTCATATGATGGGCTTTTATATCCCAATTCTTTACTAATTGCCAATACCATTTCTTCCCAATATGGTGATCGCAGAACATTGAAAGGGATGCCATTAGCACACAAACAGCGTACTACCTTAGAATCAACATCATCTCTGTCCTGTGTTGAGTAATCCTGCTCAAAAGGACTTACATAGGATAAGGCTAAAGAAGGCCCTTGTGAAGTTGCCACTGAACATGCATTGAGCTTTGACTTCTTCAGAGGAACAACGTTTGGTGTACTCTCAACTTGCTCAACTTCTCTCTTTATCTGCATTTGTAGATTTTTGTCTGCTTTTACAACAGAACAATATCCAATTCCCTTGCTTTCTCCTTTTTTATGGCCCATCAAATGTGCATAAACACGTGTGTAGGTTCCATGATATATTTTGTGGCAGTATTTACACTTAAAAACATGAGAACCACCATGAGCATTTCCACATTTTTTTCCCTTAACAACATGTTTCCATAACACAGTCGCACTAACATTAGATTGACCATCCTCACCCAACTGTACCTCAAGTTCCTGTTGAACTTGATCATCTTCATGAAAAACCAAATTTTTATCCTCGAAGACAAAGTGTCCATCCCCAATGGCTGGGAACTCCATTCCACCATCATTGGTGCCCGTATGCTCTTCATCATAAGGAGAGCTAGTAGACATCTCCTGAAAGAAATATAATAGGTGTCAAAATCACAACAGACATCGGTAAGAAAAATATTCTCTAGTGATTCAACTTTAGTCTGACTGGTCAATTCAAAACCATCACATCATTTTGCAGGAACAGCGAATATGAGATATATCAATAAACTACCTTAATTTAACCTAATTAAAAAAGCAAAAACACTTATCACTTAATGTAATAATCATGATGATCAAATTTTGGATGACAAACATGGTATGCTAGATTGATTATCATTAATATAAATAAACATATATATATATATATATATATATATATATATATATATATATATATATATAGAGAGAGAGAGAGAGAGAGAGAGAGAGAGAGAGAGAGAGAGAGAGAGAGTCTTGCCAATATCCTTGACATACATTTGGTCTAAAGAAACAAAAACACACTTGTTACTCTGATCTAATATAATTTGACTTGTATCATAGTCCATAACTGATATGTAGGACACAGAAAGAGTTACCACAGATTTGAAAAGAAAATGAAAATTTTATTAATTCCAAACATATAGTCACATGCTTATGCCTGGCTAGTGGCTGGCCCAACCTACAGTGTTGGAGCATCTGCTCCATTTACTTTTCCTATAAAATCGAACATTCTAGGAAAACTCAAAGGATAAGTACAATAAGATAACAATGTGTACATAAGTAGACCCCAAATTATTAGACCAGCTTTAGTCTTTGCTCTTAGTGCACAAATTACTCAAAACTTTGTCAACAGTTCCTAAAGCTCTTGGGTTTTCCACAATGTCAAAGTCAAAGCCGGTCAATTCACTCAGTTTAAGTTGATATCTACAATAAGCAAGGACTGAGAGTGGCTCTTTTGTCACCTGTAGATTACTAAGATTGGTTCCAGTACACAGTACTTCAAAATATTAAGGATTTCTCAACCTCATGTCTTTTCAAACTGACCAAACTTATTAACAACAGGTAAATACTAGTGCTGAAATAAATTACATGTTGTCTCCTTGAAGTTGGAGAACACTACAAGCTAACTAGAGCTGGAACTTTTCCGAAGCAAACTGACTACTATAGCTCCTAGACAAGAAGGGACTAGTTCCTTATCTATTCTAGCTAATGCTAAGCTAAACAAAGGAAAACTCTCCAGAATGACTTTATCCACAACAGCATTACAGGATTCATATTCCAGTATATATAGGTTACCCACGTAAAGGCATACCCATAGGTGAAGCTGGTCTCAATTGGTAGGAAGAGATCTTAAAGGAAGAGCAAGATGTTAATAAGCAAACAGAATTGCCATCAAATTCATTCCTTTACTTGATGACCAAACATAAAAAAAGGGAAACTGGTTTGCCTCTGAAATCCACTTATAAAAGAGTAATATAATACCAGCATCAATTTAGCCTATATTAGCACATGTAATATATATAACTGGCAACTGATTATCTAAAAACCTATTAGAAATTATCAACTTAGAAATAGCCCCAGATACAGATACAATACTCTTAAAAGCATTTCTGGGAAAGTTAGATAAGAGGAAAAGTCAACTATGGGAAGAAATGTTGGAACCAATATCTAGTTTCAACTTTGAACCACTATAAATAGGATTGAGGAGAAGGACCACAGAAATGCATGAGAACCAATGGGATATAACTGGAACTACCAAGACTTCAACCAGAGCTGTTTTATGCTTTTACAACTTGTCATGCTTCTTTCGTATCTCAAGCAGTGTGACTGTTCACATGGCATAAAAAGACTTCCTCTCAAAAAGATCAAGTAGCATTTCTAATCCATACAAAAAGCTGCACGATTTGATCGGTTAACAAAGGCGATGAGAAAAATAATATCTTTTACCTTCTCCAGTTTGGTTCCCCAGCTAGGAAACCAAAATTTGGTGATATTCCTCTTATGCGATCAGGAAAACCCGGGAATGGTTTCAAGTTTTGTCAACAGAACTAGAGGAACTAGTAAACGAAGAAGAAGGTCAAAATAGATAAGCACGAAACCCCTGTAATTTACCAGAGGACCAAAAAATCATCAGTATGCACGTAATACAAAGCACAGACACCGAAACAAGAAAGCAGAGGCCGAAAACATGGGGAAAAGAAGCAAAAAAAATATAATGAAGATAACAATCGCACCTTTAATGCAAGCTAAGCTTCGCGCCCTCTCTGCCGTGAATCCCACTCCTGATATGATAGAAAGATTACCGCCCCTTGAGAATATGACACAGTTAGAGCATAATTCCTGCAGTAAACCAACGAATTGCTAAGCCTGGGAATAGAAATGAATCGCCGTTATTCCAAGGAAACAGATTCGATCACAAGGAGGCCGTGGAACAGGAAGCTACCTGGGCTTCGCGGGAGCAGCTCACGCTAGTGAATTAAAAGAGAAACGAGGGGCCGACCACGGGGAAACATAGGGTTTCCCCTCCCGAGGGCGAGAAAAGGGGGGAGATCGGAGGTGACGCTTGGAAAGAGTCGGAAGAGGCGATTTGGGGGCTTTGGAGGGACGTTACGGTAAGAATCACGACGAGCGCCATTAGAGATCCTTCATCACCTTTCTCTCCTTCCGAGCTCCGCCTTCGTTTCGCTTCTCGCTCTCCTCGTTCGTCCCCTTCGCTGGGACATGGGATACGGATTCGATTCGAGAACAGTGGCCGTGGATGGGAAACGGGGAGTTGACGGATCAGACCACGGGTCGGATCTCATGCTTGATCCGAACCCAATTGCGGGTTTTGCAGTCGCGACTTGATCCGATCCGTTGCCCAAGTCGGACCCAAGCTCAAGATCCGCGGAGGGGTCAACAACTTCACGAGAGTCGTGTGATTTGGTTTCGCTTTGTAGTATCAGTAATCTCTTCGTGCTCGTATTTTTAACGCACCACACAACTACGTACTGAGGGTTCTTGTGGTGATCGTTGAACGGAAGCCGTCCGATTACTACATAACGGGAATCTTAAAGAAAGTTAAGGAACTTCCACACACTAATTCTTGTCATTTTTGTAAAGCTCAAGGCTATTTTGGGCATCTCATCTCGGCAGCTGACCTGAGGACGAAACGAGTCAACACACGACGTACATAAACAGAGAATTTATACTCACAACATCCATCTCTACGATCGCTCGTACTAGTCATCTACGCGACACCATCATACACCGTTGAATTTTTCCGTACGAACCCATCCCGCCGTTCGTATGCGGCTTGGCGGAGAGAGGCAGTCAGCGGGTCAATTAACGGTCGAGATTAATGTTGGGTATAAAATGAGCGACCCAGATTACTCTGTCGTATAAAGCTTTTTAGGAGCTCGCCCTTAATCGAGCGGCTGCGGTTGCATCCATCTCTCAAACGTGGTCTGTGGGCCCTGTCACTGAGGGTAACAGTGTCATGCGGTGACGGGACCTCAGCCCTTTGAGAGATTAGGGGAGATATTAAGGGGGCAGCAGTGAGGTCACGAAGGCGGAGTACCACAGTCGACCTCTCACCGCTTTTCTCCTCCGACCTTGAGCCGCTTGCCCACCCAAACCCTAAGAAGCCGCGATCGCCGTTGACGACCTCGAATCGGGGATTCGATAGGACGTCCGCCTAGAAATATAGGGTATTGGAAATCTCTGCCTCGATCCAAAGCCGGTCAGATTCCGTTGCCTAATCCCGCCGATATGGTCGGCTCCGGCGGCTCCTCGGCGGCCCGCGTCAGCGGCACGGACCGCTTCTACAACCCTCCGGCGATCAGGAGGAAGCTTGAGCTGCAGAAGAAGCAGCAGCAGCAGCAGCAGCAGAAGGAGGTGATGCCGAGGATTCGGCCGTCCGTGGAGGCGACGGCGACGGCGGCCGAGGTCAAGGTGGTCGAGGACAGATTTGATCGGGATGATGCCTCTCTGAAGCCCTCTGTCTCAACGTCATCATCTCCCTCTCCTTCTCCCACCCCGCCACCGGCATCGCCGACTCCCGTCGGAAACCTTGACCGGCTGCTCGAGTCCACCACCCCCATTGTACCCGCCCGGTATTTCTCCAAGGTCTGGAAGTAGGCTTAGGTCGAAAGGAGCAGCTTCTCTTGTTTCTGTGGTTTCTATTGATCTGCATTTTGAACTGGTTCAGATGAGTGATTTGAATTCTCAACAACTGGCAGGCTACTGCAAGGGGATGGAGGAATGGCGACGAAATGGAATCTCAGCCCTACTTTTTCCTTGGAGATCTTTGGGAATCTTTCAAAGAGTGGAGTGCTTATGGTGCGGGGGTGCCCTTGGTGCTAAACGGGAATGATTCTGTTGTTCAGTACTATGTGCCATACCTCTCCGCCATTCAGCTGTATGTGGATACTGGTGCGGCCACATTAAGATCGGGGTATGGATTTATCAACTACCATGTCTAATAAAGAACTTAGTGCTGTTTTCTCACATTGATTGTTTGGGTCAGTAGCTATACTGTTTAGTCATTCAAATTTAGTAAAAGATGCAACGTTTCTGCATTGAGCTGAGAGCAAAGCGCAGCATTTTGGTGGCAGGAATGATTCCGGTGTAACGATGTTGTTTCTTTTTGTTTGCATAAGGGTACTCCTCATTGGTTTAATGTTTTTAACCTTTGGCACCTGTGTTTATTTTATGTGTTTTTAGCTATGCATAAGGGTACTTATTATCTATTCTTTTCGCATAAGAGTACTCGTTATCTCTGTGCTGTATCTTCCTGACAATCTAGAAAGATCTAACTTCTTAAGTCAGTAATTTCTTGTCAATCTGCATCCTCTAGTTATAATGATTGTTAGGACCAGGCTTGCTTGTTTATGTAGTTATGGTGTAACATTAGATATGTTTTCTTAAGGGAGACTTCTAATCACAACAGAGGATTCATTTTAGTTTCACTTTCCTGTCACAATTGTTTGACAAGTAGTCATCATGGTAAAAATTGTAGAATTTTTTAAGTAGGACATATTGAAGCTTAATGTTTGAATAAGGTGGAAAATCTGTGAGTTCTGCTAGGACAACTACATCATATCATTTATGGTCCTACAAAGCACTTCCACAAAAGCAGGTCGAGCTTTTTCAGGTACCCAGGTCTATCTGATCTGCTTAAACCCTAGATTTGGACACCCTATAATTGGGTTCAGGACATGTTTGGGTATAGAAGTAGGTGGCCGAGTTGAATTCAGGTTTAGATTCTGGTATTTATGTAGTTAATTAGATTCAAACAAGCTAATTACACTTACACCCTATACTTGGACTCTATCAGCATCGCGGTTTCTGTACTTAAAAATTTACATTAGGATCCCTATAGTTCTGAAAGTGAAACAAATAACCTCATTTGCCTTAACGTCGTCAACTGCATTGACGGAAAACACAACACGTCATAGCACATGCTGGATTGGCACAAAAGTGATGGGCAAAACGGTAATTTCAACATCCATTTCGTTTCCAGCATATGAGATGCTGAAATTATTTTTTTTGCCAGTAAAGTTGTTAGAAACAAAAGGGATGTTGAAATTACCTTTTTGCTCATCACTTTCGCGTCGATCTAGTACGTGGTGTCACGTGTTGTGTTTTCTGTCAATGCAGCTAATAACACTAGAGCAAATGCGATTATTTGTTTCATTTTTAAAATTAAGTATAGGGGATAATATATAATTAGCCTGATTCAGACAATCGGCACTCCATCTTTTGTTACACCTAACTGATTTAGGAATGGCAGTGGGGTCGGGTCTTTTCAGGTACACAATCTATCTGATCCATGTATGCACCATGTATACACACCTAACTGATTAAACCTTTAATCAGGTTTGGGATGGATATGGCCGTATGGGTAGGAAGGTATGCACCCATGTCAAGTTCAGGTTCGGGTACCTATAAAATAGGGTTTGGGTGCAGGTTCAGGTAGAGTTTGTGGATACTTGATCTTCTGCCATCACTATGAAAGTGAATTCAAATTATCATTTTACTTAAATCTTACCAAAGATGCATGAACATTCAGAAAATTTGGAGCATATTAAATTGACTTGTAAAATTGTTTGAATTCATAGATACATTGTATTGGGATGGCTTATGTCATCATCTTCTAAGCTCATTGTACCATCATCACATAGACTCACATGTTATGAAAGGTGTGTCTAAAGTGGAACTAAGTAGTGAGGCTGCCAAGGCTCGCCTCAACTGAGACTTCATGTATCAGTGAGGAACACCTGAGGTATCTGCCCTGTATGCCTTTCCAAGAACATCAGGTGTCTGCATATAAGGTGTTCTTTTATATCAGTCTGTATTTCGTCCTAGCCATTCATTGATGCAAATTAGATTAATTTGATCCTAAGTCTCTGATTCAAGCAATGCACTTGTATGTTTCTTTTTACAGCTAATACAATGCTATTTTATTTGAGGTAGAAAGAAACCTAGATTTGTTTGGAAATCTTATTAATGATAAGTGAAGTTTGTGGATACTTGATCTTCTGCCATCACTGTGAAAGTGAATTCAATTTGTCATTTTACTTAAATCTTACCAAAGAGACATGAACATTCAGAAAATTTGGAGCATATTAAATTGACTTGTAAAATTGTTTGAATTCATAGATACATTGTATTGGGATGGCTTATGTCATCATCTTCTAAGCTCATTGTATCATCATCACATAGACTCACATGTTATGAAAGGTGTGTCTAAAGTGGAACTAATTGGTGAGGCTGCCAAGGCTCGCCTCAACTGAGACTTCATGTATCAGTGAGGAACACCTGAGGTATCTGCCCTGTATGCCTTTCCAAGAACATCAGGTGTCTGCATATAAGGTGTTCTCTTATATCAGTCTGTATTTCATCCTAGCCATTCATTGATGCAAATCAGATTAATTTGATCCTAAGTCTCTGACTCAAGCAATGCACTTGTATGTTTCTTTTTACAGCTAATACAATGCTACTTTATTTGAGGTAGAAAGAAACCTAGATTTGTTTGGAAATCTTATGAATGATAAGTAAACCCATGGTTTTGGATCTGTTATACACTATTTATGCTTAATATATCATCATTTCTGGGGTCATTGAGGTGCATATGCGTCATACCTCCTGCCTCAAGTTCGTGATATCTTGGTACATCAACTAGACTGATAATTTTGGCATGTGTATCTGCTTGTGAACATGTGTAATGGTGTTTGTACATATGATGTTCTAGGAAGTTTGAGCTATAGTTTGAGGATTTTCTTCTACCTGGCACTTGCCTAAGCACCTAGCTGGTTGCGATGACAACAATGACCATCATCTACTGACTTATAATGACAACTTTATTGTTTGTCATGTGAAGAGATATTTTTTGCATTTTTTTTCTCTTTTGCACTTTGCTTTGATCTCGTCATCTCTAGGCTTACTATCAGTGACTTAAGCAAGAGTCAGACAAAATAATGGGCAATTAACACTGTTCTTGGTCTTGCATGGCCTTTGGTGTTTTGGTGATTCCACAAGAAATGAAATTATAGGGAACTTCATAACCTCATAGCTTCCCTTGGGTTCCATAATATGTAAAAGATCTTGGGTAAATTGTCGATGGTTTCAGCAAGTATCATGGCAATTTGCAATGCACTTGGATTTGCGTTTTAGTGTTCTGGTCATTCTACAAGAAATGAGATTAGAGGGAACTTCATGTTCTCATAAGCTCTCTAGGGGTCCGAGAATATGTAATTAGTTTCAGGTGTTTCATGGCTTCGTAAAGGGTTTAGGTTAAGAAAATTGTCGCTTTGATTTTGGGCAAAAGAAACAAGGTTCAGTTTTGGTGGTGGCTTCCCTTATAGCTTACCCAGTGTTAGGAACGAAGAAGAGGAAAAGACAAGAGAAAGAAGCTAGAGCAGTAGAAGAGAGAAGAAAATGGACATAGTAATTGCATGTCTCTTTTTATTTTCTTGAGCTTTGTCACTCTCTTAACATATTTATTGTACTTATATTCTCATCATATATGGCTCTATTCCTCGAAATTAAGCGTTTTCTAGCAGCAAGCTTCTAAAAGTTCATCCATAATTTGATGTGTCATGTTGTCTCTTTTGATGTGTTATGTTAAAATTTTTGGCATACTCATGTCTCTTTTTGTCATGGTGAAGGCCCCAAGTTTTTGTTGGATGTAGAAATGCTTTAATATCTTGGCCATTAGTTAGGAAGCATCTTTACTTGACTTCATTCACATTTTTATTTCTGGCAGGAATGTATAGTATAATAGGAAAATGGTGAGAATCACTATTTTTATATGTCTAGAATCTCATAATGATTATACATGGTTATCTCATTCATCAAATTGGCGAATTATAGTATCCAGCTAAATAATATGTCCTTGTTACCAAATTGAAGTGTCAAACTCATAATCGGGTCCAAAAAATTTTGGCAAAAATCGAGTTTAATTACCTAAAGTTGGATGCACAAGAGCTTTTCAGTCTAGTTTAGCAGTCTTATTGAATTATGTAGTACATTTATATTACTTTGTCTAGTCCTTATTTGTGTACTTGGGAAGGGTGTATGTAGCATGTCCATAATAACTTTATCTGGTCCTTGACTGTGTACTAGAGGGGTGTCATCTAAGAGTTGATTTTCTATGTATTTAAATAATGCTTAACCATCTAGTTTGAGACCACCAGTTCATAAGCTCAAGTCAGATGATTGTGAAGTTAATAGATGTATATGTAACGTTTAAACAAACCATCTTAAAAGTATAACTAAGAAAAAGGATATTTTACCTTTACAAGGTTCCCTTTGCTGCTATCTTCACTTTACTATTCTTGACCCAGCTATGTTCACTTTTCCAGTACCATAAAGGAGATCTTTTATTTATAAAATCATCATTACCTATATTAGTCGATAAAATGTTACATCTGATTGCTTAGCCATAACTTATAGAAAATCTTGTTTTTTAGTTGACTTTTTGTGCTTATTTTAAGGCGATCTGCTGAGGGAAATGATGGGAATAATTATCTGGATACTAGCAGTGAGGGCAGCAGTGGCAGTGAAGAGAACCACATAAGAGAAACAAGTTCATCATTGGGCACAACTGGCCATATTGGCCAAGGAGGCTATGTAAATGATAAAAATGATGTTTGTCCGAAGCTAACACTTCCAGCATTCGAGTATTTTGAGAAGGACCCACCTTATGGAAGAGAACCATTGGCTGACAAGGTAAGGTTGGTCTTTGTTAGTTTACAGTTTGAAATATTATAATTAACAAACATTGACACTTTTTGCTGATGTACCTGTGTAGATATCAGTTCTTGCCAATACATTTCCAGACCTGAAAACGTACAAGAGTTGTGATATGCTGCCATGTAGTTGGATGTCTGTTGCCTGGTATGGTTTTAAGACTTCTTGGCATCACTGTTTGTCATCTGTCTTCAGCTACCTATTTTTGATAAAGCTGCATGCTTGGAGATGTTTCTTTTTCTGGCTGTTTTATTAAGAACCTCCATTTGTTGATACTATTGATTTCACTTAAATGATGTTCATGCTGCAGGTACCCGATATATAGGATACCAACAGGACCTACATTAAAGGACTTGGATGCTTGCTTTTTGACATTCCACTCACTGGCTACTCCTAGAAGTAAGCATCTAATAGCCATTTCTTAAAGCATGTGCACAAGTAGAAACACATTTATTTCACAATTTTTGAAGATATCAAATTTGGCTAACCTTACATGAAATATAGTCATACAAACACTATCCAAAAACTGATAAACAGAAGAATGCATTTTACTTATAGCATTTCAAGTTATTGAACCTTTGTTCATTGTTGAAAACTTTGTGTCAGTATTTTTTCCATATAATGCGTTAAGATGAGATCAGTTCATCCACTGAATTAGTCCTTTGTCGGGCTACAGTTCAGCTATTGTCACTTCTAGCATTCACCTTGGCCTCTAGGTTGCCATCTAGTGGGTAAACAGTCTTAGAAATGTTAGGATACACAACCTGGTCAGTGCTAAACTTTTGCATTTCACATAAATGGATACATATACCAATAAATTAGCTATTAAACACATCTTTGTGACGAACACATGTAGTCATCATATCCTATTTTAAGATAATTTTTATTGGCATTGGATTAATATTACTTGAACATGTTTTCCTTGTTTTATGTTGTATCTATTTGATTATTTTCTTCTAGAAATTATTTAAATTACAATTGTTTTGGTAGCAGTCTTTTTCTTGCAAGGATTAAGAATGTTGCATGCTGATTTTTGAATATCACTATGGAATTTGTCAGCACATGTATAATATCTAACTCAAAAGTTGAACTGAATCTTGATAAATCGGTTGCCTGTCGTCTGGAGTAACACCTTGATGCCTACTCTAAGGTTCATTAAAGACCACTTCTTAAAAGAAGTGTGTGTGTTATATGCCATCTTAGTAGAAGTTGAGAAGTATAATTAACATAAATGTATCAGAATCTAGATTTGCACATGTGTCAACCCAATAGACCTACAAATTGGGGCAACCCATGCTTCTTCCACTGTTACTTCGCCATGTTTGTGAAAAACCTGCATGGAGATTCAATTGCAAGAGCTGTTGTTTTTTCTTTTTCCCACTTAATGTGGTTTGCTCATTTCTGACAGATAATGCCAGTCCACCTTCAGAGGTTCTTGACTCTTGCACAAACAGGAATGTCAAGAGCTGCAATGACAGGCCTGTGAAACTATGTTTGCCTGTTTTCGGACTGGCTTCATATAAATTCAGGGGGTCTATTTGGACATCCAGTGGTCTGCATGAGCAGCAGCTAGCAAGCTCGCTATTGCAAGCTGCAGACAACTGGCTTCGCCGCCTACAAGTTGATCATCCTGACTTCCGTTTCTTTCTTTCCCACTCCAACACATTTAGGAGGTGATCTTATATTAACATTAGTTGTTGCTTTCTAACTTAATGTGCATCAATCTAAGTCTCCATCCCGATCCTGGGATTCAAACACCCATATCACATAGTTTTTGCTCCATGTATCTCGTTACTGTTTCTTACCCCCTCAATTAATATGTTTCTTGTGAAATTGCACGTGAACGCCTGTGTTATATCATAGAAAAAAAAATTAGTTTCAGACAATAAGTTTTTGCAAATTTTACTTGGACTTTCCCTTTTCTTAATGGGATCTAGAATTTGAATAATTTCATTCTTTGTGCTTTTGATTTTGATGTCTGTTGGTGGATATGCATTTGCAACTTGACATAACTTGGAGATCTCATATCTTTGAGGTGCATATTAATGACTCTTGTCCAAGTTTTAGAAACTTCAAGCCTATGAACTTGTATAGAATCAGCAAGAGTTTCTTTCTTTTGTACCATTGAATTAGATAGAGATCAGTGAGATGACTTTCTGGCAAGTTTGCTGTTTCTCATGATTCGAGACACACCAAAAAAGAAAAGCAAGGAATTATCATTTTGTTTTGATGTTGTTTTCAAACTTCTGACAAGAAAATTTTGGTTGGAGGAACTCATGCGGTTCTTTGAGGTTGCGATTGTCATCACAAACCTGTACTAGCAACATACTTGGAAGATCAGGTCATGGTAGAGATGGGTGCTATGCCTCTCCAATTGGTCCATCCACCTTAGTTGCTAGATATTTAGGTTCCTTGAGATTGTTAGTCGAAGGCAGCTGCTGATGGTGATTGTTGGATGGTAAAAGATATAACAAGTTTTAGTTTGTCTGAACTTTTACCTTCTTTACTGATAATTATTTGATTTGGTGATTAATAATCCATAACTTTTTGCTGTTAGGAAAGAACTTAATTGTATCTCATGATCTCAAATAGATTGTCGAACACCTATCAGCAGTCTCTGTCTCGCAGCATCATGTATGATAATAATAGTTCATTTATGAAGTGCATGCAGGTAAGTTGCGTGGAGTCCGACTGCGCCTCCATGACTCGCTCAGAAATATCATAAAAAGGAAGGATGACGGAGTTACCCCAGTCTCGCTCGCATCATCTTCCACATGCCTTCGGTCCCCTACTCAGGTACCTTTTGCCTGTACATGATTGCTGATTCGAAGCTGCCTTTTTGGATCGTCATCCCATTCAAAGAAGCAGTCGAGTGGAGAGAGGTCTCACATTCTTCGATTCCTTCACCCCTCATCCACAGACTACTGGCCCATGGCCGGCGCACTTTTCCTCTCCCGAGTGCTCCAAAGGGGTATGCCTCAAAAGCCTTTATCGCCGCTTTCGGCTGCCGCTCCGTTGTCCTCTTCCACGGCCGCCCCAGGCGCTAAGGATTCTTCCACCCCCTATCTACTCATTATAAGTCCGACGTTAGTCGGACGAAGTGATCCCACTTTGGCACCCACAACCACTACTACCTCCCCATGAACGACGCCGCCGAGGCTGCCGACTGCGGCGGCCGCGCAAACACCGCCGAGGCCACCGAGGGCGGACCGGGCGGCAAGGCCGTCGGGTATCCCTACTCCGCGATGGTGGCTCAACGGGCTCTGTTCGGCTCGCACCGGCGTCGGGTCGGCGGTAGGAAGGTCGGTGCCGGCGACGGCAAGTCGCATCCCAGTCGGCTCAGCAAGGTGTCGGCAGCGGACGATGGCAAGTGAGCCGGTGGTGGGCGTGTAGTTGTTAGGCTTATGGCTAGTTGTCGTCTCTGTAGCGTATGGACGCAGTGTAGATTACCTTCTCGCCGCTTAATGCACGAAAAGAATAGGAACTAAGGGCGTGGTTGAATGCTTGAATCGTTCCACCCTCATAATAACCCGTCGCCACCGGGAATCCGCTCCTCCGCCTTCCTGAATTCGCTCGCGCTCCGTTAAAACCAAGCAAAAATTAGAAGCTATTAGTCCGCGATTATATTAAGTTCCTTTTTCCGCTCTCGCCATCTCTTCTCTCCCGCGATGCCCGACTACGACCGGGGCCACAGGATGGCGGTCTGGGCCCACCGCGCGCCGGCCGGCTCGGAGGCCGTGGCCGCCGCCGCCCGCGGACCGCCGCTGCGGCCCGGGAGGGGGAACGGTAGCCGGATCGGGACCGGCAGTTCCTCCTCCTCCTCCTCGACGGGGGAGTCGTGGGCCGGCGACCCGGAGACGAGGCGGCGGAGAAGGGTGGCGGGGTACAACGCGTACGCCGCGGAGAGCAAGGTGAGGGCCTCCCTCCGTAACGGGCTCCGCTGGTTCAAGGCCCGCTGCTCCGCCCTCGTCTACGGACGGTGACGCGCCGCACCCTCCCGGAGTTCCATCAAAGTACGTCACTGGTTTGTAACGTTTGTGATGAACCAACGTCGTGTCCTTCTTCTAACCACAAACGAATCAAAACAAACCCAAAAAAAAGGAGACTAATTATCGCCTGCCGGTGGCTGTTAATGTTCCTCAACCTCTGTGTTGACTTCTCCTCTCTTATATATTTCTTCGTATTTGTCGCATCGAATCATCGTCATCAATGGTGGTCAACTAATTAGGAAAGGGCGGGTTGGGTTGGGCCTTGGTAGATAGATAGATAGTTCTTTGCCCACCTCATCTTGGGCCGCTCGATCAGATCAATCATATATATTAATTAATACACGAATCCCGATGCAGAACCGATAGGTGACCTTCCAAGCTTACGCTATCATTCTCTTGATTGGACCTCATTCTCTTCGCTCCATCCGATGCGCTTCTATTTACTGTTGCATCAAATGGACTCGACTGGTAATTGCATGATCTTTGTACATGCTGCATGCTTCAATTAAGCATTTCAATTACAATATATATGTTCTTAATTAATTATCACCCACCTACATTCAAAGTGGAGGAAATGGAGTTTCCATTTCAAAGTGGAAACAACTCACTTTTACTCTACACGTCTGTTACATGGGGATACTACAGGAAGCCTACTTCCCCTGCCCTAGCTGCTCTGTGATGGATGCCTGGGTCTATCTTCCATTTTGGTAGTGCTGCCCATTAACCGGGATGCATCGATATGCGTGCAGCACGAAAAGGTCAGCATCACGCTGCCTGTCACGGCCTGGGAAAATGGACCCCACCCCACGTTCCCTTCCTGACACCAACCCGCATCTCATACCTTACCCCCCACGCCGTCGGTAATCTCACCCGGGGACTTCCTCGGCCCTCGTGAGTTCCTTCTCCTTTCTGGGAATGGGGACGCTGGTGGTGACCGTACCGAATACATCGGTCTACGCGGGCCGCTGATCCGCCGTTGTTTCTGGAAAGGCAGTTCTGAGAGCAACCGCCGTAACTGGCGAGGTACGGGAAAGATCAGCCGTGCGATGGGGATCGGACGGAGGAGCAGGCCGGTGGTCCCACCCCTGGGACCGGTCACGTGACCTCGCGACGCGTGGCGTGTGCTGGAGCGGGTTTCAAGGGGGAAGCTGTCAAGCGGCTCCGCAGCTGGTTGTTCCCTGAGGGAAGGGGGAATGGGGCCCGCGTCGGCTGTCGAGTTGCGCTTGGCGAGCCCATCACCTCGGGCTGGTGGGGTTCGGGCGCGACGGCTACTGGCCGGCACAGTTGGACCCACCCGCCGCGCAGGAGCCGTGTGGTCCTCTTTTGCGGATCAGCCTGACGCCTGTCGCGGCTTGCAGCCAATTCCCCCAACTCTGCATCTCGCACCATCATAAAATTCCTCCTCAATTCATGTACTGTAGCACTTTATTGGAAACTGCTCATTTATGAGCAATTTAAGACCAATAATGGCAAACACGCATCGCATGATGCTGTGCTCATTAATGTATAATTTAAGAGGAATGCAATTAGTAGAATCTTTTTATAGCTACTGTTAATTGCTTTTGCTTTGTTATTATAATTATACAATACTACCGACCACAAGACAAGTAAATTAAGATTAGGGCTGGGTAACAATATCATCGATGCACGCGAATCTAAAGGCAATTGGAAGCATCCAAGGGCGCACAGAAGTTGTAGATTTATTGTAGTGTTAATACAATAAAAGAGCTGCTAGCAGTGGCACTTTCGGAGATTAAAAAATATCCGAGGGTAAATACGGAAGAGCGCTTCCATCTTCGCTGTTAAGGACTCGAGCAACAACGACCTTAAAACCCCCCCCCGCCACCCTCCCCGCGTTCCCCCTTCCTTGTCGGAGACGAAGCTGACGCCGTTCTCCTACTTCGCGAGCGTCCTCCATCCTCACTGACACGATGGAGCTCGAAAACCCTAACAGTGGCGAGACCGAAGGATCCTCCTATTCCCCGAACCCCGGCAACAGCGAAGAGTTCGAGAGCGCATGCTCCACACCTTTCGCCAGCGCCCCCTCCAGTCCCGGCCGTGGCGGTTCCGTCGGCGGCGGATTCTTCTTCTTCAGCGCCCCCTCCAGCCCAATGCACTATGTCCTCTCCTCCTCTCCCTTCTCCGCCCCTGACTCCCCGTCCGAACCCGCCTCCGGCGACTTCTCCTTCGAGTTCGAGTTCTCCGCTCGCTTTCCTTCGCATTCGATCGCTGCCTCGGCCGACGAGCTCTTTCTCAACGGCCAGATCCGCCCCATGAAGCTCTCCTCCCACCTCCAGCGCCCGCAAGCCCTGGCTCCGCTCCCGGATATCGCCGACGAAGAGGAGGACGAGGACGAGAGGGAGGGCGCGCGAGGCAACCGCGAGGCGGCGGATATCGGCGTCCGTGGGCGCGATCTGAAGCTCCGGAGCCGCTCTGTCCATCGAAGGTCCAGATCGCTCTCCCCGCTGAGGAACCTTCCGTTCCGGTGGCGGCTGCAGGGCGCAGATCGGGAGGAGAAGGGTAAGGATCTGGACAAGACCCCAGATCCAGAGCACATCGAAGCGGAGGAGGCCCCTCCGCCGCCCGTTTCGGCTTCCTCCCGCTCCTCGTCTTCGTCTTCGACGTCTTCCTCCTCCTCGTCGGGTCGGAGCTCCAAGCGATGGATCTTTCTCAAGGATCTCCTCCACAGGAGCAAGAGCGAAGGGAGCGGCCACGGGAAGGACAAGTTCTGGCACGGGATCTCCTTCTCAGCATCCAAGGACAGGACGAAACCCACTCCAATCTCGAAGCCGGAGAAGAACCCGCCACCCGCACCCCCGTTGAAGCCGCAGGCGCCGCTTCCGAGGCCGGCGAACGGGCTTGGAAGGCGAAGACGGGCTGCGCCATCGCCGCACGAGCGGCACTACACCACGAATCGGGCGCAGACGGAGGAGATGAGGCGACGGACCTTCCTGCCCTACCGGCAGGGCCTCCTCGGGTGCCTCTGGTTCAGCTCGAGGAGCTACGGCGCCATCCACGGCTTCGCCAGATCCCTGAATCCCGTTCCGTCAAGGTAACCCGTTCCGTCTTCTCTCCGTTATTGCCGTTATTGTCATCACCACCCGAAAGAAGAAGCCAATCGAGTTTGTACAGTACATGGGGGAGCTCGTCCATCTTGATTACTGCGTTGTAGTCTCAAATCCGTCACTAAATTTAGAGAAATCGAAGCCGTCGATGCGGGTTTTATGATTCGCATTCTCGTTGATGCTTCCGATTGCATGTCGTTATGTGACCGACAGGCATCGTTCTCGTTGATGCATGATGGACGTTTGTGTTCTTTTTGGACTCACCCGATGATGGAGATGGATGCGTTTCATTGATTGATAGCCATATCTCACTATCTCATCGACTAACCCTGCCTCTTGTTTTCAGTTTCAGGCCCATCTATGTCAAATGCTATGTGGTTAGACTGCACCAGGTACTGTCCGATCCAAGAATTGGATGGATAGCCATACTGGTGCATGCTCCATCAAGAATGATGGACCAGCAATTTGACTTGTGGTCTTAAAGAATGATCAAGATCATGTGTTACACGCCATTTTATATGTGACATTATGACCGAACACACTGCATCAATCACTCATCCAAAGCCGAAGAAATGGGGGTAATACTTTTTTGTTGTACCAGCACTTAGCTGTGTGCATGTGAAAACGAGTCAGAGAGAGAGAGGCCTACGTACGATTGACCTAATTCGAAACTAAAGGTTCGAAATGATACATGAGTACCGATCTTAAGATTAGGGTTATGAAGATGACAAATTAGCAATTGAAATTGAAATAGAAGTGCTCATAGCTTGAATTCCTTGCATGAAGATTCATGTTGAAATCAAAGTGGTTTCTCCAAGAACAAGGCAACCCATTACTGCAATATATTTCTGTAGAGATGAAGTAGGGCGGCGTAAAACCCTAAACTCATCGCAGGACAATTTTGCCCTTCATAGAGCCTTGGAATCTCACAATAAAGATCGGCCGTTTGCGTTATATTATAGGTGGGGGTGGAACAGTCGAAAAAGGGTTTCTCTTCATGTCCATGCTTGATTACCCGCCCGCTTCCAGGATTCTACCATCGGTGGATCGCGCGCGGCTCTTCGTCCCCATCCGTCGGAAACCATCGCTCCTGGGTCTCTCTCTCTCTCTCTCTCTCTCTCTCTCTCTCTCTCTCTCGGGCTTCGATGCGTGACGGCAGGAGCAGCTGGTTAACTGGTTCGGAAACCCGCTCCTGGTTCCTTCATCGAGGTGAAGATTCGTTGGTTCTTTGATTCTTTACCTCTCTGAATTGCTGCTTTGCTGCTTTGGTTCTTTGCTGAATTGCTAATAATTTTTCTGTGCTTATATGCCGTAGACGATGAATCTTTTTGCTTCTTTCTTTCTTTCTAGGGTTTAGGGATTAGCTTCGGAACCCAAAGAATTCGCTTTGAATTTGGTTGTAGGGTTGCGATGAATTCAGAGGGGACATTTGGCCTTCAAAATGCGTCCTTGACATCAAAATAAGCATTGCATACACATGATAGATAGAAAGGTAGGAAAGGCTAAGTACTGCTTATGATGAAAAGAATGCCTCTTTGACATCGCAAGTGGGTGGGTGTGGGGGCACCGCCGGCTTGTTGATGATGATGATGAATGATGATTTGGTTTAGAAGAGGTTTATGCATGAAGCAATGATGGGAATCGAGTGTCCCCAACTAATTTGATCTCATCTGCTTCTGCCATTTAGCTGTGATGGAAGGTCTCAACACAGTTCCGTACATACGATATGGTACGAGCTGTATTTATCGGTCCGGCAGTTTATCGATATACATAACATGGTTTGTGAAAGATGCTATGTGTTCCATGTTATTTTTAATTTTTTTGTGTATTTTTTAGAATTTTCTCAAAACTCGATACGTATCTATCATCATCTGATGGCTGACATTCACATCACATGTGGGCAAAATCCTATAAAAAAAAAAAAAACTTTTTTTTCTATTTTTTTAAAGATGAGATTATCTCCGGTCTTTGTTTCGTCCATCGTTGCCTTTGCTCCTTACCCAACTTGATCAACATGGTTAGAGCTTTCGGTGTCGATGAAGGATGCAACATCGATTACGAAGTAGGAGATGGGAAAGGGGTGAGCTACCAAAGGATTAGAAAGCGATCGTGGGAGAGGTACATGGTGAGAATTCAGGATCTAGTGAAGAAGTGTCACACATTGCCAAGGAGGTTTTGCATAGCTTTGACCACGGTTCCAAAATCGATGATTCCAACTTCTCAAAACCTGAAATCGAAATCGAACGGGTGAGGGTCGATTCGAATCGTTAATTTTTATTTGTTATTTTAATTAAAATTAATTTAAAATATAAAAATCATAATTAATTTAAAAATATTATTTAAAATCATAAATATAAAATCATAAAAAAATTAAATATTAAAAAAATTAAAAAAAAATTAAATTTATTTTTGAACAATTAAAATTAATTTAAAATTGTGGAACCGACGATTCTAATCGAAACTAAAATCGTCGGTTTTGATTTTTGGACTATCTTTTCTAGAATTAATATCGAAGAATTAGAATCGAATCGCCTTAGTGTCACGGCCTTAGTTGGAATTGCCTAAGGTTTTGCGGTCAAGACGCTAACTTAGCTTACGTTGCCTAAGACGCGAGACACCTTTGCGGCAAAGACGCGAACTTAGCTTGCGTTGCCTAAGTCGCGCTTCGCCCTTGCAATTTGCCTCTACAAAGATCAGCCCACTTGCAACCTCTCGCAGGTCCCGAAGGACCTGTAAAAGAGAAAGTTGATTAGTTCGAAGAACGAGCGACAGACAAGTCCGGACGTCTCACGAAAATGGGAAGCTTTACAAGCAATTCAACCAGCACCTTGCGTGCACAAGAGAATAGAGGGAGAGGGGGAAAACAACGACTTTAGATGGTTGAACGAACAGTTGCAAGTCCACAAACAGCTGCTCACCGAGTGCCGGGCGCGACAACAAGTTTTCGTCAAGGTAACGTGCGAACTTGCAAAAGATTGTTTAACGCCCGACACTATATCGAAGCGCTATCCAGCCCTGTGCCACCCAAGTGGTTCCAAGGGGCTGAGATGGCTGGCGTTTTGGTTACAGCAGCGGGCTGCAGAAATCAGCCCGTGGCACGCGAAAACGGAGCCGTTTTGGGTTGTTTTGGGGCTGTTTTGCTCGGTTCGGTGAGCGATCGCATTGTAACGCTGTGACTTATTTGAACTTATATTTTTACAAGCAAAAGGATTCAAAACCAAGACAAAACATGCTGCCAAGCAACTGTACATGTAGATGAGGGCGACGAACGGTTCGTTGAACGGAGTTGTTGCGGGTGCGCGACGACCGTTCGTGACATCAAGTCGATTTCGCTTTTGGCCTAATTTGATTTCGATTCGAATCGAACCATGGTTAGGGTTAGTTGTGCATATTTATGACATCATTGCGTTCCACGGCCCCAAGGTCAAGACATCCCTTGACCCCATCGACGATAAGCAAAATGTTCCCCAACTCTAATGTCAACATTATCAAGCCTTTCATCTCACCCAAGAGACTCTCTCGAGAGACTATTGACCTCCAGAGTGCTAGCGGTGGATGAGAGCATGGCAATAGTAGTAGACGAGGGGCAATAGGACGAATGTCAAAGTTAATCTCATCTTTTAAAAAATAAGAGACACTTTATATGAATAAACAAAAAAAAAATGGAGTGCTCTATTAAAAAAAAAAAGTAAAAACTTTGAAATTTATTTTTGAAGAATTTCCTGGAAAATAATATTGTCCTTATCAATAATGAATATTCACCTTCGTCATTTCACTTATGGCATCGCTAATTACGGTTGTGTGCGCTTTGGGTGTCGCCATAACAACTCGGTCATCTATTTTTGAATCTAAAGTCGGTATGGGGGGATTTAGTGAAAGACGGCTGTTTAACAAAAAAATAAAACAAAAGTGAATAGCAAATATAACTGAGAACACGAAGATCGGATATCTTTTGTCATGGTTTGTTTAAACTTCCTTTGATGAATCTGTGGTGTATTTAATTTAATGCTTCAAAGATTATATCTTATCAACTTGTAAAGCAGACTAGTGGAGAATCCTACTTTGGTAATCCTTCTGTCTCAACACAACATTAGAGAGAGTTGATGCTGCACTCTTAGACAGCTCTACTGCAAGCATCAGACGACACAAAGGGAAGGAGAGACAAATAATTTATACAAGAAAGAAAATGCTTAAAGTTTTAATCATGAGAATCATGCCAAATGACTAACAATATTGAGAATGTGATGTAACAACCAGCAATTACATCCAGCATGATATATGGCATCTAACTGTAGTATAGTTCAGATGCATCATAAAAAGCAATCCGAGATGATCTATTAGTCACAAACTGCATATACACCAAGGAAGCAACAGGCTGTGTTGCTGGGCAGACTGAAAGAAGGCACAGAATCTGTAACTTCGGCGTTTTGACGACACGGCATATATCCATCCTCATCAGAGTAAATACAGAATAAACAAGCGGCATTGCCAGCATCGTGGTAGACATGCTGAGGATCAAACTGCATGTTGCATCTAAGGTCTCTTCCCAGCTGGACTGAGCGTGTGTTTGAACGCCTTGATAAGATCAGGAGTTACGGAGATCGATCACATCGTACTTCATATTGGCATTCATGTAAACATGAGAACAGTGTTCGTATATAGGACTGCCGTCCAGAGGCTCCTCATGTGGGTGGAATCCACTTTCTCGACAGTTGCGAATCAGATTAACACCCGATGGATCTGTCAGATGGAATATGCCATGGGTTCTGCACAGAGAAACATATCATGAATACCCTTCGAACAAGGGCAGATAGGATATAGATATTACTTGAAATTTCTTTAGAACTATATAATTAACAGAGGGGAATCGTAGACAAGGGAAGCCATCGACTTGAACAACTCGGGATGTCCCAATCCGTTGATCATTGTAGAGGGAGCAACAGATTCTAGCAAATAGTATATTCTAGTTTTTCTCCATAAAATGTAGCCTACCAGGAATAAGCCCGCTACGAAGTTCTTCTCATTAACACAGGAAACATCATGATGACTTTTGATGGTCATCGAAAGACAGATTTCATAATTACCTAGAAGATCTCTTGACATTTAGATGTTCATGATTTATCAGATGTAAGAGCTAAAACCGACAGATTTATTCCCCTTCTCTTAATATTATCATTTACTGACAGGGATTCCACAAAAAGGAAACATCAATGCTACAGTCTTAACCTATAATATCCAAGAAAAATGAGATGGACTCACCTTGATGTATCAGTTGGTGCCATGACAATTGCAATTGCTTCTGGTAACATAATCTGTTAAAAGCAAATGTCATTTATTGAAAATGATTTAAAACTCTTTCAATCTACATGAAAACATAATTATATGACAAGGTTTAAACATAGTATCAAATGGCTGAATTAGCTCAAGCTATATAAGGTTTAATTTTAATTATTTCAACCAAATGCCTAACTAAATGTAAGAGAGATGAGCATATCATGACTATCACCATAAGGAGTGAGTTATCTGGTGTAGGATAAAAATTATATCATGCCCCACCATATGCTGTAAGCAAACAGCATTATTTACAAGGTCAACCAAAAAGTTGCTGCCTCATAAAACTATAATCTTACTCTTTCATCCTCCATGGACATCTCAGTGCAACCAAGAGATATCATTTATACAATCTTGTGGGTATCTTTTGGCCAAAAGAGATACAGTTGCTTATACACTTCGAGTAACATCTAGTCCATCCGTAATATTTGTTTATAACCAGTAGGTCAATGTTATCAAAGGTTGGAGAGACACTTAAGCACAAAAGATCTCCTGGAGCATGGATGTAACACTTGAGACACATGACACAGAGCCCAGTATGTAAGGAGCACAGCTAGGCACATACCTCACAAAAATGAGGTGCACTTAAAAGTTAAAGATTAAAACAAATCAGAAAAGAGGCATCAGGAAAGCAGAAAAGAAAATGAAAGAAGCTTTGGCAGTAAAATGCAAAAAGATGATGAAAAACGAAAATAGCAGAACATAACAGCTAAAGAAATGAAGAGAAAAAGGGAAAATGATGTTCTCATCGAAAATCTTGAATTACCACAAAAGAAGGAATACCAAAATCTTCTTCAGTTCTCACCGAATGGGAGACTAAGGAATCCCAGTTGAAAATGGTACAAAAGAAAGGGGGTGTCCAGCCACCACCAACTTTAAGTAGGAGAATACCCCTTGCTCATTTCAGAGTAAATACAGGGAACTGAAAAGTCGCTTGTTTAATAGATAACTATTCTACCTTCAATCAAATATAATAGCTACTATAAGATGTAATTAACAAAGTTGTTGTTGTCTCAAAATTAGCACCCATTGCATAATTGTCATGAAACAATAAGAACTACTTCAACTAAAAAAGTTGATCTCATATGTACCCACGGCAAGGACTTCAAGATGGTACCCCAAGATTTTCAGTATTAGCTCCAAATAAACCAATCAAGAAGTCAGCCAAAGGCAAGTGTTCATTCAGAAATAAATAAAAATTGATGATTAATAGTTCGACATGAAAAAATAAACGCAAATAGACATATTTCAACATGAATTAACCAAAAGGAGAACTAAGAAAGGTTTTTAAGCATCACCTGGTACGAATAATGAGTATGGAGATCAATAGATGACATGAAGCAAGTCTGGGTTGGGTGGGTCTGAAAAACAATATGTAACTCAAATGAATCAAAGTTGTCGAAAAGAACAAATACAATTAGTGCAGAACAGATGCCCTGGTGTCATATAAATTTGAAATGCATATTAAGCAACATAATATCTTGCTAATCATTCTCCCCAAGCCTCCTTGATTCTTATGAATACAGATATAAATTTCCTTAATAGATGTTAATCATTCTCCTCAAGCTTCCTTGATTCTTATGGATACAGATATAAATTTCCATACTAGATGGAGGATGGCAAAGCACATCTTAATCAATATCTTCTTGCTTGAATTGCAAAAGTTTGTAAAGTGTTCAAGAGTACTTAAGAGTGCAATAATTGTGATGACATCAACTTCTCATTCTTTGATAATTCAGTGGCCAAAAAAGAAAAAAGGAGGCATCTGTAGTTACTATGACATATCCATTTGCCAAGCAAAGTCTCTACTTTTTGGCTACCAACAATGTCATAAAGAAGACTTCAAAAAGCACTCGTCATTTCTTATGGTAGCAAGATAACCATAGGCATCATCATCCAGTTCAGAAATGAATCTAGGAGTCTTAAAACATTCATTAAACAAACTTGCTGAAAATTATAAAATAATTTAAGAGAAACCTCAAAACTTACAAGATATTATGAGATGAAAGTGATCTACGCATAGAACGTATGAGAATTATTGAAGGTAACCACAGAGAAGAGGAAGACTGTTACATAGTTGCCTAAATTAATAAATATAATTTCTTTGATAACAATTCAAAATATGCTTCAGGATCCATTGGGTAAAAAAAAAACATCAAATGGGCTTTGATAGTGATAAGTAAAACTCTCACAGTAAACTTACATGTATCCACCCAAGAGGGAAAAGAGAGAGCTTGTCTTGGACATTAAATATTTCTTCTTCATCCGTAGTTTGGCACTGAAAAGAAAAATATCTGCTTAGTGCATACAAATAAATGATGATAGAGAATTGAACTGATTGATAATAGAAGATAATACATGAAAACTGTTAAAATAACTGCAAAGTGCTCCTTTATTTACACCATGGATTAAAAATTGCATAGTGTACCAGGTGTGCTTAGTACATGCCAAACACCTGGTACTGAACCTTGTCCAGTAAAGCTGATTTGCAATGGAACACTTTTGAGTTTCAATCCTTGATCAATTATCTGATATTTTTTTCTCTGGGATGTGCCAGGTGGTATGTCACTGCACCAGCCAATATACACTGATTCGAGCTGGATATGGTATGGGTACCAGCAATGGTAATTTTAAACCATGGTTTACACTTTCCAACTAGAACTAACTGTGCTAATTGTTATGTGCCAACTGCCTAGTTGATAGCATTACATTGGGCCTTAATTTGAAATAAATAATGCAGAGATATTTTCCTAGAATAGGATGCCGTACAGACTCTGGGTGGATCAGAAGTGTAATAAATTATAGGGTTGAAGGAGCACTTGTCTCTGATGAATCTTGTTTCTATCACCGAAATCCAGTACCAAAATTCCTAGAGTCCTAAAAGTGTAAATTTGCAATTTTCACCTTTAGTTCTGTTTCCTGAATTTTATTTTCCATATTGGATAACTTACAACCATGATTTCTCAATGGAGTCTCATAGTCATGTTCCAGAACTGTCATTACTTGTCAAAATATGGCATCTATAGTGGGACCATTAACAATGGAATTAGACCATACTCCAACATATCAAAAGGGTGGCTAAATGTGTTCTTAAGTATAAAATTCCCAATAGGGCCATTATGAAGACATGATCTACCAAATGATATAAGATGAACCGTTGAACACAATGCACAAAACATAATAAAATGATTGAAGCAAGATAACAAGTTACCAAATTGCGTACAACACAATTAGCACAATGAATACAATGGACAGCTATTGGTATGGAGCTTGCAAGAAAGAAAGAAGAAAGAGACATCTATCAGACAGACAATTTGTTCTGGGATAGGGCAATATGAGAAAGCAAGAGTCACTAAATTCTTCCAGGTTAAAAGTGATAGGTGCAAGATAACACTAAAAACATGCCTTATTCTCCACCATTTCATATCATTTGAAAGGGTACTTGTTTAGTCATCAGGTGAAAAATGACTGATCAAGTGTGGCAACTAAAAAATATTTAAGTTTGCATAGCAAGATAAGGTCAAATCAGAAGACTTGTGGCAGGGATCTGCAATTCAAGAGGAAAAGGCATAAAAAAATGGCACCTAATAGATATAAAACGTAGCACCACAATGTAATGTAGAACTTGAAAAAGAAAAGTTTTTTAAAGCTCTAAATAACAAATAAATCTTCATCATAATAGGACCCAATTAAGTATGCCTCTCAAACTAAAAATGAGCTAAGAAAATTAATTTCATAATTTATTAACGAGTCCAAAGCCCCTCCAAGCTGTGAGCCTGTTGATTCAAGTTAAATCCAGAAAAGAGAGTCACATTGAAGAAATGCTCCAGCACCAAGACTCAGCCTCATTACTGAGGGATGATAAATCATATTAAAAAGACCATAAACAAAATAAATGACTAAATAAGGGATTAGCTTATGAGGAGGACCTGATCAACAGAGAACATGTATAAATATTACGAATTAAAAAACAAAACTTATACAAATTAAAAATAAGAACATATACACAATTTTATTATGCTTTTGGCATATTCAGTAAAACTAGCTCTAAATTTCGAAGATGAATACAAGGCAATGTCTTAAGCCAGAGAATCACCAACAACAAGAGATAAGCAACCAGCAAATTATACAACTGGAACTTGTATTTGAGTTAATAACAACATCCATTAATAAAAAGCAAGAAGATTATCTTACCGAATCAGATGTTGATTCCTGCTTTGGGATTATTAGTGTTGTCACATAAAACATCCTGTTTTTCTACAATAAAAGCATGGGATGCATCAGAAATCAGGCAAAAATTTCATAGTTAATGATCCTACTTGACATCACGTACCAATAAACCTGCAAGAATTCCACAGGTTTCCAAATTTTTGGCAGTGTTCTTCTCTGCAAGCCGCATAAAAGCTTCCATCATCTTTACCGGCTGTCAAATGAATGAAAGATTTTATAGATTACTCAACAAGGTCAGGTTTTTCAGTATTTTTTGAGTGACTGAGAAAGTGAAAGGGAGAGAGCTCACCACATGTAGATTTTGAAAAGTCTTCGTTCCATCATGCGAAGATTTTGCTGGGCCTGGTCTTGGATCAGCAACTTTTGATGGGGAAATCACACGTGACTCCACTTGAGCTAGAACTGGAGGAGGAGATGGCTGCTTGATATTCAAATGAGCAAAATCTTCTTGAACTACACTTGCAGCAAAAGTATCAGATTCTTCTACCGGAATAGAAGACCATCTGCCATCATCAAGGGAGAGAACTGATTCCAGATCATAGTTCCTCTTTCTAGAATCGCCTTCATTTATCACAACTAAACCAGATTGCGCATCCTGATTCAGGCTATTTGACAGTACACAGCACCAAAATGTGTTGTTAAGTGTAACTTGGAAAATAGACATAAAGCAGAAGATGACTTGGTTATTCACCGAAAAAATCAAATTTAGAAGTGTGAATAAAAACAAACAAGCACATAGCAGATTGCTGTTGCAATTTATAAAGCACTGTTCAAGATTCTCACCCTGAACTTCCACTTTGAATCAACTCAAAATTGCTGGGATACTGGACCTGTACCAAATAGAAGTAAATACTGGTGGCAGTCACTACTTTGTTAGATGAGGACCAAAAGACTTGTTAAGTACAATAGAATTATACCCTTATACCAGTAACTGGTCGTGCAGGAGGGCCCCATAGACCATTAGGACCTAAAATGGAATGCCTAGATAAGGTTTCTTCTTTTGGATTAAGTACACCAAAAGATCTGCACAAATGTATATTAAAAAAGTTATTTCTAATACAACAAATTTGTTAGCAAATTAGCACAGGAAAAGAGTCTAGAGAGAAGCCAAGATTTTAAATCTACTCAGTAGATAATATGTTTGAGAGTCTGCAAAATGACCCAAGAACTGCAAATAGCCAAAACTAAGCTTTTCCAACCATCCTATATTTGGCAACCACAAAAATCAGACAATTAGAAACCTGCTCATTGCTATGACAAAACATCGAGTTGCATTCTACAATAGAGCATAAACATCTTGGTAAACTAAGATGTTGTTCCAAATCTAGACTAACAAAATTTGGAATTATAAATATATGAAACTTTTCAAATAAAGCAATTATAAGAACAATTTTTTTTCTACCTTTCTAACTACAAACTGCATACATTTTAACCAAAACTTTGACATGTTATTGTTTGTATGTTATCCATAGAAAAAGCAAGTAATACTCGAGTTAAAATTTAAAGGAAGGTGAACTTTTAGCTATCCTATGGGAGTGTCATGGAAAATAACATGTACCACTGGGTGATGCAACGTAGCAACTGATCAAGCACAAAATTTTAAACAATATACAGTGAATTTTTTTGTTAACCGGTTATTCATTACCACAAAAGAAACAAGACAAACTCCAGATTTAACTGCACAACAATAGTGGGTAAGCTTCAAAAAATGAACAAAAACCATTTGATTGGACCATTGTAAAGATGCACATTAAACAATTTAACCAATGAAGAACGTTGAGGCATTCCAACATTTTTTTTTTTTGCTAATGGCATTTCAACAATTGCCCTGAGATCAAGATAGTACTACTGAAAAATTAATTAACCAATGTATGGATTATCTTTTGAACATGAAAAAAGGGTAGTAGGATGAGTGGGAAAGATCAGGGAACGAGGAATGAACATACTATGTGATGGTCTTACATGTTAGAGCTCCATAATTAAGTTTTATTTTGTGTAAATGTCACGACTCAGGCCTGATAAACTAAGTCGCCTATCAACTATGTTAAACTCAAACCACTGGTCAAAATGCTAGAGCTGAAGTTGATAGCAATACACACATCAAATCCTTAAAAGTCAATCTTAGTCTTACCCACTTTCGATACGGGACTAATCAGGATGTTACAATCTCCCCTATTTAAGGGCTTGATGTCCTCGTCAAAGCCCAACATACCCTAGATCAAAACCTAGCATGATGTATGTGAATCATAGCTCAGTGGTGGGTCTACATCGTGATGAGTCCTCTAACTCCATCCACGGATAGCTCTTTCTTATTCGAGTCCCTTACCATGCTCCGATACTAGGTTGGCTTTGATACTATTTGTCATGACCCAGGCCTGATGAGTTAACTAGCTTGTCAACATTGTTGAGCCTAAACCACTAGCCAAATGCTAAAGTTGAAGTTGATAATAATCTACGCTCATCAAACTCTTATAAGTCAATCTTAGTCTTGTCCACTTCCAATGTGGGTCTAATCGAGGAGTTACAATAAACCTACATCCTTCTGAAACATGCCCTAATGCTTTTCCTCTCATTTTTCCCCAAATGCTCATTCTTTGATCCTATTCATTATTTTAGAGCAGGTTATAAGCTAGAGAGGATAATAAAATGTTAAATCTAGACAAATTGATCGATTTATGCACATACATTTTCTGCAATGATTTATCTGCTTGTGAGTTGTCTGGCAACACAAGTCGATTCCTCTCAGCAGGTCTCCATGACGATCGAGATGTACTTACTGTAGAAGTCTGCAATTTTAAGAATATGATAACAAAGATCAGATGAGAAAAAAAGTAAGTTATTCTGCAGGAAATTCAAAGAAAATCCTAACTTGCATAAGCCTCATAATTTGTGAAACTTGTAATCTAAACATTCAGTAAATCAAGCCATGTGCAATGACTTCATATCAGAGACTTAATAGAAATATACCTGGTCCATGCGAGGAATAGGAACGATGTGTTCCTTGGCAGGAACTGGACTATAGGAGACACTTTTCTGACCAGCAGTTTGAAATGTATGCTCTCTGTTAAGATTGTCAACTTGACGTTGAACTTCTGGCTTCAGAGATTCCAGTTCATTCATGACATCCAACAGTTTCTGAAATGATTTGAAAAAGGTTAACAGAAGTTCTTAATTATTATACACCATTCTCTGGATTTCATAAAACAATAAGAACAGGCTTCAAAGTTGGAGAAAGGGCAAAATGAATGGCCACACCAACCTTCCTAAAAGCAGGAGGTAAGGCCTGGTATTCATGGTGACAAGGTATTGTCTCGCACAAAAGACTGCATCCATAAAGATAAATTGAAAAGTATCATTATAAACCACAGTTCTAAGTGACTGTTCTGATCGAAATAGCAGAGAATTAAATGAAAAAGGAAACAAATTGGATGCTGGAGACAAAAAATTGCATACACCAGCATGTAGATTTCGGTGGAAATAAACATGCATAAAGCAAGCAATATGGACTTCACAGCATCATTACCTCGAAAATCTGAGAAGTATAATATACAGATCAATGAGATTTCTCTCGTCCCTGTAAATTCTAGCCTGAAGATAAAAGAAAGCACTTAAATTTGGGAATTGTGTCATACACAATTAAAGTATTGAATCAGCAGACATGAATGAAAGAAAACAGGCCATAATCAACAAAGTAATTCTGAACTCTAGTCCAAATATCGATATGCTAAAATAAACAGCACAGCTGCTGAACGAGCAAGCTCACTTTTGGATGATGAAAAGATGAAAATCAAACTTTATGTTCCTATTACTCCAAAGAAAGTGTTGAATCCAATTTCCATGAATGATAACAACAGTCCCAAAGGGTCACAAAGCTTCAAACTGGAATGCCAATGAAAAGGGTTAACGTGGACCTGCGGTGCCTGAATATTACTTTCTTGTGCATCATAGGCTTGTTGGTTTGCTTAAAAGTTGTATCTAAATATTAATTAGACTCGTTCCTAGTCCAACAAAATTTAATAGGATTATTCTACAAACCTACGAGCTTAACAACAACAAATAGGCTAGAACGTTTATATTTTAATCAAATATGAGTAACCTCTAAATTTGGACTGACTAACAATCTGGACCAGGATTTAAGTGGTTAATAGCAGGTTGATAATAAGATATACGTAAATTATTTCATGGGAATTACTCAGTTTCGAGTTCTTCCAATAGTTGATCTGCTCAAATTCGTAAATCTTAAATGACAATAAAAGGATCATGCCAATGGTTCCTGGGAGAGGATGCAAGTTTATCAGCTGAACAAAAAATTCACACCAAATTTGGCCTCTTTGTTTTCTCCATCTCTGTTTCCTTCAAACATTTCATGATCCACTCTCCATTCTTTAGTTTGCTAAAAGCTAACCAGACAATGATAAGACACCTGGAAGATAACACCTTGATAATTCCCGCATGGAGCATGCTAGTGCATTAGCTTGACAAAACATCCAACAGGAAATCCACACTTAACCGACCCAGTAATCTCAAATTCCTTGAAATTCATCCAATTCCTTTTTTCCCCTTGTTTATTTTTGTTTCTATCACGTAAAATGAGTCATCAAACGATCATTCAATCTCGCAACCGCTTCGAAGCAATGGCCATTTTTTCCTATGACTATCTTGCTCAGCCGCGCAATTACATCGACGCTGACAATTCCGTCAGAGCATAATAGAATCGCATCTTGAAGGCACCCGAACTAAGAACGGTTCGGGATCAAGACGAGGGGCACAAGAATTGGGATAAGAAATCAAAGCAGCGAGGCGGAAACGGGACCTGCTTGAGGAGATTATCGGCGATGCGGTAGTAGAAGGCAAGGGAGATGCGGTTGTCGACCTCCACCTTCTGGGCCAGGGCGTTGATGTCGATCGCCCTCACGTGGGGCCTCATCGCCGACATCCTCCGGCGATCGCGGCGGGGGGGGGATCCAGACGACGTCTTCGCTTCCGCGGCGGGTCTGCGAACCTAGCTAGCCAGCAATCCTGGAGTCGTCTCACCTCGTCTCTTCGCCTATTCCTTACCCCCTCCAGAGATCGATAGAAAGCGGAAAGGTTTCGGCAAACTTGACGGGGGTTATATTCTCGTCGCGTTGGGCTGTGCGACTCGAAGCCGGTCTAATCGAATTACTTAACTTGGAATAGGTTCCAATCTGAACCGGTTCGAATATTAATCGAACCAGACACTAATCCAGCCAACCCTTAATAATAATAATAATAATATTATTATTATTATTATTATTAAAAAATATATTGGATAAGTAAAAAAAAAAAGAATTAAGATACAAAATAAAAATATAAGTAATTAAAGCGAGTTACTTAATTTGGAAGGGGAGGATATGATCGAGCGTGATCAACCCTTAATAATATTATTTTAACACGATATATTTTTTGTGTTAATTTACCTATTATTATTATTATTTCTTCTTCTTTAAATTATAAGAATGTGGTTTGAACGAGAAAGCATCACAAAGAAAACCATAAAAGAATATCTTAGATAACCCAAAAAAAAGAATTAAGATGTTGCTTAACCTGAAAGAAGACAGTGACCACCAAGCCTAAGGCTTCTACTGGTTCGCATAATAATGGACCAATCCTTCATATTATTTCAACATGATATTTTCTTTCTTTAAATTTATTATTATTATTTTCCTTAATATTATTTCAACACGATATATTATTTGAGTGAGAAATATTTTAATATAATATTTTCTTTCTTTAATTTATTATTATTATTATTATTTATGGTTTTCTCTAAGGAAAACCATAAAAGAATATATTGGATACCCAAAAAACATATTAAGTCATGAAACTAAAATATGTTAACTGTATGGGGCGTTGCGAGAATCGAACTCGCGACCTCTCGCACCCGAAGCGAGAATCATACCACTAGACCAAACGCCCGGACACATATTTGGGTTTAAGATAAATTTACTTATGGTGCGATAATACGAATATTTGATATGACATGAGAAAATTACTATGGTGAAAGGAGGCTTTATAGGGTCGATATGCAAGATACAGGAACGAGACAGCTCTTCTTGATTCATGAGAGCATTAAAATTGAGGCTCAAGAAATACCTGTTTACTTATTCTGAGCTTGCAGTTGAACTTGGTCGTTTCTTCAAGAGCAAAAGATTTGGCTATGGCTTGCCAATCTGACCTGAACATGCCACACTTGTTGATTTGGGGACAAACAATTTTTCTCCCCCTCAATTGATGTTTCTTTAGTGACAGCAGAAGAACTCCAAGGTTAACATACCACAAAATAAGTTTCTAAACCATTAGAAAGTAAAAGTAAATTTCATATCACATGAGCAATGTTTAACACCATAGATAGTAGGGAATTTGTGCATAAGCATCTACACCACATGATTGTGCAGTTTCCAGAAACCATGAAGACTGGCTTTGTTCAGAAGTGAAGCTTTCCAGCTAAGTACCACGAATGAATGGCAAGGCTGCCAAATGCCATGATGTTGGCAAGTGACGACAAGCCATGGATCATTCCGAATTTCTTGTTCATAGCTGCAAGTTGTGGATTGGTTTTTGCCGCTTCCAAATTCTTCGACCCTCCAACTTCCTCACCAATGCCTAGATCTCTTTCGATCTTGTGCCTCTTCTTCATCATCTGCAAAGAGTGAGCTTTTAATAAGCATAACAATGCTCCTAGTTATACATGATTTCGCAATTTCAATGTCTTGTGATGTTTAAATTTGTCAAGTTCTGTTGACTTCTTAAAAATATGTTTGCTCTTTCAAAAAATCTTAAACATAAACCCAAGTCCCAAGTTAACCAAGTCATCTCCACCTAAAGTAAAGCCGTTATAGCTAGCATAAGATTTTTATTATTTATAGAACACAACCAAATGATTGAAACAAGCACTATCATAAGAACAAATTTCAAATATAGGATATTTCCTTATGAGTATATACCTCAACAAGTATTTCTGTACAACCCTCAAATGTTCATATTTGCATGTTCAAACTCCAAGATTGGGGTTGCGCACAGGTTTAATAATCCATTCGAAATTCTGAAAGAAAGGGAATAGAGGTGCAGAGAAAGTTTCATCCTATAACAATTTTGGTTAACATATATAATCCAATCAAATCCAGGTTTGCTGATGGAATTGGTATGGATGCTTATGGCATAGTTATGCACTACATGGAGGGTACACATGTAAATACAAATTTCCAAGGGTTATATATACAAATACAAATATCCAACCGCATGTGTGTAAAAATCCTCGCCCAGAGAGAAACTTAAAGAATAAAAAATCAATTATACAGATCTTGATCCAAATATATTGCAATGTTGTACTAGCTATTTGACTTGATTTGCTGCAGAATTTTTGCATAAACATATTATACTTATTGGAGATATCCAAGTGTGTCTAAACAGCTCCTAGTGGATAAATATTTGCCAATATGCCTTGTTATATAAAGCATAAGATACAACCTTTCAAGATGTAAGCCACATTTAAGAGTGCTACTACATTCTCAGCCCAGTTCAGTGGTACCATAATGTGAAGTTCAAGAAACAAAGACCAGTTACAAGCACCTAAAGTTAGAGTTCCAATCTTTTCCCTTTTAACCTAAGAATCTATGTTTGGGAGGTCACACATCACTATCATTTATAGTAATTCAATCAAAGTATTAAACAAGTAATACAACTCTCCTTCATTGTAATAATGGTGAAAGGATTTGCCTCCAAGATCTGATAACATTATTAATAGTTAGGAGTTTTCTTTAAGTAATAATAAATTTCAAGATGTTCTAAGCAGTTGAAAAACAGATACAACATACATTCTAAATCTACTCATGCTCGTTATCTCATAAGAGCTGCATATGATAAAAAATCTAGATGGATCTTTTTCCATCATTAAGATCTGCTAAGAGCAATATCACTAGTCAAATATACCTTTCTTACTGCTTCTTTAATATGGACTAGAACAATCACGTTCATCCAATAAAGCAAGTTCAAAACAATATACATAGAGTGTTAGACCTAAAACCCTAAACCAGTCAAGTAGTGGGAAGTGATAATGGCTTTAGTTAGGAATGGGTGCCAAAGTTTTCAGATAAGATGAATGAATTACCTCGATGGTCATTGGGGTGAAGACAATCAGGTTGGAGAGGTCGAAGCCAAGCGCAGAAAGGAGAAAACCAAGCTGGTACCTTTCAATGGGTGAGGCCAAGCTCCATGGATGGAGATAGGCGAACGCTGCCACCGAAACTGCCGCGCACACAGACAATACCATGAAGTACGCCGGGAACATCTTGCCCTGAAGATTACCGAACTGATGCCTCGGCAAATTTCTGCAAAATTTCACACACCTATTGTCAAAACACATCCAAATCCTACAATTAATTACACAAAAAAATCAAGTTAAGATTAGCAAATAAACAAGTCTTTCGTCAGAAAATTTTAGAGATTCAGCTGTGAGCCTGCATCAGTACAACTATAATCAGTCAAGTAGTATTTACGAAAGGTGAGATTTTTAACGGGGGAGAAGGGGATTACTTGAACATGATGATGCCGCCGATGAAGGTGACCCAGAGGGCGGTGCCCCAGGAGGTAGCGAAGGCGAGGAGGTGGCACAGCTTGGCGGCGGTGACAACGGCAGCGGGGGATTCCGGCCCCGATCCGAGAACGTCAGGCGCGAAGATGACGCCGACCGCGAGGAACGCCACCGCCGTGAGGAAGCGGGTCGACCACGCCATCAGAACGCTCCGCCACAGAGAATGAGAGCTAGGGTTAGGGTTTCGGTGGCCGAACGAGCAGATGCGAAAGGAGACGAGAACGACCGCAAAAGTCCAGTTCGAAGCATTTTAAGAGGCTTTAACGAAGAAAGGAGATGGGCCGATAGAGTCGAGAGGTACGTGTGAGAAGTAGCACATGATTTTCCATTTATGCCCCTAGGATACGATGTATTATTTTGCTGTTGCCTATATATTGAGGACACTATCGTCATTTTATTATATCAAGATGGCATGTTGACTATTTTGCATTAAACCTTAACATGTCGGATGTTAAGGAGAATTCTCCAAGAAAATTATTTTTTTTTATTTTTTCTACATAGCGATCCTTTTCAAAATTTGCTTTTGGATGTTTATATGTAGATAGGTACACTTAGTGGATAAAAAAAAGAATATTAGAAAACGAAGGGAATTTTATTTTGTTCGGACAATTTAAAGAATCATTTTATATATGATATGAACAGGGCTATTTACAAACTACCTTTGCACTTAAAAGCATCTCATTCCTTACAATTAAAAAATTTACATTCAAATTTGTAAGTGAAATATTTTGACTCATTTATTCTAATACTGATTTTACTAAAAGAAACATAAAAATAATAGATAAAAAGATAATTTTAATCATCCCCGTTGTTGGTGGTGGATGATGTCAATTGTGATGGATAGCACTATTGTTGCGAGCAACGAGTGATTGTTGTGAATAAGGAGAGTGACGAAAGGGTTGCTTACTCATTGCATCGACATCGGCATAATTGTCGAGCAACATCGCTCTATATCTTTGTTGATATAGATATAAAGCGATATCACTCAGCAACTACGTTGATGTTAATACAATAAGCAATCCTTTTGTCGCTTTGCATCTATGTCAACATCGACGTAATTGTCGAGCCGAAAGGTAAACATAATCCGTCTACAATGGCATTGCCAACATATACAACAGTTATTACTGATAAGGTATACTCCATGCCCAAGCCACGTCACAATCGATATCACGCCACGCCACAGCCAAGTCAGCAAAAGAAGCACCCCCACGCGTCGAGCTAGTAACCTATCAAGACGCCACTCGGTATGTCCCGTCTTGATAAGCCCGAGACAACGCCGCATGGCGCCATTCCGCACGTCCCGAGACGACAGTCGCACAAAGGTACCATCTCATCCCTCGAGGATCGACCATCACGTCAAACCCGCGTACGATCGATCCTCGTACAATAATATAAAAGCCCTTGGCTGACATCCAACCAAAGAAGGAGAAAAAGGAGGCAGAAAGTAGAACCTCACATGGACTTACTTGTCGAGGGGCCACAGTTGGTAATGACCCAACGGGGCCTTCTGTGCAGGAAAACAGCAACGCCCAAGGCGAGGCCATCTCGATCGTGAGAGACGTCCTTCTTCCTAACGAAGAGATGTCAATATTGTGGCACCAACACACCGATTGAAAGGCTCGACCAACTCCGGCATCTAGCTCAGCCGATTGAAGACTCCCAACATCGTCCCGTGGATCAGACCGTACTGACTCATCAGCCACGACCCATTAGTTCATCAACAATTACGAAGCTTTAACCGTCGAGAAACATGTGGAGGATAACAAAAGAGGAAGGATCTATGCTTTAGTTACTTAATATTTCATATTTTTTTTTATTTATTATGTTTCTATATTCTTTGTATTACTATTTATATTTTTGAAAATCTGTATCAAGATTTAAAAATCGGTATACCATATTTAATGATGTTCATGACTTTAATTTAATTGTTTTGAGATTTTATATCATTACTTAAAAATTAGTGAACTATATTTATTTAAGTTTATGTCTTCAAACTATATTTAATAATGTTTATATGTCCATTAGTTTACTTGGCATTAAAAAACACAGGATTATTCAGTCTGAGTGGCCCAGCGATTACGTGCCGGCACGGCTGACAGCCCACCAAGACCGAACCGAAACCGAGTCGGTTCGAATCAGTTCGAGGTGGTTTTAGGCCGGTTTAGACAAACTAGGAATCTTACTCGCACATTTGCATGATCATCGGTACCTAATTGAAAGACCAAACTGCATCGCTCCTTGCGTGAGATCACAAACATTAGAAGATAAACAAAAGAACATGATTCATTCACTTGAACTCAAAGATAGACTCAATGCAACTAAGATTTCGAGTTGTGCGACACACAAAAAGAGCAACCATGCTCTATGTTGTCTCTCTCTAAGAGTGAGAACTCAAGAAACTAAAGTTTCACTGACTAGCCAATCGAATTTCCTGTAAACTGATGCACGGGTGAATAATTGCGGTAGACTCCGACGACTCCATCTAAAGCTCGTCCTGAAACCATCAGAAGAACAAATTAATTTAAAATGTGTGATGTGTCAGTTACAATTGCGAATGAACAGGGAGGCGGAGTGAAGAAAACGGTACGTGAGTAGTCTCCTTTTCTTCTTCTGCGTCTGAATCAGACTTTGAATCAGCATCATCTTCTGCATCTTCCGTGTCTTCGCCCTGTAATAGAATAATTTGAGCCAAAATGAGAGATTAAAGGGGAGGCAAAGATCTAAGAGTTACAGAAACATCAGTCAGGGGCTTACATCTAAATCTGAATCTTCATCTTTGGCTTCCTGTCATAAGAGAAGCAAGTAATTCGTTTTAGAAAGTAGCTAAACAACAAGAGAGCTACTGATCAGATAATAAGAGTTAAACAGCAGATGAAATGCGACCCTTATATTTTCCCTGGATCTTTGATCAAATAGTAAACACTATCAAATATGCATATGATAGAAAAGCAAAGATATCCATCAAAAGAAATCCGACATTAGGTTACTACATTCTGTCATGACTCGGCCTGATGGGCCCATCGATACTTCTGTCACATGAACATGACTTAAAATGTACTAGAAATTAATAATAATACATTCATCAGAATCTTACAAACTATGAAACTAAATATAATACATTGATAAGATCTCATAGGTCAATCTTAATCTTTGTTCATTTCCGATATGAGACTAAACTGGGATGTTATGGTTCCAGTAACCAAAACTAAATGAGAAAGTAAGAGGCAAAAAACATCCAAGAAATGATTAGCTAGTAGGCAAAAAACATCAAAGAATTGATTACAGTCAAATATTTCCTCTTAACAATATCAAGACACATTAAAGGCCCCTATGTCAATAACCCATGCAATCAAACTGTAAAAGGTCATTTTTGTTGTCAATTGGTTAAACAAGCAGTAATTCACAAAGCATAGGTACTTATTGGTTCATATAATATAATATTAAAAAAAGATTAGGAAATGAATGTTAATAAGACAAACCATATGACCCTGAAATAAGAATAGAAAACACAGATTCTAAGGTGAAGCAATTTCCAGCATACCTCTTCTTGCTTGTTTTTCTCAGCCTCATCAAATGCTGCCTTCTCAGCCTGCAAGAGATAAACCAAATGAATTTAGAATTTCAAAATCCTACATGATCTCAAAAAAAAAAAAAAGAGGAAAATTTGAAATACCTACATCTTTATTCTTGCCCCATGTTTCTTCAGCAAATTTCATTGCATACTCAGGGTCATCACAGACCAATATGTTGTCAAACAGAGTCCCAGATTTGACCTTACGAGTGCAGTAAAACAAGTTAGAAATAAAAAACACCAAATAAGGACTTGACCCATGTGACTTGAAGAGTGATTGTACCTGCCATAACTCGATGCCTACGTATCTCAAGTTGGAGAAAGCGTAGATGAACGGGTCATCCTTGAAATCTGCAATAAGAGTGAAGGTTAAGTTTCAATTACATGAAAAAAAGAGAATATGCAAATTCAGAAAGTAAAATAAAATGATACCTGGATTATCAATCATTGGTGCCTTCCACTTCCCCTTGTAGTCAGGATTCTTAATTTTCTATAAAGAAAACAAAATAAGTAATTAGATTCTTTACTCATGCTCTAGTGCTGATTCTGTTAAGAAAATGTAAGCTCCCTACACCTTTTGCTTCCAGGGTCCCTTGTACTCGGGGTTTGGAATGGTTGGAACTGTCCATTCACCATCTTCTTCTTCATCCCAATCTTCTGGCTGCAAAACGCAGAACAGTTATGCAGTGGCAAAAGACAGCAAGGATATATTATACAAGGGTAGACTTCCTGAAATTACAATCATGTACCTTTTTTGCATCAGGATCAGGAATCTCCTTGGGAATGTCATCATACCCCTTCACCAATAAGGTTGAGTTTGTTTAGTACATTTACCATGCTAAAATTGATGAAAGATAGTAGTTCATGACAGGAAAAGATTGCAAGCAGCAAAGCATTTTTGTTTCAATTTCCATTATCACTTGAAAAATATCAGATGATGGGTAGTTAGGAAGAGTAATGCACGCATGGGGGCTGAAAAACATAAAAAGAACTTAAATAAAGTCTGGAGTTTTTATTATGACAGAGGTGTCATTTTCTAAAAGACCATAAAAACAATAGATAAAGTAGTTTGTTCATTTTGCAACACTTTCCAAGTAGATGAACCACATAGAGCAAAGTTATTGAACAGCTCCATCGTACAATGAGTGGAAAACAAACCAAGCCACAATGGCATTTCAAGAACTATAAACTCTGGCACTAGGTCAGCTCCTTTACCACAACCATTTAATAAGAAGACAGATAAATTGCAATAAAGTTAGATTACCTCTGGTTTCTTGTCGTCAGGATCAGGGATGTACTCCTTGTCATCCCAATCTTCTGGCTGTGACATAACACAAACAAATCAAACAACTCTAATTGACACTCCTTGTCGGTTCATAATAGACCACACATATATCATTTTTACCTTCTTGGCATCAGGATCCTTGATTTGCTTTGGAGGAAGGATATCCCAATCACTATATAAGCTACCTGTTTGCTTCTCCTTGTTATCAACAAGGATGCTGTATGTAGCATCCGAGCGAACAATGAAAGTGTAAACATGAGTGAGCTGATCAGTCTCACATGGAACATCCTTCTTGATTAAGTGGTTCTTTTCATCCCGTGAGAAGATGGCATGAACCTTCTTCGTTGTATACCCACAGATATCTGGTCCAAACATAATACTGCAATCTCCAAATACAGAATAACAAGTTAGATTACTGATGCATTATCCATGACTACACATGTTTAACACAAAAATAGATAATAAGCACCTGTAAGGAGTATCTCCACCAAATTTCTTCTGATCAACTTCACCACTAAGCAGCTTAATATAACCACCTCCACAGTCAAGTTTCTGCTCATGTTTAACTGAGAATTGCAAAACTAATGTCTTGTCCTTGTTGCTGAACTCGGGGAACTCTGCCGAAATGGCATAGAATCTATAGTCTTCAGCAGTTTGGATACCTGCAGTCAATGTATTTATGTAAACAATAACTCATAGCAATAATAAAGGCAAACAACTTTTTCAGAGCTAAGATTTTCTTTTTACGGAGCAATGATCTTTATTATCTAAAGAGGGATACCTTTATCCTCTGGATCGCCAGTCCATTTGCCAGAGGTGTAGTTCCAGTCTCCAGCCGTGTTCTCATCCTTCTTCCAGTCAGATTTGACCCACCGATTCTCCCATCCATCTTCGATTTAAGTAGGAAATTTATCGAAACAAATCGTTCAAGCAGATAGAAAATTGTAGATAATCATTATTACCAGGAGACGGTTATTAAAAATATTCATCATTTCATCCATTCATAATTGTTGTATAATCATATTTTGTATACGACAATTGTATTATTATTCCAAATCCTTGATCCCAAAACAGATCATATTAATTTCTATTACAAGACACGATTCGAAAACCCATCACAATGACCTTTATGCAAAACCCATGAGCAAAATAAACCGTTGCAGAAGAAGCTCTACAATCCATGCCATTTATAAAAGCGATAAACATACATAGCTGTATCAAAATCTAGCTAAAATAAAACATCAATAATCTGCGGCCTCACGACTACATTATCTCCATCACAATACAGGTACGCCTCATCTAGCATCAATAAACCACAGGAAAAAACCAAGTCAAACATCAGAGCATGCACGAAGAGAAAGATCCAAAAAGAAACATGAGCATTGTCGCCAGCGGATCGAAGCCATTACAGATCAGGAACAGAGAAAGAGAGATCAAATCAAACAATGGAAATCGCATAGGAGATAGCCGTGCGGGCTGAGATCGAGCGCAAAGAAGCAGAACAAACCACGAATCTCGAGTGGAACCAGGGTAGGGGCGCATACCTCCGAATCGCTCCTCGAAGTAGACATCGGCGGAGACGATCGAGACGACGGCGAGCGCCGCAGCGAGCGCGGCGGCGAGAGGAGGCCTCCTCCGGATCGCCATCTCGAGATTCTCCTGTCTATCGGGCTTCTCCCCTTCGATCGAGGCGAGAGAAGCGTAACAGATATATAGAGAAAAATACGGAGTAGGGTGACCTAGCGGTACCCTTACGCCACTCGCCGGCTCACCAATTGTACTAGCTCTGGAGGACACCTTTGCCAATGGATTAACGACACGTGTCCACATCGACGTGTCTGGCTCCATAACAAGAATAATGAACTGTGGTGACTCTATCCTCGCGCGACCATTTTCATCGTTTAAAGGCTGGCCACTGTAGTGGGGAAAACGTGAGAATATAATAGGCCATGGCTTTGTTCATATTTACTTGACTGCCAGTACTATTCCCTCGTATCCTTTCGCGCAAATGAAAGGGGCATTTAAAGAATTAAATAAATCATCACGTAAACATGGATTGAGATTTTAGGAAGCTCGAAGGATTTTGTTCGACAATATTAATTTTTTTATTAACTCTTTTCATATATAGATATATATATATTATATCATCCTCTATATAGAATTAATTATATATTACCTTTTATGTTTAGACCTTATTAGTATTATAATATCTATATTAAAAAAATTATATTATAATCTTAATAGTTTTAAAAATAAAATAAATAATTTTATTTGTCCTAACATCATCAGTTGTATCGATGAAAAAACATGTAATATCATATATTGAATTAATACGACAGTGATAAATAAAAAAATAGCTTTAATATTTTTTATTTTTAATATAATTTTTTTTTATTGATAAGACTATTGAAAATGAAAAAAATATTAAAATTATCTTTTTATACATCATTTTTTATATCACATATAGTGTTTTCTCTTAATAGAATTAACGACATTAAAATAAATAAGATTATTTTTTTATTATAAAAAAATTAATATAAATTTGTAAAGTATAAAAATCATGATATTAATATAGTCAAGTACATAAGTCATCGAGCCGATTCATTCCGGTTCAAGTTTCTTTCTATAACATCCCGGTTCAGTTTTAAGCCGGGCCTTCTCCGAATCGGATTTGGTTTTGGGTTCCCACCTCATCATTAAGACGTGCCTTCGTCGTTTTCAAAGAGCCTTCCGCTTCCGGAGGCGCGGGTTCTCTAGGGTTTCATCTTGCCCTTGTCGTCGTGCAGGTATGTCGATCTTATCATTTGGTTTCGCTTTGTGAAATTGGTTGGTCTTTTGTCTTGTTCTTGAGGACAATTGATCTGGCTGACAATTTGGGGTCAGGAGTCGATGGATTTCGACCTCATTTCTGGTCTAGAATAGGTTTCCTGTGGCCCTTTGCGCCTCATAGCTACTTCGGTTGATCCTTTTTCTTTTTTTCTTGGTTCTTGACGATTGATTAGAAAGATCTGGTCAGGGATCAATGGGTTTTACTTGCTTTCTCGTGGCTTTTTTCGTGTCATTGGTATCTTTTATCTTCTCATGATTACCGTAGCTCTGGTTTCTTTGTGAACTCGATCGATGTTTTTGCTTCTTGACAACCGATCATAAGGGTTCGGACGACAAGATGAATTCACAGTATCTTGGTTTTCAATAGGGTTTTGTGCTTGCACTTTTTCGCCTTACATGTTATTCGTTCTTATCGTAGCTCCATCCATCGGCTTTCTGTGCGTTGTTGATTGATACTTTTATTTTTTTTTCTTTATTGACGATCAATCTGAAAGATCATGGTTTTCAATTCCTTAATATCGAGAATAAGGTTCAACTAACCCCTTTTGTGTCATAGGTACTTCGTAACCCTTTTTGTGAATTCATTGATCCCTTTGTTTCTTGATCATATGTATGTAAGATCTGGGCGATTAAATGGGGTTACCACGAATCGTTTTGTCCTGCACTCTTTATCTTACATGCAGTTAGATCCTGTCTTACCGCCCCATCCATCATTTGATCACCTTCTTTGTGGAATTGATAGATCTTTTTGCTTGTTGACAATTCATCTGAAAGATCTGGGCTAGGGGAGGAGTTGACGGGCTTTGAAATTTTCTACTAAGAATCCTGGTCTTGGAAAGAAATTTTGTACTTCGATCCTGTCATGCTTGTTGTACCTCCCAATTCATCACTTGCACATTTTTCTTTCTGGAATCGATCCATACTTGTTTGCTTCATAATGATTTGTTGTTGTGAAGATCTGGCCTCTGAGACTTGGACAGGAGCAGAGCGGTAGTCTTTTGGGTCTCACAATGGTGCCTTCATATTCTTACTAGTTTGGAATTCGTTCTCGGATTGATTCATAGAAAGGGACAGTGAAGGTTAATCATGTTGCAACTTTGGTGTGATCCTATTAACTAGAACCAACCATGGCTTCTTAATAATAGATTGTCGTGTTTGAAATTGAGAAAGTTTGGACATCTTTTTCTCCCAAATATTAGCTTTTGGGGTTCTCTATAGTTATATCCAGGTTGTTATGGGGTTGACTTTTTAATCCGTTTAGGTCTTCATTTCTTGCAGGACATCTGGAGTTCCAGATTTTCTAGTTATAACACTGCTAAATATGTCAAGTAAAAAGGAAGAGAAAGCTCAGGTTGCAGCTGATCGTATAAAAGCAGCAGCGCTATCAGCTGCAAAAGGTCTTAGTCGAGCTCAAGCTGAGCGGGCCGCTGCCGCTGCAGCTCGAAATGTGAATGCTTATGGTCAAAAGGAAGAAGGACCAAGCCGATGGCAAGAGAGGAAGGAAGCAAAGCGCCAAATGTACTTGATGAGTACAGAGAAAGCTGTCAGATTGGGTGAGAGGAAGGATCTCAAGTCTTGTGTTTCCTCTTCTGGTGGCACGTCCCAGTGTCAAAAGTGTTATCAGGTTGGCCATTGGACTTATGAATGCAAGAATGAACGTGTCTACATCTCACGGCCCTCAAGAACTCAGCAGCTCAAAAACCCCAAGTTGAAGATGACCCCCTCGGTGTCATATGAATCAGACGACCCTGACATCGTGAAGGAAGTAAGGGATGAAAGACACAACAAGAAAGATGTAGGGAAGAAGAGTAGCACAAAGAGCAAGAGAAAGCACAGATCTGGTACTGATTCGGAGGAGGACAGTAGTGAGGCTTCTTCTGTGTTTGAAACAGAGAGTGAGTCTAGCTATAGTTACAGTTCATCTGATTCGGAGGAAAGGAGGCGACGAAAAAAGAAGCTTAAGAAAAGGAAACATAGAAGGTACAGCTCGTCCTCTGATTCTTCCGAGTCTGAATCAGCTTCGGATAGTGATTCTGATGAAAAGAGCAAAAGGAAGAAGAGCCGACAGCACACCCGCAAACGGTAGGCTGATTTCAGAGAAATGCTCTGTTTGGCTATTATTCAACGTTTACTAATTCTTATTTGTGACTGCTCTGACCTAATCCAACCTTTCCCTGGTGGTGGTTATCGGTTTAGGTTATGCTTGTTTCCTCTGGTAATGCTTAGGTAAATGTTCAATGCTTTTTATGCGTGGCTAGTTAGTTGAATCTTTGAATTTCTTTTACTTTAATTCCTTATGATGGAAATAAGGAATGTACTGAACTCTAGGTGTGTATTTTAAAGTCGTGATACTTTTTTTTTATTTTTCTTTAAAAAATAACATTAGTCGTTTATTGTTCCTTTTTTCTCCCATTCGCTTCACTTATCGTTTTTTTTGTTGGGGGTCATTTAGGCCCATATTTTACTATAACACACACACACGCACACGTGGTCTCTCTCTCTCTCTTCCTCGAAACTGCTTCATTCCAAGTTGTTGGTTGACCACCGATCCCTTTTGTTCTCTTGAATCAGGGGCCGTATCGTTGTTCCGAGAGAAGCTTCTGGAGGCACCCGGAGTTATCGATCACAAGGAGCTCTCAGCCACGGCGGCCGAGTCCACGTGCATGTCCTCCTGGTCCGACCGTTCCTCTATCGATCCTTCTTCCCCGGTCTTATCCTGTTCTCCGGTCCACGGATCTACTAGATGCGTAGAACACTGCACCAGTTTCCTGCATGCATGCCTTGCGTGCAAGACTAGCATACCCACAGACGCATCTTTCTTACCGTTTCCTTCTCACATTTTTTAGGATCAGTTGCAAATAATAACATACTACTCTTAATCTGAAGAGGCTTCACCATCACCAACCACAGCATGTACTCGAAAACGATTCTCGGCATACTAATATTATATGTTTCCTCTCTCTCTCTCTCTCTCTGTGATCTGAAACATGAATCACATGTTTAAACCATTGATTATATAAAACACGACCTAATTGATTCGGGCTTCACTAACTTTTCCCTTTCTCTATCTACTTTTTCCTGTCATTCAAGTCTTCACCGATCCCTTTTCTTGTTCTTATCATGACCTAGATGAACTTAGTTGACCAAGGAGACCAAATCATACTCCTGTGTTCTTATCGTCACAAACTATATATGATGTGACACTCAGATTGTCAAATTGAGTTTAATTGGTTTAGATCATGTCAATGAATATTAAGTGGAGGGAGCAAGATAGCCATCCAACATATCAAGTCTCTGTTGGATGTGGAAGAGATAGGAACAATATCTGATTGTGCACCGAACAAGGATTACTGTGATTTTAATCTCAATTCTCAATACAAGTATTTTCTTAAGGTATTTAGTTTTTTCTTGGAATTTAGATATCAAGTATTGTATTTACACACAAAGCTCAATTATGACAAAAAAAAAAAGATAGACCATTTCAAGTAGTTGAAATATTATAATTCATTATTATTGTAAGCCAATCATTTTCCTAACTATTATTTTTACGTATTTTACTATCCAAAAATACGCTATAAATAATCTAATTCAAAGCTACCCAAAACGTGCTCTGTAGTAGAATCCACCAACCCTCCTTACCTTCAACTCCCATCAATTGCCAAGATTCCTTCCTCTTCCAAATATAATACCCAAAAACTTAAAACAAAAAAAAAGAATTATTTAATCCTTAAAAGAAATCTCATTTCTCCTCCTCTATAAATAAAGCCTTCTCCATCCTCTCTCCCATTCGCATTCCCTTCGATACTTCGCCGTCTCTGTTCTGTAGCACATCTTTTGGGAGTACTACTTCGCCTTCTTGATTGCTGTCTCATCGGGGAAGCAAATCCCATCTTTTCGGACGGCAATTTCTGTGATCTTTATGAGCATCGCCCCTCATCTTCTCCGAATCTGCTTCCTCCAATCCTTCTCCGTCGTGTTCCTCTACTGGTTTTATGTCTTCTCGTGAGCTAAGTTTGTGATCCAAGGCAGCCGTCTCTTTCCCTCTCTCTCTCTTGCCACTGAATCCCTCGACGAAGCTTTCGTAGTAAGGGTAGGATAGGATGTCAGCCGCACGGAGCCGCCAGAGTTTGCTCGCGGTGAACGAGAGGACGCAGAAGAGGAAGCTGTCCAACCGGGAGTCGGCGAGGCGGTCGCGGATGAGGAAGCAGCAGCACCTGCTGGAGCTGACGAGCGACGAGACTCGGCTGAAGTTGGAGAACAGGCAGATACTGGAGCGGGTGGAGAGGCTGGCGCAGGGCCACCAGTGGCTGGAGTCCGAGAACGCCGTGCTCAGGGCGGAGGTGGCGGAACTGGCCGAGTCGCTGCGGTCGCTCGAGTCGGTGCTCTGCTACGCGGAGGAGTTCGACGGGGTGGCGACGGACGCGGTTAAGCCCTCGGATCATCTTCTCCGTCGGTGGCCGCCGGCTTGCGTCATGGCGTCAGCTTCGGACGCCATGCTCTTCCTTGTCTGACCTCACGTAAACCTCCTTCGGATATGCTCTGTTTCTCTCCTCCTCCTTTCCATACAACATTTAGAGGAAATGATAACTCTTTTAATTTTGTTTAAATTAAATTGAATTTGGAATATTGTATATATATATATATATATCGTTTATAGGAATAATAATTATGATTTTTTCCTTATTTAAATTGAATTGAATCTTATCACCATCTCCTCCTATACACTATACTATACTAGAAGAGATGTGGTTTGACTCTTCTTCTCTACCTTACTATATAATGTATTGGATCTCATCATGCAATTGCAATGAACTTTGCTCAATGTTGGATTTCCATCACGAATAATATTATATATATATTTATTTATTTATTTATTTATGTATCCAATGAGATCTAATTATTGGTTGTGGATTAGATGTTGAGAGAACATAGGAATAAACTTGAATTGAGATAAAATACTAATGTCTCACCTTTACGATAGGAGTGGAAACATATTGAATCTCTTTAGGATCGAACTCTGAAGCTCAAAGGTAATCGTGTTGATGATGATACTTGCAACATCTCCATCCATACGTCCCACCATCAAGAGAGATCTTCTCCTTTATCCTTACCATCTTCTCCAATGCACTACATGGATGTTTTTTGCCTACTAATACGTGCAATTTATAATCTACAGAATCTTAGATGTGCCATGAACTTGAAGCATCTGAATCTTTTGATTTGATTCGATCCTATCCAAGCTTGAACGTCTACAGCCAAAAAATACTTTGGGACATCTCCTCAAATGATTGCACTCTTAAATGCACAAAAGTTGGATTAGAATTAGAGAAAAATTTGGATCTTTAGCCCTACCTCACTATTAAAAACCTACTAAATATAAAGGATTTGATGCGCATATATATATTTTATAAAAAAAATAACTCAATTCACTCATAAAATTCTATACGTATATCGACCAATACAAACCGTAAAGGATTTGATGCGCATATATATTTTATAAAGAAAAATAGCTCGATTCACTCGTAAAATTCGATACATACATCGACCGATACAAACTCTATCTAAAAAAAATTTCTCAATAAAAAATCATTCGATCATAATTTAGTGAGCGATAAAATTCATGTAATTTTGATTGAAAATTTAAGCCTCACATATATTTTATAGTTTTTATGTTAAATCTAACCCTTGAGATGACCTTCTTACAAATTTCAAGCAAAGGGCTATTGTTTTGACATTATTTGACTCCTATGCTAAACTTCAAACCCAATACTTTTTTTTTGGTTGTAGAAATATGTTGTCATGAGTTTGATTAAGTGATCTATTAGTTTAATAGATCTATAATAATGTCTAAGCCTCAAAAATCATTTACCTTCAAAATCAATTCAAACAAAACTCGATATGATAGTGGCTCCATGTCGTCGTGTTCCTCAAATCTTATTCATAAATAGTTATTTTTTTTCTATTCTATCGACTTATGTCATTTTTAATATCATTTGTCATGACTTGATAAGGTAATCGACCCATGTAACATAAAATATATATGCCCAAATCAATAATAGTGTACTATTTAGTCTCATATAAATAAATTCATGTATCATATTTTGGATGTGAAATTAAATCGGTAGTGTTTTGCTTAAATGATTAATTTTTTAAATTGGTTAATTTATTAAGAACACTTGATTCATAATTAACGAGTCATCGTTTCATCTAACTCGATGGAAAAAAAAAAACTCTACACATAAACATACAAAAATCGATAATAAGAATAAAAAAAGGATCATAAATCCAACAAAGAAAAATAAGAACTATCATATGTGACTTCGATCGCATTCAATCAGACGAGCATGATAAAGAAGACACAGTCTATCACAGAACCTTTCAATCTACTTAGTTGACCTCCAAACAAAATAGAATTGACTCTTTCACAACTTCATCTTAGCATATCATCATTTAGCAAGCTCCAAAATGTTATTTTTCTAATCAAATTAATTGATTTTTAGGTGCAACTATATAATCTTTGTAGGTGTTCATCTTGATGAGTCAAACTTTTTGACAAGGATAGTTGACTTTCAATGTGTAAGTGATTAATCTTATGTTACCCTCTTTATAAGGATTTGATTGGCATATTGTTATCAAATCAGGTTTAAATATTTGAAGTTAATGGTTCAACCTCAACATGTGTTAATAGATTAATTATCCCATCGGATCATGATTAATTCTTCTTTATCTCTCGTTATATATATAAATATATACATACACACATATAAAATTATAGTGTTTTTAACACGAAAAGTGGATATGAGATAACAATACAAAATTATTCATTTAGAATTCCGAAACCCTTAATGTTTCTTTGTTATTTTAGGGAGGAAAAGAAAAAAAAAATAATGCCAATGAGTTCAAGTTTGAATCCTAATAAAATCATGAGGATGATATACTATCATCTCTAATGATGTAATAATGGTTAAATAAAAATCATGAGTATGAAAATATTTTTATTGCAAAGGAAAGAAATCATGCACCTTTTTGTCTTTAGATCCTAAATTGATTTGGTTAGTCACATATTTTGTCTATCCTTACGGGTAAAAGGGAGATAATATTAGAAAATATTTATGTCCGAGGAAAGATTAAAAAAGTTGACTAAAAGAATATATTTTTTATATTAGTAGATATTAAAAGAGTCGGATGATATATATCCTTGCCCTATAAATTTAAAGAACATTTACTTTAGTAGAAATACTTTTAGGATCAAACTTTAAAACTCAAAGGAAATCATATAGATGTGAAAAAAAGATATCTTCTCAGTATACTAGGAAGAAGATATATTGTTGTCAAAATATTCCTATTTATTGATATCTATAATTTATAATGTATTGAATCCTATCATGCAATAAAATTTATGGATATGAATATTTTGGTTCGATTCGATTAGTTTCTTTGTATCTTTAAATTTCTCCTTCCAAAAAAATATTTGGAATGTGCCTCAAATCTTATATATAGATAGTCATTTTTTTATTAGGCCTTCCATCATATATAATATTAAAGTGACGTCATTATTATTTCTTATAAATTAAGTAAATGGGTTCACCGATCTATCAACTCAACGGTGTAAATTAATGATAATATATTCAACTGTCAATTCAAGTCTCCTTCCATTTACGCAAAAAAAAGAAAAAAGAGAATGATCTATACATAAACTGATTAACTTATCAACAACACTTGGTTCATAATTAAGGAAAAAAGAATTATAATTTCCTTTTGCTTGTTTGTGTTTTTTTATGGCAGGCCAATGAGATACGTTAATGGAGTGACAACCATCCCTTCATCCTGTTTCCAACTTGAGGCTGGCCATCTTTGACAGGTCGTGAAAGCACAGAAAGGTAGGTGGTGATGCTGATCTCTTTGGTCTTGTTGAGCCTCTACTTCGATTCATTTAAGAGCTGCAACGAGTCCATTAATTAATCATGTTTTATTCTTCTTCTTCCTCCTCCTCCTCTTCTTCTTCGTTTGAGATTTCATGTCAATGTCAAGCAACTTGCATGGCCTGCTATAAACATCCTTCTCCATGATAAGCTTGGGTTTTACTTGATCTATTTCTGCTTAAAGTACATTGTTTATCTTCATTTCTGCATCAATGGACTTAACCAGTATTTGCTCAGGTTATATTTCCACCACCAGTATTCTCCTCTTCCTCCTCCTCTCATACCAATTTCTCAGCACCACACAAGTCAGTTCTGATGTATGATGTAATCTGCTATTATGTTTTTACTTTCAGACAATTTGAGATGGTAAAGAATGTTCAGAGGCAATTACTGTTTAATAGATTACTTGAAGCAAACATCAGTGATCATTCAATAAATTAATGGATCACCAAGTTGTCTTCTGCAGATGGCTGCTTCCACGCAATCAATTCTCCTAATAAAGAAAATGATGGTGGTGCTGACGATCGACACAAGGGATGGGGGAGCAAACAACTTGGCACATACTGTCTGGCAACATTTAAGCTTCCAGCTATGCTTGGTTGGCTGACGACGAACACTGTTCCTTGAGATCACAGCAGCCCGTGTGTCCTCATCTTGTGGATCATTAGAGACGGTAAACAAAGGCAGTTCGTTCAATTTTTAATCATGTCTTGAATTATATGTGACAATCGATGGCTTCTCCAGGAACGGATTTATCCAAAATTTGATACTTCAATTTCCGTAAGGAAGACTTTCTTTTTGCGCTACGGTTGAATGATGCCAAGGAAAAGTCAAATGACATGTGAAGCAGTAGAAATCTTGACTCCTTCCAAAGCAACAGCCGCCCACCTGTGAATGAACTAATGGTTACTGGAGCAGAGGGAAGCGTAGAAAAGTATGGCAAGTTGGATGAGGGACTGGTATTCCTTCCGCGAGATGGGATGGACCACAGAAACCAGATTGCTTGCAAGCAAACGAACCTCGGGAATATGGTTTGGCAAAGAAGGGAGGGAGGAGAAAAAACAAGAGGACCAAATTTGAAGGAGAGATAAGAGGCTGGAATGGTAGACTCGTGAAACGACGAGCATGAAAGCGAGTGGTGGTCGCCCAAAGATTTGATCTTTTGTTGTTCTGGTTTCTCAATATGTTGTTGTTCTTCGTGAGGTTGTGCAACATGTTGTGAACCTTTTGCTGCAAGTGAAGTCAAAGCTGGGAAAGAAAGGACTCGTGATTGAAGAAAGCAAAGAATAGGCCACAGAGAGAGATCACAGAGGGAGCAGAACACCAAAAAGGAGGCATCTTGGAGCAGAAAACCCACCCTAAGATTCAAGGACAGCCGATGAGCCCTTGCCTTGACCCATCGCCGCCTGCGTTGCTGCTTCTACTCCCTTTCTGAGGCGGAAAGGAGACGCCTTTGGGGCATGGAAGTCCCAGCAGACGAGCTGCTGAAGAAGATCCAGGAGCTGGAGGCGGGGCATGCGCAGCTGAAGCAGGAGATGTCGAAGCTGGTGCCCGCGGATGGTCACCGAGCGGGCCGATCCGAATGCGGCCTATCCCACTCGGTGTCGCCTCAGCGGACGACGGCGCCGCTGCAGCGGCGGAGGAGCGGAGGCCTCGAGGGGGCCTCACCGCCCCGGGGGAAGGTCTCCGGCTCCTTCGGCCACTCGTCGAGGCTGCAGTTGGAGAGCCAGGGGACAAGCAGCTCCACCGATGGTGCGGCCGGCCTCGGCCTCTCGGAAAGGCAGTACCTGAAAATTCTGCAGTCGATGGGGCAATCGGTCCATATATTCGATCTCGACGGCAGGATTATATATTGGTCAGCTGCGCATACTCGCTTTTCTCTATTAGCTCGTTGATCTTCTCTTTATATGATTTCTTTGTGTAAAAATATCTTATAGCCTTTGATATTCTAGTGAGCTTCATGAACGATTTTGGAGATTGACAATGGGTCTGCTTGATTGTTTAGAGTAATGAGTCTCTGTTGAATTGGATTGTTGGTGAAATTGTTCAGAGCATGGTAGATAGTTGGGGAAGGTCCCTTTTGTGATCCAGTACAGTTTCAGTGTGTAGAACCGTTAAAGCATTTAGAGGTAGAAGAAACCCGAAGCACTGCAAGAAGCATAGTTTTCAACTGATATGTTGAGATTATTTCTCAAACATTAAAGTTCATTTGATTTAAAGGAGTTTCCTAAGTCCTCCAAAATGGCTGTTCTTTGATCAATATCACTAGCTTTACTAGGATTTGACATTTTTTTTCTGTACAATGATTGTGGTGGAACAATTAGTATTTATTTTGTATTCTATTTATGACATACATTTTAATTACCGATTAGTCCAGTCATGTCTGACTTTCGCACTGACTAGGTCGGTTGGATAAATAAATGTAGAACATGACAAAAGAGATGAAGGGGATAGAAACAACTGACTGCAGTGTTTGAGTCTTTACTAATCAATATCAAGTATGATCGTCATTCACAAACCAAGGTTTTGGATACTTGGAATGTACATCTTTTTGCATTCTGCAACTTCACACGCTCTCCTTATTTTTATTTTGATTACTGTATCTTTTGTTTGTCTTCTGTCGTGTTGTCTTTAGATGCCGAAAGGTGTACATGATAATATCTTGCAGTTATATTTTTTTATTTTGATCAAAACATGAGTGTGTGATCCTTTGTTTTCTAAATGTTAAGTGACGGATCTTTGCTACTTAATCCACAAAGGAGCTTTAAGGATGATCTGATTTGATTTTGTAGGAATCGGTCAGCGGAAAATCTGTATGGATATTCTGCATCTGAAGCTCTTGGTCGGAATGCAATTGAGTTGCTTGTTGATGTATGTGATTTCAACATTGCTAGTAACATAGTTCAACATATAACTACCGGAGAGAGCTGGACCGGGAAGTTCACCGTGAAGAACAAGTTAGGAGAACGTTTTCTAGCTATTGCCACCAGCACCCCCTTTTATGATGATGATGGTAGTTTGGTTGGCATCATTTGTGTTTCAAGTGATTCAAGGTCCTTTCAGGACTCGGCATCCCCTCCAACCGCCACCAACCCACGGGCATCTGCCTGCAGTACTGCAAGTCGACCAAGAATAAGTTTTATTAATAAGCATGGATCTGATCCTCAGCAACCCATCCAGGTTGCTATTGCATCCAAAATTACAAACCTGGTGAGTGTGGATTATTGCAATTTTATGAAACTGTAAGAGTGCAATAGATTGCATGTCTCACAAAAGCACTTGGGATCACTCTTCATTATAGTGGAGTCTGGCATATATTATCAATTTATTTTGTAGTTTATTCTTTCTTGATTTTTAGAATCACCAAAACAGGCCACTAAGGTTACATGCAAAGTTCGTTCTCGAATAAAGCTAGGCGAAAACAATTTGGAACGTGAGATTCGAACCAGAGATAGCCAGTGTTCTTATCACAATGCAATTTCATCAGGCCACAAGGAGGATGGTGCTCCAAGTGGAGCTAGCACACTTACAAGAGATGTACCACCTTGCGCATGTGGCAGGAACTCTGCTATGATAGAGGAAAAGTCTCCTGGCAAAGCAACTAAAGTAAAAAATGATGAAGATGAAGGAAAAACAGGCATATACAAGATCATAAGCAAGACAGAGGCATTATTTGCCAATAAGGGGATATCATGGCATTGGAAAGGGCATGAGCAGGATGGTAATGATTCAAAGCATCGATTTGTCTGGCCATGGCTGCATGGTAATCAAGAAAATGACAGCAATTATCCAAAGGCATCTGAATTTGGTGCAAGAACAGAAACTCAAGTAACTGAAAATAACCGGACAGGCAATAATGAAGCTTCTGGGTCCTGGTCCTCTCATAATGCAAACAGCATAAGTAGTGTTAGTAGCAGTGGGAGCATCGGCGGCACTGCTGTTCAGAAGGCGGATATCAATACTGACTGCTTAGATTATGAGATCTTATGGGAAGACCTTACAATTGGAGAACAAATAGGTCAAGGTAGCAGTCTTCTTCTTGCAATAACAGGATGACATTTTCTTCATAAGTTATTCCAGCACAACATATATGTGCTGATAAGAATGTTCAATTCATTTGAATTCCAGTCTTTCTTTCTCATTATTTTGTGTTGCTAACAAGCATTCAGGATATTTATAGGGATCATTTTTGTGATATATGCCATCAGTCAAACTAATATCCAATGCTTATCGTCCCATATACCTAGAACACATCATTTGCTGTTCTTAATATTTCAGAATGGAGAAATCATGTTTTAAAATACAAAAGGAGTCTCTCGCATGTTTCCTTCCATTTTTGTTGTCCTTTTCTATTTTTCCATGAGGCGAATATTATGTTATCCACCCATGTACAATTTCTAAACTTGCAGAAATCATCCATAGTTTTTGGAATTTGACCTAGATATAACAAGTGAACCTTGTACTTCTTCATCTTTGTTTAATAAATTCAGTTAAATAAATTCTATTACTCTTAAAATGGAAAGGGAATTAAGAGGCATATATTCGAAAAGGCAAACTTAAACAATTCCTTGTTGATCTATTCTTTAACCAACCTTGGTGATCTCTTGAAAATATAGGTGTGACGACTAGACTAGCACAGTCTCATCATTTTCCAATCATATGTCTTATCTAATTTTTGCACATGAATGCAAGTTTGATATCCACTGCTGACTTGCTGCTTTGTTTGTCTTCCTACATGATCTCATTTTCGGTTGTTCTCTACCATTTGACTAGTTTCACTTTGTCATGGCTATTAAGCTGTTTGATGTTTTGGTCTCCTCTCAGCTTGTTTAAAATTTGATTCTGACACTCTTTCCTTTGAAACTTGCGTTTCATGTTCTCCCTATAAGGTACTCTTATTTGTGATGGGTTGGGCATTATACTGAAGAATTTGATTATTCATGCATTGCATTATCTTCACTAAAGACAGTGACTGGCTGATCTTACCTTTTAGGATGTGCCTTATGCTAAAAGACAAAATTCTGCATAATTTCCCAGTCAAATGTCTTGATACCTTAATCACTTCTTTGTGGATTATTTGCTGCCAAATAATGATTTATAGCACATGCCCTTGTTAACATTATGCAGCAATGACTAGAGGATAACACTTTCATCACTGTTGTTCATGCTTATGTACCATTTCTTACTACATCTTCTGCTTTTGCAGGTTCTTGTGGGACTGTATATCACGCTTTGTGGTATGGATCGGTAAGTTTTCATATAAATGAAGTAAAAAAGGAATTTACAGCATATCTTGCTTTCCAGTGATTTTTCTTTAGGTTAGCTGTTTGCTTGTCCTCTAGTTGTAGCTTAGCTTTGACTGTATTTATTTTACAACCGTGTTGATGTTTTGTCCACTGTGCTATAGTTCAATCTTATTATTAAAAGAACTTATTAGATGATATGACACACAAGAATGGCAGGTTGTTGAATGCATGCCATGCGTTCCTTACAACTAAAATCACCATTAGTCTACATCAACAATAACAACAACAATGAAGCCGTAAGTCCTAACTATTTGGGGTTGGCTACATGAATCTTTTACTGCCATTGAGATCTGTAAAAAGCTAAATCGGTTAAGATTCATGTTTATGAGATCTGACATAATTTTACACTGTTTATCAGTAACTTGATGCAACCCACTACCCTTATCATCCGGGTTTGGGATCGGCATTGGCTGTGTTTTAGTCTGGTTCCAGTAATTGATTTTTGTGCTAAAAATATGAAAGTGAATATAAAACTTCTTTAATTTAGACCCAGTAATTATAGTTTCCCGTGGTCACTAAATGGCATATTGTTCTGTACTAATATGATATCGGCACAAAAATGGTACTGGGAGAAACAGAAAATGCACCAATAGTTGAAAATTTGCATGATGCTTTTTAATTTCTAGTTAGAAATTAGTTTGGATGATGTAATGCTAAACATAATGGGCTTTACAATGAAATTAGTCATAGGCTATGCCCCAGTGGAAGTATTCGGAAAGGCGAGCATTAGCAGTAGAGTGATACTACAAAATTTCTCCAGTCATTAGGAATGTCAAAGTAGTTGGAACAAGCATTTATCATGAATAAACTACATACTATTCCATGCTTACTGGTCAAGTTATGATCTCTCTTATGTTGAAAGAAATGTTTCAAACCTAACACGCAGACTGAGTTTTTATTTCTAAAATAAGCTATAAATTTATTTCAAGGTTGATAGCATTTTTCCAAATTAGTTTATTTCTCAGTTACATGATTGATTGAGATTAGGAAATCATGTTTCTTCTGGAATCAAGTTATTCTGAGATTCTGTTTAATGAAACAGATAAAATAAATGTATCATTTCATATCAATCAACCGTGCTTTTTTCTCTTTGACAAGTAAAAAACAGTCACTTGTTGATCTCTAAAAGCTGCTGAAAGATTGACTTTTAGATGTCATATATTTTTCAAATGCTTAACAGGTTTTTTCCGGCCAATGGCCAGATAATGTCACAGAATATAGTTCAACCTTAGACTTGATAACATTTCAATACATTATCCAAATAAGCATGATGTTTACTTATCAATTTAGAAATGAATATTGAGTGGCAAGCGTATTGAACAAAGATTATATATTTGCTAGTAGTCAGCTTAGGGATCTCTTGCATGTTATATATTAATCTTTCTCTCCCTGGTAAGGAACTCTTAAAACGTATGTTGAAGTTTAGCACAATTTTGTATCTATCTAGTTTCAAATATTTACCTTTTAATTTCTTAAGCTGCTCCTTAATTAAACATTGACTTGAATATATCATGTATAGTTCTGATGTTCAGACTGCTTTGTGCTTCTTGTTATGGAGTAAAAACTGAAAAGTAAATTTTATGTTTTTGGCAGGATGTGGCAGTTAAAGTATTCTCAAAGCAGGAATACTCTGATGAAGTAATATTTTCCTTTAGACAAGAGGTAACAAAATTTGCAAATATTGCCTATCAAATTTCAGTCCTTTAGAAAGGCTAAAGTTTCTATTTTCCTTGAATATCAACCTGTATAGACTTCGTTAACTTCTGCTGAAATCTATGCTCAGTAATTTCTCATTATCATGTTACAGCTCTAAGGGATGAATTTGTTTATGAACTTGGGAATATGAGATCATGTATATTGTTTAGTCATTTGTTTCTCTGACATGATAGCATGCAATCTCTACATGTTTTTGAGTATTGATATGAATTAGAGAATCCCTTTTCCAGATTGAATTTAGATTTCCCAAGATCTAATGCTACTAGAATCCATGTATTTTAGTATGGTGTTACCGAGTATTTAACTTTATGATTAGATTTTCTCTAAATTTGGTAGCGAACCTCTTCCCCTGCAATCTAAAGTTCTAAACAATGCTTTGTTTTTCAAGGTGTCACTCATGAAGAGGCTACGACATCCGAATATACTACTTTTTATGGGTGCAGTTACTTCTCCTCATCGCCTTTGTATTGTGACAGAATTTCTTCCACGGTTGGTAAACAACTTGCTCTTTCTAAAGCTGAACAAGAAACAAAATAAACGATTATTTCATAGTCTGAAGATTGGCAAGATATTGCAGCTTATTCAGAACAGGAATCTCCCAGTTCTGATACTCATATTACATTTTTACACGAAAATGATTTAGGCAACATGATCTACCTTTTAATCAGAGATCCAAATTAGCTTGCATCGAACTCACAATAGCAAATTATTTAATACAAGCTGCCAATACACACAGAATTACTCCCACACCAAGTGTGGCATTATGATGTTCTTGTGTGATGTACACAAGAATGAAAGATTTGGTTGGTACAGGGGTTCCATGTCAAGCAATGCCAGTGTCAACTATGTTATAGTATGGCCAGGCCGAATTTAGCCCATTTTAGCCAGTGCATGGGGTGTGTCGGCCATATCAAGCCAGCAACATTATGAAATCCTCAATAAAGCTGATGTTAAAACTTTGATTCGAAGTTAATCATGATTGTAGTCAAATGCTTGTATATCCGCTAGATCCTGTCCCCCACCCTAACTTTTGCATTAATTGTATGGATGCTGTTGGTGAAATTTGTAATGACACATCCAGCAGTTCAAATTGAAACTATAGGGAAATGGTCAGTTGGATGTAACTATCTTCTCCACTTAAGTGGTCCAATTAGTTACACAGGAATGTGATTCACATTTTTTATCTTCTTAAGATGCTATTACTTTAAACATTGACATGAAAATTCTGGAAGAAGCTGATTAATCGGCATTTCAATAAATAACCAGTTTTACATTTTTATTCCTCTCAGTGGGAGTTTATTCCGTTTACTGCAAAGAAACACAATGAAATTGGACTGCAGACGGCGTACTCTCATGGCTCTAGATATTGTAAGTATAGTTCGTCAATGCAACATGTACATGTTTAATTGTGTATCTCTATTTAAGTATAACTTTAATCACATAAAAAAATGCAAGATATCGCAGGAACTATAATTTAATTATGCTTAGGGAGATAAAAAAAGGCAGTATGTTGATTCTACAAATTGAATTATGGAAGGGAATAGACCATATAAGTGCAATTTGATCTGGTAAATAATGCAGCATCCAAATCCATATGTTTAACTTGTTTCATTTGTTTCAGAATCATTTTAAAAAGGAAAAGAAATGTGGACAGAGACAATAAACCTTGAACCGGACATCTAAGATGGTAGTGGCATTGGGAAATTTAGGTCAAATGTTTTGGTAAGGGGTGGAGTCCACTGGACTGAAAGTGGTCAATTTTGGATAGCTAGGATGGAGCGGGAGCAAGCCAAGGAGAAAACAGGTGGCAGAATTGGGGAGCTGCAAGATTGGAATATGTAAGCTACAAGCAGTGTTTTGGTTGATGGTTTATGCTGCAAGATTAGGAGGTACGACATTTTGCTGGAATAGTTGGTGTCACTATAGAAGGTGTTCATGCTATGGAAAGGGTTGGTCCTGTAAGTTCACAGTTGTAGGTTGCACCAACAAGGGTCATAGAGAAGAGAAAACTTGGTTGCCGAGGTGTGTTGTCATTATTGGATTTGTTGGGCTAGAATGGATTATGCCTCAAAATAAGTAAATGAATAAGGCGAGTTGTTTTGTTGGTTTTTGTTGCTTAGAAAAGCTATAATAATCTAAATATTTATTTGTTAAATATGCTGGAGTTTTGTGTATATGATCTTAGGAATGAGTAAAATGCATGTTTACCCCTCCAGAAATTTGGAATAGCAATTACATGTATATGGAGATTCATGCATTCAAGTCCATACGTATATTTTATTTGATGCCCATAAAGTTGTTTGTCTTTTAAGAAAATATTTAATGCTGCAGATTTTTGTAGAAACTGTTCATTACAATATGTCGCATATACCCTTAGTTGATTGTAAAATAATCTTACTTTTTGATAGGCAAGAGGGATGAATTATCTTCATCATTGCAATCCTCCTATCATCCATCGTGATTTGAAGTCATCAAATTTGTTGGTTGATAAGAATTGGACAGTCAAGGTGGCTTTTCTGCTTCCAAATAATAGTGGCCTATTTCATCTGAACAGAAATATTTTATCCTCTATTAAATTCTTCAAAATAAACAGGTTGGTGATTTTGGCCTTTCACGTTTGAAGCATGAAACTTGCTTAACCACGAAAACTGGGAAAGGAACGGTAATCATAGTCTCCCATGTTCCTTCTTTAGCCATACCAGTTGTTGAGGATTTCCGAGCATTTGATTATTGATGATTCTGAAAATGTTATGTTTTTCTGGGTTTCAGCCACAATGGATGGCTCCGGAATGTCTTCGAAATGAACCTTCAGATGAGAAGTATGTCATATTCTAAATGTAACTCTAACATGTAATTTTCATTGATATTCTATGTGCTGCTTCAAAACAAAAACAAAAAAAAAGAGAGCTTATTTTCATTGTTAAAATAGGTCGGATGTGTACAGCTATGGCGTAATACTTTGGGAACTTGTCACTGAGGAAATCCCTTGGTATAATCTCAATTCAATGCAGGTGATTACCAATTTGTGGAAGTTTATATTGTAGTAGAATTCATTTGTTGATGCTCTAGAATATCTTAGAAGTTTTCAATACTCGGCATCATGATGCATGATCATGGCATTAACTTTTCTAGCGTTATTGACTTCTTTTTAATGGATGGCCAATGCATGAAAGCTTAAATAATGTATCTAGAATAATTACTTGAACAGCTACCTCTTTCTCTCTTTTTTTTTGACCTTTTATTGAAAATTAGTATTTCAACTCATGAGAGTCAAGATCTTAGTTGTCGTCCAAACAGATATTCTTGGTTGGTAGTGGAAACATAGAACAGAGTTTTCTTGGTCCTATTACTTTTGTGTGTAGTCATCCAACTATTCCAGTTTTGCATTACATGATCATCTACCGACTTCAATAATCATTCCGAACTGCCAATCGTTGATGTCATTCCATCAAAAGGCAGGGCAGGTGATGCACAAGCTCGACTTAATTCACCTACATCTATATTTGAAAATGGTAGTTACACTGTTCTTACACAAGTTTGCCCTCATTGGTTGGCAATTTTGTGCTCTTTAACAATTGAAATCTTGAACTGAGTTCCTAATGCTTTTCAGAGGTTTGCCACTTATTTGTTTTTGTTTGTCCAGGTCATCGCAGCTGTGGGATTCATGAACCAAAGGTTAGATCTCCCCAAAGATCTGGACCCACAATGGGTATCGATAATCGAGAGCTGTTGGCATAGGTTGTCTTGTCGACCACAAAATATTGTAGTCCAAATTCTTCCCTGTTTCTTATTTAGCTCTCATCACTTATTTGTCTTTTTCTCCTTACAGCGAACCAAAATGTCGACCAAATTTCCAAGAACTTATAGAAAGATTTAGAGATTTGCAGAGACAACATGCTGTCCAGTCTCACATGCAGCGTCCCACGCCCAGTGAAACAGCACCAAGTACTGCAAAAGCAAGCTCTCAAGATGGGAATGAGCCGGAGTAGTTTACAAGGCGGCATTTTGTATGAAACAACCCCACAAGAGTATCAACCTTTGTCTCTCTAGGAGTGCTTCTCATTCTATCATCTGAGGGATTAGCAATTGGCCGCAGATCCTCTGAGAAAAATGTAGCTAGCTGCATTTTTTCTTAGCTCAGCTGCATGCTATAATTTCAGATTTTTTTTCACACCTACCTTCTGTCTGATCAAAAGAACATGACAGATACACAGTCAAGCTTGTTTTTTACAGTACAATTCATTCAATCACAAACTAAGACAACAATCTTTCTACTTCTGAGGCTGTGAGGCATACAGCATCAGGTTGATCAGAAGGAAGTAAATAAACAGAACCAAGATCAGTGATTGATTTGTATCTTGCATGATGTGCAATTGTAGATCCTGATTTGAGTCGAGCTCCAGCATTAATTTGAATGAACTTTTTGACTTGCAGCAGCATTAAACATGCATCAAGTTTGCTTGAGTTACACAGACATCTTCCAGTATCAATAGAAACCAAAGCCTTAATGCATTCACAACTATGGATGTAATGGGATAGGGTTTATTAAGGAGATTACAATTTACAATCCCTTTTTTTTTTTTTAATACTTTTTTATTTTAATTTTTTTATGGATTTTTTTAATTTTATTTTATTATCATTTTAGGGGTTGTGTAATGAGATTGTCAGTAGTAAAGAGGTTAACATGGTAAAGGAGTGAAACAATCCGACCCGATAATGTTTCCGATCATCGGATCCCCAGGGGATGGGGGCATGAAGATCCGTTAGTTTGTGGACCGAACGGGTATTTAAACGATGAAAGAAGCGCGCCGCCCACGAGTCGGTCGAGGTTTCCCTTTGTCGAAGCCATCTCTTGCGATCGCCGTTCTCCGCCGAGCGAGGTACTCTCTCCCTCCTTCCTCTACTTTGTGACCTGCAAGAAGCCCCTCGAAACCCTTCCTCCTCCCCGACCTCTTGTCAAGATCGTGATCTTGGCCGCCCAAATCAGGCCTGGAAAGTCGGCTCGGTCACAGAATCGAATTCTAAATAGACTCGGGTAAGGCGAACCCTAGCGAGGAGACTCCCCCTTCTGCCCTAGATTACCTCTCTTCCCGCTCTCCCTTGCTTTTCCTTTTTCTCCTTCATCTACTTTCTCAGCTGCTTCTCCTTCTGCTTCTACCTCATTTGTTTTCCTTTTTCTTCATGGTGCGAAGTCTTCCTAGTAAAATTTCAATTGTTAGTAGATGGTTCTGACCATTGTAGGACCATCATGAGCTTGTAAATGTAATGGTCTGGCCTTGGTAGGTGCCACTTCTTTTATTCTTTTCCCTCGATATCAAAGCTTCCTGAACTCAGTGTCCGATGACAACTCTGCCTTCTTTAAAGTGTCTCATTTATTCACATTGGAAAAACGAAGCAGTGATCAGATGTTCCATACACAAGAGCATGGTGCTGGCTGTTTCTTGTTCATGTAAATGGACAGAATAGATATGCAATTGATAAAGAGTTGAAATGGTTTTCTAGCTCGCTGTCATTTAATGGTAGAATAGAGAGGAAATTCCAACCAACAAGAAGTGCAGATAACAGCTCTTCAAAGGACAGTATTTTACCACCAAAAGATTGGATGTTCCCCTCCCTTTATCCATGAAAAATGATATTGCAGAACAAAATGTCATGCCATCTATAAATATATATTTTTGCATGACAAAATGGACACAATGGACATTCAAGTTGGAAAAGAAATATTACAAAAGACAGTGGTGAGAGAAAAAAAAAACTAAGGGCTGTCCATATTTATATCTATTGAGGTACAACTCTTTCTCACTTCACTTTTTAAAACATTACAATAGAAATATCATCACTAATACAATCACTCCTTTAGGAAATAAATTTCATTGTTGAGTTGAGATACTTTAGTAACTGAAGAGAGACCAATCAAATTGTTGTCCTGAACCTGAAAAAGGAAAGAAGAAGAACACAGAACAGTAAGATTGTTACTCGTAACTCATCCAAATTAAACATTTTATTGGTCAAGAACATAGGATGCTTAACCTGTGTCCTTTGTTATTCCGGGGGATATTATTTGTATTTACGAGCAGTGCCCTGTTTATATTGTTGCTGTATTTGTTTTGTTTGAGGACTCCGTAATGCCAAAATGCTCTTGGACTATGTGAGCTATGACAAAATTTGATACATTGGTAGTGTGGGAATTGTTTGTGAATGCAGGTATAAAACACGGCGTATGGATTGCAAATGGTTGTCTCAAGCTGTTCCTTATATTTCACATGTTGATTCTAGAATGGTTAGGATATCAAGATACGCCACATCTTCCTTCTCAAAGTTGAATTACATGCATGATGGTGACAAATTATGTATGGAGAGGTTGGATCACAAGGACTGGCTAGCACCAAATGAAATGCTGAAAATATTTAGAAATGTGAGAAATCCTGAACTTATTATTAATGCATTCAAAAAAGCTGCTAGACGTATTGATTATAGACCTAGTGAAGCGCTTTATAGTTTGTTGATTGATAGACTTGCTTACTCTCGGAAATTTGCTTATGTTGAGGATCTCCTAGACAAGGCTAAATGCGAGAAGTGCAGACTTTCTGATGACTTCTTTTATAGATTGATCAAAATGTATGGTAATGTGGCAAATCATCCTGATAAGGCAATTGAAACGCTCCTCAAGATGCCAGATTTTAATTGTTGGCCCACTGTCAAAACCTTCAATTATGTTCTTAACATGCTTGTCAATACTCGGCAGTTTGAGGTTATTCATGAGGTTTATTTAAGTGCTCCAAGATTGGGTATAACCCTTGACACATGTTGCTTTAACATTCTGATCAAGGGTTTGTGTGACTGTGATAAGTTGGATGCTGCTTTTTCCTTGCTGCATGAAATTCCAAAGCAGGGATGCAGACCTAATGCAACTACTTATTCAACAATTATGCATTATCTCTGTGAGCATGACAAGGTAAGCGAAGCTCTGGAACTTTGTGACAGAATGCAGAAAAATGGTTGTCATCCAGACACAATAACATTCAACATATTAATTTCTGGTCTGTGCAAACAAGGAAGAGTGTCAGAGGGTATGGAATTCTTAAAGACTATGAAGTTAAAGGGATGTTATCCAAATTCAGGAACATACCAGGCACTACTTTATGGTTTGCTTAGTGCAAAGAAATTTGTGGAGGCTAAGGATTTCATGGGTATAATGATATCTGAAGGTGTTAAGCCTAGTTATTCATCATACAAGCTGATCATTTGTGGTCTTTGTAGGGAGAATCTTTTGACTGATGCTGAGCTGGTCCTGGAGCAGATGGTGCACCAAGGATTTGTCCCACGAATGGGCACCTGGAAGATGATCCTTGCATGCATGCTCTAGAAAATATTAATTATTTTTTCACTTTATCTAATTACCAGTTATGCCGTGAAATCAAATGTATGGCTGTTTATGTTCTCAGTTCACAGCTATACAATTTATGTGGTTTCTCTTCCTTAGTTTTGCTTGTGCACTTCATCTCAGAAGATTTAGACACTTAAATGGCTTAAGCAAATGAAGTTGCTTGATGGCATTCTATCACGGAGTTGACCAGTCAGCTAATCACATTACATCTCCGGATAAAGGACTATCAACTGGTAAGTGAACCCATTCATCCTAACAAAGCACTCATTATTTGACCTTTCTGTTAACTCGTTGACCTGATGCATGACCTGACTGGTCAAAATTCTTGGACTATGAATGATCAGTGATTTTTTTCTCTCTTATTTGTATAAATTTTGCATTTTTGAAATATTGGGATTCTGGAAATTCCAAAATGTTCAAGTTTGCATAAGCACTTTGCTATGTTGGAATTGTATTACATTGATGTTATGCCATATTGCTTTTAAGTGGCCAACGAAAATGCTGCAGTTTTCAAGCTGTAGGCTACAGTTACTCTAGTTACATGTTTTCTTTAGTCACTGAAATTTTTAATTATATTTACTGACCTTTGCCTGCTTTCTACGGATACAATTTCAAATAAAACTTGTCAATTATTTTTTAGAATCATAATGAAGAGATTTCTGGTAAAGATAAAGCTGAAGAAATTATAGATGACATCTGTTTCGGAGGTATATAGGTCTGACGAGAGTTCTTTCTTCAAGGTGTAGCCAACTGCCAACAAGTCTCATACTGGTGGAACAGTGAAAAATAAAACCACCATGGATGGGTCCTTATTTTAAACCAGTGGATGGATCAGTAGAGAGCACCAAAGGCATGGATAGATCATTAGAAGGGACTATGGCTGCTGGCGTATCTGGAGAAGTTACAATGAAAGGATGGATTAATGTGAAAAGCCACTGTGTTACACTGGAGCAGTAGTAAATAACAATGACCTTGATGGAGCAGTGAATATTCAGTCAGAAATATTGATGACAAAGATGCATCAGGAAGAAATACAACTGATTTGGATGGATCTCCAGAACTACTGGCAATATGGATGGATTAGTGAAAGTTGCTTCTGAGGCAACTGAAAATTCTCAGTTAGAACCTAAGGTTGTTTTCATTAAGCAGAGGGATCATACAATTTTGAATGTGCTATGTGCAAGGGGCATCTTTACTGCAAGCCCATTTTGCATATTGTGGTCTCATAGAAAGAAATTGCTTGTTGAATGTGCTTTCTTTACTGAAGCAGCTTACTATTATGAAAAGAACAAAAATTACTAGATGCATCATAATCAGTCAGAGGTTTATGACATGGAAGATGAGGGATTCCTTGGGAAGATCCAAAATAGCAAATAAGTAATCTGAGGCTAAGGGATCTTGAGGAGGACGTCACAAAGCTCTTCTTAGATTTTCTTTTAAAATAAGTCTGAAGATCCACCATTTGTTTATGCATTACAAATTCATGCAAAAGAATGCTTGACCAACTTCTTCCGGGCTGATACACAGTCATGAAATAATCATTGCTGCTTTGGTGATGAAGTCTTGTTTGTTTAAACCCATCCAACGAGCAGGTTTCACATACCCTTTGCACCATTTATTTGTACAAATTATCATAAGTAAATTGTTATATTTGGTGTTGCATTACTTTTGGATGTATTCGTATAATCATTCATTTGGATGTTTAGAATTTTTATGGGTGCTATGTCTAATAGACAGCCAAAAAAAATCTTTATAGATTGTTGTGCTGAAATGTCAAAAGTAATTATTATGACCTTTCCTGATACATGACATCACCTTTGTGTATGGCATATTCTTGAAAATGTTCCAAAAGATTTTCATGGTGTGTCCAACCATGAATTCCAACTTCCAAAAAGATTTTGAGGATTGCATATTTTGACGTGGCCCTGCTCTGCAGTCAGAGAAAAATGGGCTCTTGATTATCTTAGTAATTTATTTTTTTCCTGCCATGACAACATAATGATGGGCTGAAACCATGGACAATTTCTTTAAGATTTATTGTCTCTTCCCAAATTTATTGCACAAATTTTCAAGGCATTAGTTCAACTATGTGAACAGAAACTTCCTGAAGAAGCATGAATCTAGGGAAATTAAACCTATTTTATTGCATATGTCACAAGGCAGTAACTGTTGCAGTAAGCAGTACATTGTCCAAAGAAGTCTTGAACTTCTTGAACATAGCCTTGACAGCTTCATCACGGAAATGGAAAATTATGTTTCATTGTGCTCTTCGGACCGTACAAACACAAGATGTGAATGTCATTGATCATGTGCGGCAGAAGACATTAAAAACAAGCTGTATTTGTTCCAATGGTTTTGAGTTTGCTGCTAGATGACTTTAGATTGTCATTTGCCTTTTTTACAGTGTCTATTGGAGTATTATATACATGGTCTCACATGAAGTGCAACTAGGTTTATAACTCTATTGACGCAATGATTTGTCTTTATCCTGGTGATTCTTTTGTTTTCTTGGATACTAAAACTGATGTTAATTAAATTAGATATTTATATCAGCATTAGTTTCTAGAGAACCTAGACTGTTCTGTGATATCCGAGATGTAACTGTTGCACCATGGGGCTGTTACCTGTAAGTGTTACATCAGATGTTGTTGGTAAATATTCTTGGCATTTGACATGGCTAATACCTTTACAAGTTTATTATTTTCTGAGTTCTGACTTTTTGTTTACTGCTTTTCTTTCCCAGCAAAACTAAAATTTAATTTCTTTTGTGTTCAAGGTCAATGTACTTTCTAACATGTGCTACCAAAATTGTCTTATTGGCTGATAGACTGCCGAGTGATATGCATCTTTTAGTTGATTATTCTTGGTTTAGAAAAGATCACAAAATTCTTTTCTTCATTCTTATCTATAACCCTTCAAGTATGTAATGATCTTTGATCATATAGTTTACATTAGATAAAGAAAATTAGCATAGGGCATACATATAAATTGTCATGTCCATATTTGGTCATGTCTTATAAATTTGCTGTCTGTATCATATCCTGTGTGTGCACATGCTCTATAACATTTGATCTAGGTAATCATTGCTCGAGGTAAATGTCATTGCTACTTGTTATAATGTGGCATTCCTGAGCTATCTTGTGGGTGTTTTCTGCAGTTTTCATTTGAATTCCTGCTCCAAAAACTTTGGGTTGATTATTTCTTCCCATCTAGTTTCACTTGGAAAGGCTTTCCCCAGTAGTCTCGCTTGTGGGAATTACAATAGAAAATTTTTTGTATATGCTGTAATGATTACTGGTTTTACAAATTTAAAAATGATGCTGTGGACAACGGTTTTGTTGAAACTGTTGTCCATAATAATGGTTTTGCAAAACTGAAGACCACTATTTATGATGGTGGTTTTAGACCAGACACTAACAAGTTCACCTTGCCATCAAAATTAAGGTTAGCTGGGACAGATAGAACCCAGTTTAAAATATATATTAGAAAGAGAGTTATCTAGGGAAAGAATTTGTTTTGATGGTGATATTTGCTTTCTGGGTTCTTATATTACCTGGGGGAACCTTTGTTTGACCCTTATCTTGGAAAATATCTCCCAAGGATGTTGGCATTCTGCTTATTTTTATGCTAAAAGTAACCTCTCTCTTTTTTCTCTTTTTTTTGCTTTTTTGACTTGGATATTCTGATTACCTTTCCTCAAATGAAAAAGCGTTGATTGCTGGTAAATATATGATTGTTTCTTTTAAATTTTATGCTTTCTGCTCGTCTCCTGTTTGCTCAGTGTTCAGACATCATATTGCAGGCAGGTTTAACTTCCATGAGGATTGGCTTACCATGGCTTCTTCTTCCTTTAAGAAATTATTGTAGTGTGATTGCGGAATTTGGTTTCTTCCATTCATTGCAGATTTTATGCTTCCGTTCTTTGTTTTTGCTTTATAATTGTGTGCAATTTTAGTTATCTATATGACCTGTGTGCTTGAGTTCATATTTATGCACAAATGCACAGTTCTTTCTAATACCTCCTGGATAGTTAAATATGTTATGTCCATTCCTTTATTGATGCTTATTTGGTGATAATGGTCAAACGGATAGGTTTCTGGTTGATTATTGGATTTGACAAAATGTTATCTTAAACCAAAATAGCTTAAGGAGCATGTGTCTCAGCAGCGCTTGCTGCTGAGTGGACATTTAAAAGTTTCACAAAATGTAAAAGACATTATATTTCATCATAATGCAAAATGACTGATAGGTTTTGTTAAGTTGGCTCAGTCAATGTAGTTAAAGGCACTAGGCACTAAAAGACGCTGAGGTGTCAAACAGACTCAACAGACCACTTCAATTAGGCTCGACCCAGACTGGATTTGGCTCCGGCATGCTCCTAAACTGCCTGGCACCTGGGCTCGGGCCTCACCTTGTCTCGCCCAGGTGCCTAGGTGGCCGCCTAGTCACTGCTTTCGGTTATACATAAATGTGAGAAAATCATACACCTATTGATTCTACTGAACATGGTTGGACTGGATCATACATTGCAACATGTATCAGCAAATGATTAGTCAACTGCGTTGACTATCACATAGCATGTCAGTAATGATCATTTTGTTCAAGGTCATGGGTAAATCATATCTGTGCAACAAAATAGATTGTACATGGTTGTTGGTTGCTTATTATCTGCGGAATATATAGATAAGCTCATCCGTCAAGCAACTGTATATGCTTTGTTAGAATTAATTGTTTTAAGTACTAGCAGAAGGTCTAATTTGTGCTCAACTAAACCCAATAATTGGTTCATGATACTTCACCAACAATCTTCCTTCCACAATTATAGCTCCACTGCTGAGAACCTCCTACAGCCACATCAACTGGGTTTGCATGAAATTGACTGGGTAATATGTATTGCCATCCTGATACTAGGGATTAATACCTGCCTATTACTTCAGGTCAATTACTTATCATGCATAAAAAAGAACACAAATGTTGCACTGGACTCACCAATTTAGATGTCAATTTGGCTACATAATGTGGAAATTTTGGTTCCATGCATTCTGAGCCTGATGTTGGTTTTTGGTTATTCTTTTGCAAAAATCTGATTCATTTGTTTGTTATGATATTCTTATGAATTTTACCAATAGTGCGGGCCTATGGTTGATTTCCTTTAAATCTTCTTCAAAACAAAGAGGTTTCTAAGTTCCAATACTTTGTTTAGCCTGTGTCATTCTCTAGGTGAAGATTTATCCTCTGAGAAATTTACATTGATAGTTATCATATTGCTGTCCCTTTGCAACTTTGGTTGTTTTGTCTTTTATGAACTGTATTTGCTATGTACTATGTACAGTGACAAGGGACAGTTTCGTCTTTTCTGATTTGGTCCACTTGAATGAAGTATGAGCAGTCAAGAGATTGCAATCTTTGCAGGTGAAGTTTGTGAGACCCACTAGCTACTTTCTTTCATTCTATTTTTAATTTTCTTATTCCTTTTAGAATCTTAGATGACCAGACCTTAGTGGACCAGTAGCATTACTACTTTGCATCCTCTCTTATGACACTTGCATTATCACCAAGTATCTGCTATTAGTATAGGTCTTACTAATATTTCTGTGACCATTGTTTTCTTTATCTTCTTGGTTCGCTTTCTAAACCTCAATTTGGACTTGTTTACAAGTTTGATATTCTTTGCATCGTCATTTTTATAATCTTGCACTAATATTACTAATTATTGTATAAAGAACCTTATGATAATGGAGTGTCGGCAAAACATGAATATTTAAGAAATCTAATCATTTTTTCAGCTCATTGCAATATGTTGATGAAATTTTCTTTCATCTTCACTGAAGTTTTAAAAATGGTAGATTGAGCGGATGAAGGAATTTAATTTAAAAAAAATGAATGGAACAAATGCATTTTTTTAACAGAGGCTTAGTGATGTTATCATAAACTTCTTGCTAGGTTAAATAGTGGGTTAGACTAGAATGTATAAAAGATTACTAATGGAAACAAACAAAAAGGGTTGAAATGTAATATAAATACGATTTAACAGTGTCAAGATGTAAATTATGATGAGGCAAGCATGATGTGTGTCCTAATTAGTCTTCCATAAGCTATATAATCATGGTTGACTCGTGTGTGTAACTTTTGGGGTACCATGAGAAGTGAAGTGGACCAGTGCATTGGCTAAAGCTCGAAGGCTTCTTTCGGAGCATTTAGAGCCAGATCATCTCACCAAACTATACCCAGTGGTAACATAATGACTATCCTATGCAGCTACCAAATTAGATTGCTCATAAGTATCAGAAAGCGATTCATATCCAAGCTGCTATGATGTTTAAGTCATGGAAGATAGAGGCTAGAAAATGATTTTTCCCTTTTTCTTTTAGTAATTACTTGAACGTAATTAACTGAACATCCTGCTTAATGACTGACTAAATTCTAGTTTTTCATGAAAGTTGTGATCTTCTCAAGTCTCTGTCTTCACTGGGGGAAAAAGGCAAAAAAACTAGGTGTGGCCTGCTCCTAAAACACACTGCATGTGGTTGAACACATTTTATCTATGTATAACTCATAAATTGTATATCAACATGGATGTCTCTTTTTTCATATTTTCTGTTGAGGTCCCAATCAAATATTAATAGTTGGGTAGGAGTATTTATTGTTCTATGCAGTATTTTATATTTGATAGCACAACATTTTAAGATTGACTGTTGCTTGTTCACCAAGTTTATGTATTGTCTTTCACCAAATCTAAGTGTAACTCTATATATGTTATTGATATCCTTGCAAATATAAATTTATGATAATTTTGTTCACAGTATTCTGCTATTCATTATTTTTTGGTACTATTCGTACTTTAAGATTTTAGAGTAGATTGAATCCTGATGTCACTCTTGCTTTCTAATCCATTCATCTATATCTTTGGACTTCCAAGAAAGAAGAACAAAGATGCGTTGGAAATTAAGTTCTTGGTAAAACACTTTAAAGCAAGAGTTATGTCATAGCATCTCCCTATATCTTTAGGTATATAAGATTTTTAAATGGATGATCTCAGTTTAATTTGGTGGAGAAGACTTGGGTTGCAAGATCCAGACTCCCCCTGTGCATAGCACCTAAATAGGTGGAATCAAGACACATAAATCAAGCATTCCTAAATTATAAGAATATAATCATAAAACGTACAAGCACATGAACTGTAAATAGAGTTTACGATAATGTATAGGTTCTGTAATATTAGCTCAGTGATGGATAAACCCAAGAAAACTGTGCACCCACCGATCCAATCAAACACATTTATGCTGAGTTATGATCTCAGCAGAATTGTTGCATCAGTCAACCACTAGTCAAACACATCCACAATTATACGTAGGCATACAGTTAGTTGTCCATTGTTGTCGGAAAACGATTCACGACTAAGGTACCAATCAATATATTTAAATCATGAAAGATAGCAGTTAGGAAATAGCAGGCTTCACCTCACTGCATGTCAATCATCCCTTATCCACATTGGTAGCAGATGTTTAACTGGTAGAAACTTGTCCTCTCCAATCATTCTAGCATAGGATGATTCTTAATACAAAAATTATGAACAGTTCTTTCTATTTCTAGTTTTTATCTCATGTAAGGTTTGAGAAACAAAGCTAGCATAAATGCTTGGTTTCTTTATGTAAATCCACTGTAAAGGAACTTTTTGCTTTGGGGTTGATATATATTTTATTAGCAAGTGGTTCCAAATAAAATGGGATTTTTTTTTCATATATAATCACCTGTTTCATACAAGCTTCAGATATGAGGAGGCAGCTGCAGCAGTCTAATCACAGTATTGACCAACAAACTCTAGATTGGTACCCTCATAAATCCCACATTGATTAATGATATGGACATCATACTAGCACAGCAAAACGAGTTATATGTCTAGGTTGCTTTATGTGTTCTGCCCAGGTCGGAAGCTAGCCTTTGATGAGCTCTGTCAAGCTTCCTTGACTTGCTGTAACGAGGACTGCTGCTGTGATGCAGGTGGGAGCAGCATGTACCCAACTAAATCCATTATTGGCTTCATAAATTATGTCTACCCTCATGTTTATTCACCGACGGTCTTCCTGCAAGTTTGAGCACCACATTTAGAACCTGCTGCAGTCTCATCAACTAACTGTACTATTCTTAGTGCATTCCATGTATTTCTGATGGAGAGGAACCTATCGCAATCATGTATTTGTGAAGTGGTACCATCACTGGTACCATTAATGCAGTAGTTGGGGATGATCCCTATTCATCAAGCTGTTGTCTCTGTTAGCACAGGTGACCTGCAAAGCTGGGAAAGGATTTTTGTATGTTGCACATCCCATTGTTGCCATCATGTACCAGAACCTTTCGTATCCCACCTATATGGGTTATGTCATCTCTACCACAGCTGAATTTTTCACATCCTGCCTGTATCAGATTAATTTATGCATCATTTTTGCTTGTCTTCGTTCTCATCAATGTTAGATCACCTGTTTCCATGAGCTTCTCACAAAGGTTCTAATAAAACGACTTCTTTTGCAGGATAAAAGCTTGAGGCAGATCTGTTAATCTTATTTTGACAGCCATGTAGCAAGTTTAAAAATCCTGCTGATGAACAGTGATCAGGATGACTTCCCTAAAGGCATGACCGATTTTTCATGACTTCTACGTGTCCAGGTACTTCATATTGTCGCTTTCGGTGTCATTTTCCAGCTAATTAATAGGCAAAAGGTTTCAACCTTCTTCCTTGTGTTGTATATGCAACTAAAGATTGACGTGAAAGGATTTGAAGATGGTAGATGTTTGTAGTTTTCTGAAGTCAGCTCTGAGACCATGTGTAGTAGCTGCACCAGTACAATCAAAAGATGAAATGGCATTCAAAACGAGTGCAGAACTTCAGAATTTATGGATTCAGTTGCATAGGTGGATCTACTGCTAGAAACAGAGACAGCAACCATTAATTGCCTAGTTCGTATGCAAAGTAGCCTGTTATCCCATTTTTTGTACACGTTATATAGTAGGAAACAGGTATAAATGATCCTAGGTTCTTGTGCACGCATGCACGCACGCTCGCGTGCGCGCGCGCGCACACACACACACACACACACACACACATATATATATATATATATATATATATCCTTCTGAATCCTCTTCTAGAGAATAATGTTTTGAGAGTTAATGACTTATGTATTCCATCTTGCCGCTAGTAGTATACAAGTTGAATGAACTTGTATAGGTGCCCTTCAAGACACTTGTAAATGGCAGTGGTCCTTTTAAATTCGCTAATGTCTTTAGATAGCTCTTTACAATCAATCATGAATACATCTGCATTCTGTTTTTTCTATTCTGAATGGGTATATGCATGAGAAATTTAAATTCTTCATGTTTATAATGGCTAGGCTATGATCACAAGGAGGAGACATAAGGTGTGCAGATTACAAAGGACAAAACAGTTGTGTACGTGAGTTGTAGCCTGTTTTAAGATATTGTGATGATTATCTACTCAAAAGAAGGGTTAATTGTAACAATAATAACTAGCAGTTGACACTGTAGGGACAAATTCTAGGAAACCCGACATTAAGCAAGAAGTAGGAAGATCACACGTTTGGTGCCAAGTCCAAATCTATTTCTTCTGTTCGTCTACAGGTCTACAGAAAGATTAGCTCCAGCCTTAAAAGTTGCAGACCTTCTTGGAAAGCGAGGCTTTTCCAGAGATCAAAACAACTGTTTGAAGATTTTTCTGATTAGAAACGCCGTGTGATTGAAGTTTTCTTCTTAAGAAGAGTAAGTACTACGTTTCTTGAGCATGTCTTGCAGGACCGCCAATGGCATTCTAACGGAATCAAGAATTAACGACGAGGTATCCCTTGTCACATTCATAAAAGACCAAGTCTCACCTTTCTTTGTCACATACAAACTCAGTGGTTCATCATGAAAATATTTGGACCTAATATTCTGTGTTGCAATCTCTTAGATCACTTGCATCTGTTAGTCTTGCAGGAGGACAGTTCAGACGAAACTACGCCGCATGCCTCATCCTTCCATTTCACTCAAAACTTATGAGACCACAGAATTGGCATGCTTTGTTTGCACTCTCATCTAGTTGATGCACTGCAACTGTGCCACCACCCACCTCAGGTACTCGGCCCTCCCCCCTCACCCACGGAATTCGAAGGGAGATAAGGTGTGTGAACTCGGATTGTAGTGGGTGCCAGCAATCCCGTTCGTCATTAATCTGCGAACGCTTTTGAAAGGGCTTTGGATTTGTTTCGGGGCGTTCCTCCACGAATGAGCTTGCCGGGGGCGTTAATGCTCGCAGCGCCATCGGTTGATCTACCAAATGTATGGTGTGCGTAGTGCCACCGGGTGGTGAATTTTGCTGTCTCTCGAGCTTTGATGGCCATGGCAAGTAACTCTCGAGTTAAGGTGGGCCATCAGCTTCACCCACTAATGATCGACGTGTATTTATGCTGTAAGTGCATCAGATTCTTTCCAAAAGGCCTAGGGAAGATAGCCTCTGGAGTTTTTATGTCCTGTCATGACTTCAATTCCCATTTATAATCTCTGTCTCTCTCTCTCTCTCTATATCTCTCTGTTTATCCCTCTCTATATATAACCTTACTTCTTCTCGTGTTTGTCAGCTAGACTGAAAGATATCTTTTCAGGACAGAGCGAGAGAGAAGGAGAGAGAGAGCGGATGATTTCGAAGGCTTTCCTCGAGTCCCTTTACCTGTTCTACAGGTTCATGCTAAAGAGACTGAGGAATTCTTATACAACCTACGGAAGAACACACAAGTGTCCTCCCCCGGACAAGCTCTCCACCCAGACCATAGTATGTGACATGGAGGGAGCGCTTCTCAGGAATTCCTCCACCTTCCCATACTTGATGCTGGTGGCACTGGAGGCGGGAGGGTTCTTGAGAGGCCTACTTCTCTTGTCTCTCTACCCCCTCATCTCTTGCCTGAGCCGTGAACTGGCCCTGAGGCTCATGGTCTTCGTTTGCTTCCTCGGTGTGAGGAAGGAGAGCTTCAGGATGGGGCGAGCCGTGCTCCCCAAGTTCTTCCTGGAAGACGTGGGGCTGGAAGGCTTCGAGGTGTTGAGGAGAGGAGGGAGGAGGGTGTGCGTCAGTTCCATGCCCACCGCTATGGTGGAAGGCTTCCTTAAGGAGTACTTGAACGTCGAGGTGGTGCTGGGGAGGGAGCTGAAGGTGTTTGGTGGCTACTACACTGGTTTGATGGAGGAGACCGAGGTGAAGGCTGGCTTGGCTTTGGAGGAATTGCTTGCGGGTGGGAGGGTGACGGAAGACGGAATCGTCGGATTCGGAGGCTACTCCAGTTCTCTTCACCAGCAGCTCTTTACTTGCTGCAAGGTCAGTCATGTCTCCCCCCATGAGAACCATGAAAAATTCTGCGCTTTCACCGCCTCGACCTTTATTTGTCTGGTTTCATTTGAAGAAACATCACACACTGGATTCGAACGTTTGTGCTTTGGCTGGTACGTCCGATCGACATCAAACGGCCCATGATGTTGGATAGATACTTGTGTCTGTGTATATGGTAAGAACCAGCCATGCGTACGTGCATGCTGATTTGGGTCGCCCTTCTGTTGCTTTCAGGAAGTCTACTTGGTGAGTGAGGTTGAGAAGAGAAGGTGGCAGCAGCTACCGAGATCGAGCTATCCTAAGCCCCTGGTCTTCCATGACGGCAGAATAGCGTTCAGGCCGACCCCCATGTCCACCCTCTGCATGTTCCTGTGGCTTCCCCTCGGCTTACCCCTCGCCGTCGCCCGGGCCCTCGTCTTCATCTGCCTCCCCTACGCCCTCTCCACCCCTCTGCTCGCCACCCTGGGCATGCGCAACCGGTGCGTCACCTCCTCAACGGCGCACCCCAAGGCGGACGGCGGTTCCCACGGCAGCAGGCAGCTCTACATCAGCAACCACCGCACCCTCCTTGACCCCCTCTGCATCGCCGCGGTCCTCCGCCGCAACGTCACCGCCACCACCTACAGCGTCAGCCCCATCAACGAGTGGATCTCCCCCATCCGGACCATCAGACTGACGAGGAACAGGGAGGAGGACAGGCGGCGGATGAAGAAGCTGCTGGAGGAGGGGGACCTCGTGGTGTGCCCCGAAGGGACGACGTGCCGCGAGCCGTATCTGCTCCGCTTCAGCCCGCTGTTCGCGGAGGTGAGCCAGGAGGTAGTCCCCGTCGCGCTGGAGGCGTCGGTCACCATGTTCTACGGCACGAGCACCAGCAAGTTCAAGTACCTCGACCCCTTGTACTTCCTCATGAACCCCTCCCCACGCTACGAGGTGGAGTTCATGGGCAAGGTGGCCACCGGCTCCATCGGTGGGAAGGAGTGCAGCAGCTACGAGATCGCCAACCATCTGCAAGGGCAGATCGGAAGGCTTCTGGGGTTTGAGTGCACCAATCTGACCAGGAAAGACAAGTACTTGATGCTCGCAGGCAACGACGGGTTCGTCGAGCGAGACATCAATAGGAGGTGATGTGTGTCCAGTCGTTTAAGTCGTATGATTATTCTTTCGTGTAAAAGAAAAGAACAAACAATACAACACAAACAAGGTTGTTATGGTTACGATCTCTCTCGGATCGTTGCGGTGTATTTTGGGGGGCTTATAGATTACGACGTTAAGTTCGGGCGAATCTTTGCACGCAACGTGTTTGTGCTTATTCTGCATGCAATCAGATCTTGCGCGCGCCCACTTAGGCCTACTTTGGCCCACGAACGATCGATGGCACGAGCCCAGCCCAAGTGGAACACGATTTCTCCGCGAGCGAAGCGTACAGCTCCCGACACGACCGGCTTATAGATTACGACGGTAAGTTCGGGCGAATCTTTGCACTCAACATGTTTGTGCTTATTCTGCATGGAATTTGGACTGTAATATAAACGACGGCGACAGGCTCTCTAAGCCGCACATCTTAACGTGACGCAGATGTTGCGCGAATCTCAAAGTCGCCCACTTAGGCCTACTTTGGCCCACGAACGATCGATGGCACGAGCCCAGCCCAAGTGGAACACGATTTCTCCGCGAGCGAGCGTACCGGTCCCGACACGGCGTTCTCCGGCATCTTCTCTGCCGCGGATGGAATCTTCTCCGCTTGGCGGCCGCCGCCGTACTTCGCGCAATCGCCAAATCATGTTATAATATCTGCAGGTTTAATGAGCGGTTCGGGATGGTGACGTCAGCCCTGGGAGAGGAGCCGCGGCACGAGCGGGGGAGGTCGGGAGGTGACCATCAGCGCGAAAGCACAACTCGCAAGCTCGTGAGCTCCAGCGGTCTGATCGGCGTCCACGTCATCGATCCGTGACGAGTTCGTCCTTCGGACGGTCGAGATCGTCGCTGGAGTCGGAGCTGGTTGTCTCCGGAACCCCTCTCTCTCTCTCTCTCTCTCCGTCTTCGTCCCACGGTTTTCTTCTTCCCCTAATTTCGATTTCGATTTGTATGTTTCCTCGATATTTTGATTAATTTTGTTCTGTAACAGAGTAGGAAGGAGGAGACATGAAGGGAGCTGCGGCGGCGGCGGCGGAGGAGGAGAAGAGGGAGATGGAGGTGGGGAAGAAGAGGAAGGAGGAGGAGATCAAAGCAGTCAACGGCAAGGCCGAGGTGTATGAAGTCGACGACGACGATGACGAAGAGGAGGAGAACGAGGATTCGGATGAGATCGTGGAGCTGAAGGATGACGACGAAGATGGCGGCGATGACGATGATGAGGAAGATGGTGGTGACGATGATGAGGGAGACAACGACGACGACGACGACGACGTGGAGGAGGTCACTCCGCAGGAGTATCACCGCCAAGTGCAGGCGGCAGCGGACGATGACGATGAGGAAGAGGAAGAAGAAGGCGGGGACGGCGGTGATGGAGACGACGACGACGACGACGACGATGACGACGACGACGACGAAGATGCGGAGGAAGAAGAGGTACATCTCATCCGTAATCCTCTTTCTGGCTAAACTTCGTCTGCTTGATTAACCAACCTCGTAGATCTGATCATCTGGTTACTGTGATCGGTAATTACTCTTTATTTTTCTGCAATTGTTTCTTCAATTCTTGTAGATCTGGATTTTGTTCTCCTCAAATCTTAATTTTGAATCTGGAATACTGCAAGTTGAAACTGCTCTCAATTTCTTCAATCGATCATATTCATATTGTCGATCTATTTCCCTACATATCGATGCCTCTTCTTGCTCAAAGTCGGTGTTTGATTTGGTCTTCAGGTTAGTAGTTGAAATGGTCTGCTCTGTGGAAGGGAACAACACTGTTTCATAACATGTTTGATTCCTTTTTTCTTCTTTTTGCAGTTGATCTCGAACAGCAGTAATATTGTCATGTTAATTAGTAGCACAATGAAATCTGGAGTTTCTCTGTCTTTATCTATCTCTTCACCTTTCCATTTTTTCTGCTGCTTGAAGCAACTCAAATTTGTTTCCTTTCTTGGTGTAATCGTTGCAAGTCAAATTTGATGTATGTTCTTAATCTTTCATCCAGTTCTGATATATGCAAACTAGACATGAACCGGTTGGTCGTAGCATTCATCTTCCATCAAAGTTTGGGACTTTGATGTTCTTGTTTGCATTGAGAATTACTATTTGTTTCCAGTAAATAAGAGCTCCAAGAGAAATATGTGAATTATATCTAACTTTCTTGCCTTGGTTCTTTGGTACGTCTGTTTTGGTCCGCAGGAAGAACTAGGAACCGAATACCTTGCACAACCAGTAGTTCGTGCAGAGGGCCAAGAAGATGCAAGCGACTTCGAAGCTGGCGAAGAAACCGACGACGACATCGGAGACGCAGATGGCACTCGGGGTAATGGCGGGGGCCATTCGACGAGGGACGAGATGTCGTCGAAGCGGAAGAGAACAGCTAAAGATGATTCGGATGACGACGACGACGACGACGACGACGACGGCGATGACGATGATGAGAGGCCACCTAAGCGATAGTGCCTGGTGATCATCTTGCCTCCCCAGTTCGACTGTTGCTTGTTAATGGACCGGAGACTGAGATGGCCAGGTTGGGGATAAGATCTAAGCCACGATGAATCCGGTTGCTGTGTTTGAAAATTGCATTAGGACTTGTAAGGAACTTTAATGTGAAGGTAATGGGTGACTGTTCCTCCACAAAAACCACATCTCCCATGCATGGTTTCTTTGGATCTGTAGTGTAATCAGATGGTTTCTTGCAATTTGGTTTGATACATCACTATGAAGTGTAAGGTGTTTAATATTATTCATGCCATTACATTCCTTGCTGGCGAAGTATATTACACCTGCGATGGTACCCAAAGAATGCCCATCATCAGACGGTCTGCAGCGCGCATCAGCCTCGCACGAATCGCAAAGCGCCGCGCTGCCGCAACAATCGGGCACCCTTTTCCTAAGCAAAAGGAATAAAGCGTGGCCATCATCGGACGGTCTACATTGCTCGGATGTCATAGCGTGTGGCACATTCGATCACGGAGGAAATAATGGAGGGAGGCGCTCCGATCGTCACACGATCTGCAACACACATCAGCCTCGCGCGGATCGTAAAGCACGGGCCGCCTTGACAATGGGGAAAGGACAAATAAGGTCCCCTCTGCTTTATTTGTCATCGGACGGCTTAGGTGAGCGCACGTCAGGCTGGTTCGAAACTCAAAGTATTCGGTGACCCAATCAAGTGGGAAATAATTGATGGAGCCGTTCCTTCGTCGGCACTCCGTCGAGGTCCTTTTGGGACCCGTCGGGGTATTCTCGTATTGCTTCTGCCTCTGGCTTCGCATCGTCCTCCTCGCACGCGATCGACCGTCGGAGTTCTGGATCGTGGAGGTGGCGATGGAGGAGAAGGAGAAGGGGGAAGCGGTCGCGGCGAATCCCGTGACGGGATCGCCGTTCTCGCGGCGGTACCACAAGCTGCTCGAGCGGCGGAAGAAGCTTCCCGTGTGGGGTCAGCGGAACAAGTTCCTCGACGCCCTCGCGAAGCGTCGGGTCGTCGTCGTCGCGGCGCCACCCGGGTCCGGCAAGTCCACCCAGGTCATTCCCCGCTGACCACCACCGCTCTCTTTCTGTTTCCATCGTCTATCATCGTTACATTTTGGTTACGTTTTCGGGCTCTTACCAGTGTTTGATTACTATATATTGGATTCTGGCTGTTCTAGTATCCATTTGTCTGCGAATTATGTGATATGAGTTGAAACAATTGGTAAAGGAATGTGGAAAATATTGAATTTGATGAGACCAACCCACCCAAGCGTGGAAGGAAGGTGATTTGAGTATGAATTAGCAATAAAAAATATCATCTTGCGTTTATCCAGCGTCCAAAAAGTTTGGATCCATTATAACTTTCGGTGGAACACCGACTTGATGTGAAGTTGATTTGAACCTGGAATTGAAATTCGTTATCTTTGGCACTGACCCATGTCGTCAAGCTCATGATTTGATATAAGATTAGGAAGAAGGAAATTGTAGTCTGGAACTTGGGTTGATGGTTTCGTATCGTTAGCTTGGATAAGTGATATGATCACGGTAGAGATTTATGAAACTATTGCTAATTTTGTTTTTTGTGATATCTACTCTTTCTTGTTGCTAGGACAGATTCCTCAATTCGTCATTGAGGCAGGTTACGCAAGTGAAGGGAAGCAGATTGCTTGCACGCAACCTCGTTGTTTGGTAGCGACGGCACTGTCCCGCAGAGTTGCTCAAGAGATGGATGTGAAGTTGGGGGAGGAAGTGGGTTACTCTGTGCTTTTTGAAGACTGCACTGGCCCGAAGACCATTTTGAAGTAAGTCCTTGTTAGTGGCAACACAAGCCATGCATCGGTTCATAGCTGTTTTTTTCTCTGTTCATGCTACATGGTTCCTTCTTTATGTTTCAAGATGTAATATAGGTACTTGACAGATGGTCTGCTTCTAAGGGAGGCAATGTCTGATCAGTTCCTAGAAAGGTACACGGTGATAATTCTTGATGAGGTTCACTTGAGGACTCTAGCAACTGATATTCTTCTTGCTTACTTCAAAAACATGTTCAAAACGAAAGCTCGTTGTGACCTTAAACTTGTAGTCATGAGTACTCAATTTGAGGCGAAGAAGTTTCGAGATTATTTCAAGGATGCACAGATTGTGCAACCACTGCCCGCACTTCATCCTGTACAAATCGCTTATGTAAAGGAACCGGTGAGGGACCTCGTGGAGGCAGCAGTAGAGAAGGTTATCCATATACTTGTATCTGAATCAGCTGGTGACATAATTGTGTTTCTTACTGGGTTGGAGGAGATAGAGAGATGCTGTTGGAGACTTGGAAAACTGATTTTGGACTTGGGAGATAAAATTGGACCTGTCAAAGTTGTTCCTTTCCACTCCGTAATGCCAGTAGATATGCAGAATAAGGTGTTCAAGGCCGCTCCACCTCCAACAAGAAAGGGTGGCCCTCTTGGACGGAGAGTTATTGTATCAACTGAAATCACGGAATCATCATTATCAATTGATGGCATTGTTTACACTATTGATTGTGGGTACACCAAACAAAAGGTTTACAATGCAGATCTCCAAGTTGAGTCATTGCTGGTTTTGCCGATATCAAGAGCGAGTGCACAACGGAGGTCAGGATGTGCAAGAAGGTCAGCCCCGGGAAAATGCTTTAGACTTTATTCCCAAGATTTCTTTAACAGAGTTCAGCCACAAGATTCCCCTGAGATTCTCCGAGCAAACCTTGCAGGCACTGTTCTTCAGTTTAGAAAACTTGGGTTCGATAATTTGCTTCATCTTGATTTGATGGATCCTCCTCCTGTCGAAACAGTCATGCAGGCTGTTGAGACCTTGAAATGCTTAGGTGCTTTGGATGATGAGGGGAGTCTGACCCATTTGGGAGAGGTCATGAGCGAGTTTCCTCTGGATCCTCAGATGTCGAAGACCATAGTTAATAGCCCGAAATTTTGCTGCTCGAATGAGATCCTTTCAATTGCTGCTATGTTGTCAGGTGCATAAAACTACGCATGCAAGCTTTCTCACTTGCATTCCTCAGTTTTTTGCCTTTTGATTGCCTATATATAAACCAAACATATTTCTTTTTCCTCAGATTTTAGACACTCTTAACTTCCATTTCAGAGTTTTCCTTTGTTATTTATGATGCCTTCAACTGTGATCGAATTCTTGCTGATTTTGTTATGGTGGGAGAATAATGGCGGGAAGAAGGGCCACCACACCAAGTGGTTAAACCTAGGAGAGCAAACATAATTGGAAACTTTCAAGTTGAAGTTGACTCAATACCATACTTTGGAACTTCTCAACACCTTACTGTTTTCAGTTCCATGCATCAAGTTGCCTGTAAATTTCTCTGATTCAGAATGTTCTTTAACAGTACCAAATTGTTTCTTACGGCCTATGGAAAACCTGGAAGCTGCTGATGAAGCTAAGGCCACTTTCAACCACATCCATGGTGATCACCTTAGTCTTCTGAATGTTTACCATGCATACAAGCTAAGCAGTAAGTTATAACTTTTCATCTCTATTTACACGTAGATCACAATGTTCACCTCTAGTAACCTATAGAGCATAATGTTACAGATGGAGATTCGACTTGGTGGTGCAAAAGGAACTTTATAAATCAGACTGTGCTCAGATCTGCTGACAATGTTAGGGGACATCTTGTCTCGATCATGCATAAGCTTGATCTTACTCTGTGCTCCACTGATTCTAGCAGCTCCGATGACTACGACAATGTTAGGAAGGGCCTGCTGGTAGGATATTTTATGCAGGTTGCACATCTTGACCATTCAGGCAACTACTCGACAGCAAAAGGTCACCATGTATGATTCTTATGTTCATCATTTGACTTGGCTTTTCTGTCCTATGCATCACTGTTTATATCAAATATGGCTGGAGTTTTCATTTTATTTGTTGTACAGGTAGTTGACGTCCATCCTTCAAGTAGTCTGGCATCAAGACCAGCACTTGTTATTTATAATGACTTTGTCTTGGCTAGCAGAAATTTCATTCGCATTCTCACGGATGTGCCTCTGGATTGGTGAGATATTCTTACCAAAAGCAGTTACCTTTTAGTAAAGTTTGATAAGGAATTTGCATACTTCCATCAAAATGTTAATTATTTCCTACTTCATCATTGGATGATGTTTTATGATCCTAATATTTTTAGGAAAATAAACATCTTGATTCTCGTATCCCTCACTTTTGTGAGGTAGGTTATAGCACATACCTGTTAGTCAAAAAATTTACATGAAACACTAACAAAAGAAAAAAAAATTGCTATGACCTGCTTTCAGCTTCTCTAAGAAAAATTCTCCCGGACTAAATGCTCAGGTTTCTAAATCTCCCTTCATCTAAAGATGCATCGCCATTGTACTCAAATCCTTCATTCTCACTTACCTTTAAATGCATGACACTTGACTCCAGAATTTAACTACCTACTACTTAATTAGCTTAATCCACATGCTATTCCATGAATTTTATTTCGCTCAGGTTATCATATGATGCTATTCATTGTACTTAAGATATGTGACTGAAATGGAAAATGATAGTGTCTGAATTGCTGGCTTGGTGAATTTTCATTTCTTTTGTGACTGCATACAACTGATTTTGTCGAAAGCCAGCATTTTGGTTTGTAACACAGCTAAAAGTTTAAATTTCTTGATGATCTGTGTTCTGGTTACCATTTGCTCAAGCCATCTGTTAATGGCATTGCAATGCTATTTTAGGTTGGTCGAAATTGCTCCTTTTGCTGCAGCTTAACTACCATCCGATGCAACCGCCTTCCTTCCCAGTTATTGATCCCTGTGCCTCCCAGTTGTTCATCGTTACAATTTTTGTACTTAAGATATGTGACTGAAATGGAAAATGATAGTGTCTGAATTGCTGGCTTGGTGAATTTTCATTTCTTTTGTGACTGCATACAACTGATTTTGTCGAAAGCCAGCATTTTGGTTTGTAACACAGCTAAAAGTTTAAATTGCTTGATGATCTATGTGTTCTGGTTACCATTTGCTCAAGCCATCTGTTAATGGCATTGCAATGCTATTTTAGGTTGGTCGAAATTGCTCCTTTTGCTGCAGCTTAACTACCATCCGATGCAACCGCCTTCCTTCCCAGAGTTATTGATCCATATGCCTCCCAGTTGCTCATCATTACAATTTAATGCAGCTAAGAGAAGTCTATGAGATTGGAAGTTTACAGGGCTTTGTTTTCCGATTGCCCTCGGAACATGTTTCAGCTGAATCAAGTATGTGGTATTTAGGTATGATTGGAGTGTCCTTTATACGGGATTGAGTGTGTGAGGGCTTTGTTCTCTGTTGTGGTTGGCAACCATGGATGACTCACTTGTGAACCTAGAAGTATCATTTGGTTAGAGAGAGCTTATGTTGCAGACACAGCCAGTTATCGCAGCAATCTTTTCTTCCTTGACTGCTGTCTTGCAAGCTGACTTTGATTTCACCGATCTATATGTCATTATCTGATATACAAATGATATCAGAGTTATCTTACTATTGTGCTTAGTGAGGGATTCTGTGTTCTTGGAATGTAATGAATGCTTGTAATTGCAACGTGTCTTCCATGAATGTTCATTTGAACAGCTAAAATGATTGTTCTGATGCAGCAACATAAGATTGTTTCTGAACTTGCTCAATTTCTGATGCTATGCTATTGGCAAAGGAAACAACAGAGTTCACATAAATTGCATATTTACATCAACTTATTGCATAGCAAACAACTCAAGAATGAAGACTTGCTGACCTTTGAGGCATCAAGGTCAAAATTAGCCTCAGACGCCTCAATCTGTGGTCAAACTTATGCCTACTAGTAGACACCAATGAGCATCACATACAAATATGGCATGTTTGTTTGTTGATCGGACTTCTCATGCCTCGGTGTGCTGTAAGAGACAAAGGTGATAAAATACATTGTAAGATCTTGAGATACAGTTGAGTTGTTGAGTTGCAGTCTACTTGCAACATAAGCATTTAGAGCATGCGTACCAGCTTCTTCGTGAGACTGAGCAACACCAGCGACAAAGCGTAGAGGGTGATCGAGATGATGGCTCCTGTAATCACATTATACAGCAGTCGCTTGTTATCCCTGGTTGGTATGAACACCACCTTCAGTTGGTTCGTCAGATTGAACACTCGATGTGCAACCTGCAGCTCAAGAGAAGCGGATACTTCATTTTGATTTCATGCCATGTGGCAATCTCTTATTCGATGATCGATGTTACGTACAGCGACATATATGATGGTGTTGAGCATAAAATTCAGCATAGGGTAGTCGGGTACAAGAGACAGTAGTCGTCGAGGCTGTGCATCAGGCTTCCCTGATCTGCTTGTGTCACATGCACAAAGAACATTAGGCAACCTTTTCTAACTCTAAAAACGCTCGGTGTGAGTACCATACCTTAGCCATATATGAAACTGAGATATGTAGGTCTCCAGTGTTATCTTCCCGAGCCACCTGATTTGTCACAAAACATTTGGTTTACCAAGCTTGTTAAATCTAAGAACTGCAATGTCCGCAAAGAAGCTTCATTTGCAGTGATCAAAAACTGCTTACCCAAATAGGGTGAGAGTATAGCTTCGAAATTCCTGAGTGATGTTCCTCAAGCAGATATACACACTGATTTATGATGACCAAATAAAACATGTATCAATCAACATTAGTTCAATGGGAGAAATCAAAATGGGATACGGAAAAGGCATACGTTATTGGTATCCATGATGTATAGGGATGGTATCTGTTGTAAGTGTACTTTTCAAGCTTGTATATGTATTCATACCACATATAGCCAGCCTGCAATTAGCAGCACATAAATTAAATGCGAAAAAGAAGTTTCTCTATGAACAGATACCAAACGAAGTTGGAAAAGAAATGAGTGCTGGATTTATAAGTACCAGTAGGCAGATTGCCGTAATGGAAGTTTTGATAAATATTCTCAACTTTGCTTCAGTTGCTTCTAGTTTTTCCATCCATCTCTCGACCTGTATCAAAAGACCAAGACACTGTCACAACCTTGTCACACCTATATGAAGCAGCGTGCTAATACAACCCAAGCTTCAAAATAATTAATTTGTCATGTGGAGCCCTAAAAGATGACACAAAGGAGATGCCAAACACTATTAAGGATGAGAGGTAAAAATAAAGACCAGCAGTGCATATGCATTGACACATTAGTAAAGATCTTACTGTTGGATGATAGTAGGCATATATCATTCCTAATATCCATATATAGCGATCAAGACCAGCACGGAAATGCCATTCGTGCATAGGTCGGAACTTCTTTGTCGCGTCTGGATCATTGTAAGCTGCATTTGAAGGGTTCAGTTACATATTCATCTCAGCTCGGAAGCAAGTGCAAGTAGGCTAAGAAAATAAAGAGCAGTTTCATGGACACCCACCTAAGAGGAAAGCAAAAGGGCTCCAAACAATATCATAGACATGTGGTACCTCCCATATCACAGCAATCACCACAAAACAGGCAGCAATTTTGACAGCAATAACTGATCCCTTATTGTTGTGTTTGTTAAAAATTCCAAGCGAACAGTAGACCATCAGGGTGAAAAATGTGTGCATCGGGCAGATGTAATACAGCATATAATGGTTATCGAGGAGAATACAACAAAATGCCACAAAAAAATTCAGCCGCCACATCATCTGTTCAACATGACAGAAGTTATCAGCTTCCATTTCAGAATTGCTAGTAAAATTGCCAAGAAAAGAAGAATGACTTGTGTGTGATCATCACCTGACAAAACCGTGCGAAGCTGAAATCTTTACGGACATAGTAATAAGAGAAGTTACCAAATCCAGTCATCCACACATAACCAGCAATGAAGACACGAATTGCATTATAAATTTCTTTGGCCGCAAAGTAATGATACATCACAAAGAGCACCTGAATAGAAAAGAGAGCATCAAGTTATGAAACAATTGATAGTTGGAGTTTTTAAAAACTGTGGTACAGAGCAGAAGTTCCCCAGTGTCATATATGAGTAAAGAACTGAATTAGAAACCATGGCCCCAAGAGAAAACAACAAAAAAAAAAACATAAGCCCTAATAGAAAACAGAGGTTTCTAAAACAGTATATCATCGCAGAACATAAAGATTTGAGGACTATATGGGAAACAAAGTGTCATCTTAATAACAGAAATAATGCTTGAGACTTCAGAAATCTCAAAAACCATTTAAGGAACGAACATTCTCATATATGGAAATGGAATTTTCAGTCTTTTGGAAGTGCTTATTTGCCAGCATCTGAGAAGATTTCTGGATATCATAACATCCAGGTGTATCACATGTGATTAATTCTGGGACTGATGAAATTAGTTCGAACAAGAAAAAGATCAGGTGCTAGCCTAATCATTGTTTCCTGTGTCCTTTAGAACATCCATGTTCAAAATGCATAAAGTTGTTTTTGTATTTCAGACAAACATTTATCCATTTGAAGATCAAACAAGTGTAAAAAGGAAAAGCAAGAAAGAATATTATCAGCATGTGTAATTTGGATCTAGTTTGGACAACTAAACACATGTTTGGTACAGAAAATAGAAAAGAATAAAATTCAGAGAATCATAATGTTAAAATTTTGCCCAGAATAAAAGAGCAACATAGTGTTGACAAACCATATGGGTATGAAAGCAAAATAAACATAAAATTTGCCACAAAGAAGCACTTCACTGTTCTGGTTCTCTTACCTGCATCCACCCCTTCCATTCCTCGGTCTGGTGCCTATTCAGGTATAGTACTGACTTGGATGACGATGGTGAGGTATCATGGTGGATTTTGAATGACGTCATCGCTGCGACAATGATGAGAAGAAAATACAGAAAAAAGAAAATATCCCTGTTGTAGCTCTGCAAAATGACAAAAGACAGTTTATACACTGTGCAGCCATGGAAAGGTTACAATTCAGAAGATGCAGCTTGAAGCGATGAGCTGATGGATATTACAAAGATTATGTAACACTGCTACTCCAGGATGCCACACATCTGTATCGGAATAAGAGGGGTGACTTCCTTAATTGTATTAAATGTTTGTCATCCATGCTTTTCATTGGAAACAGTGAAGAATACATACATTTAATAGGGGTTATAGCACTTAAGGAGGATCAAAAGTTATGGAAAATCAATCACAGAATATTCACTTAATGATAACTTCACCCTGCAAAAGTTTAGCCTTCTTCTTGAAACTATGAAGGTAGACGTTGATGCTTATGCCATTTATTGTAACAGTCTTCCATGGTAAGATTTCCTCTGAAGGACAATATGTGATGCATTATAAATCAGGTTTAGAAGCCTTCGCTGTTAGTGTTGTCGGCCTTCTTATTGCTTATTCAGAGAGAGCTCTAAGTAAAACCAAGTACTGATGACCTAAGGGTGGACTAGGACTCGATTAGAAGTCTCAGTATATCAGTAATTTGAAGCAAGAAATTTGATTTAAGTAATTAGTGACAGTAGTGGTTTAGATACCTTTGTCAGATTAGAGAAATTTATGATTTACATATTAATGAGTATATCCCTTCACACATCTATGAGATCTGATTAGCGAATCATGATTCTTGAATCTTGCAAGTTAGCAATCCTAAATTTTATTGGTTGCAGCATGCAGCATCTTGTAAATAGGGAAGAAATAGCACCTTTGATGACTCTCCAAAAAGATCTGTTCTGTCACATGTGTAGAAATAGGCCAACACGACTCCAAATTCTGATCTGAAGAACATCAGCCCAACTTTTCAACAATCTTGCCACTAAGAAACTATTACGAAATAAAAGCAAATAGCGCCTTCACTTACATGGCTCTTAAAGTCAAGCGGTTCTCTAATAGAAAATCCTTGTCCATCATGAAAAACCTGAGCAGTGACAAAAAAGAAAATGGCACTAAGGAATTACAGTGACAGAACATTGAGTATACAGCTACACTGTGCACAAATAACCTGACAAGCCCTGGTCTTTGCTTGTGAGCTACTGAAGATCCTACCGAAAAACCTCCAGCTAGTAATTGAGTTTTAGCTTCTTCCCCAAGTGATCCGATGTCCAAAGCAATAGAATCGTCATCAGAATGCCTACCACAAAGAAAGCAAACTCTCAATATTTGAAGGAAATCAGACTAGAACGAGTTGAAATATCAAACATGGACATCATCAGAATTCTCTGTTTATTGCAAGTGATAACCCTAGAACAAGTTAGCATAACTCCTAACCATCATGCATAACATGATGCATTCAAAGTTCTGATTCAGATGTTCAACACTTGATAAGTGTTGTTTAGGATCATGCTTATTTTTGGACCAAGTATTCCTGCAAGTAAAGGTAGAATTGTGCTTTGTTTATCTGACCGTGAAGGTGCTTCTCTTTGCAAAAAGTATGACATTTCAATCAAATTCGAGCAATGAAGTTCTCCCAGCAGTATAAACGATAAGAAGCAAAAACAACTCACAGTGCAATGGCTAGCAGAAAGAAAGCAGGAAAATCCAAAAAAGGGAAAAAAAATAGTAACAGTAATGATGATCTAAAGTTTATCAAACTTACATCCCGAAAAACCGAGAGTTCTTCCATAACTCTAGCAGCTCAGCATACAGCCACCACAAAAGA